AACAGCTGGTACGACAAATCGCAACCATCAGGTAGCCATCACAGATATGGAAGATTCTGGGAGTGGCCACAGCCTGAACGTCCCAGCGAGCCTGAAGGTCCTCCTCCAAGAAGGAACCAGGAATCATCGTCCTCTTCACAACAAGATCTACCAAGATCAAGGTCCAGGCCTCAAAGAACCAATATTGTTGACAAGCTCAACATGTCTTTGGAAGAGCTGGATGGACTAGAAGAAGAACCGTCACCAACAAAAAGTGACATCGAAGAACACGAAAGAGAAACATCAAACTTGATGTCTGCTCAGAGAGATGAAGAGGAACAAGAGGACGAATCCTCCAGTCGGAGAAGAAGAAGGAAGGCATCGCGTCCACCGTCTGCTCCGAGCGGCAAGGCACTCAGAACAGCTGCTACAGCAGCGGGGTTGTCGGGCTGGTTCGGACACCGCAACCGAGGTGGAGCAAACGCAGAGTCTACCAAGACTGATGAAACTTCACTTCCAGACTCACTAACCAGTGAGCAAGACTTCTCCGTCTTCAGCATCACGTGGAATGTGTTCCTGCTGCTAATGGGCTTACACTGGATGTGGAAGCAGATTACCAGGCCTCCTATCAGATGTATGGAGCGCCAACAACCAAAATCAAGAGCAGCAGCGAACCAAAGAGTTCCATTCCTCGAACCCGAGGATGAACCGCAGACGCGTGAACCTTTAGGACCCAACAGGGTTAATTCCGGAGAAACAACTGATCTGCGACCTATCTGGCATACTTCCCGAAGCGAAGTCTACCATCTCTCAGACAGCTGTTACCAGCTTAAGCAAGCAAGAGATGTTTGCAAGAAGGTGCTGTGCAAAAACTGCCTCCATGCAGTACAAGTTGCGGAGATTCGCAGGAATGATCCTTTCCAAAGAGGTGATACACGACCACGTGGCACCGAAAGAGACATTGAGCGCTTCCAGACCTACGATGATGCAAGTAACACTCCTCACATGACACAATTATTCCAGGATGCCTTGCATGCACAAATGGCCGAGGAAGCCATGCAGATTACCTACACATCGATCCCTAAGGGATCCTCGGCAAAGGCCAGAGGTACATCTGCACTCCCAAGTGCCGCATCGTCATCAGCGCCCAAGGCAATGCCACCAGGGCCTAACAAGGCTAACATGTCACCTCCACCTAAGAGTCCTCCGCCGAAGGCGAAAGGAACAGTACCTTCTGATCCTCCAAGACCAAAAGGTCCTACCAGAAGAGGAGGTCAAAATCGGCGTATTCAACGAAAGGCAGCAAGAGAAGCCCACAACAGTGGACTCTGCACCTATGCAGACGCTGCACTTGACCAAGCCAATCAAGGCCAGGCAATTAACGTTACGTGCCGAAACATAGTATCAAGACACGTCAGCTCTATCGATGCAACGGTAGAAGCAGCCGGCCAGTTTACACAACGCGTGCTACAGCACGTAGAAACATATGATGAAGAGGAACCGTGGAGCACGGAGTTCCTACCAATCGTGGAAGTCCTATTCAGGAACTTAAGCGGCGACGAAACAACTGTCATACATGACAATCAAACGGTAACTATGCCTCTTGCGAAATACACAGACCTCCTCAGAATCGCACAAGCATTGCGAGGCTCTATCCAGAGAGACAAGGAGGAAAGAAAGGAACATCTTGACACCATCCAAGATACTCTATCCAGAGTGGAAATCCTTCTCACAGCACTGAAGGACTCAAGGACAGTCTTTAATCAATTGGTCAATTCCTCACTAGAGATAGAGCGAAGAAATAACAATCTCAAAAATGTCCTCGAGACACTCTTTGATGACCAAAGCTCTGAGGAAGACCAATCAGAATCTGACAATGAAGAAGTCCTAACTCCTTCTGCACCACAGTACTGGAATAGCCTTTATGCCCACGCCTTATCTCCCTCAGGAGATGAAAGTGAAAGATCATGGGCGTCCTCAGACGGACAGCTTGAAAGAAGAAGGGCTGAACGGGCAAAGGCTAAGCAGCCGCAACCGGCAAAAGCCAAGGCAACTCCAGTCAGCTCACAAGCTGCTCCAAAGGCCGAGCCAAAGGCGACAACATCCAACCATGGATATGATACTGCAGATGCCGCCTTCACCAGGGCTGAGAATAGATTACTCGGAATCTTTTCAAGTTCCGAAGAAGACCACTCAGACCCGGATGAGCCACATCCGAACGTTTACGCTCGAGCCTGTGATCCAAACCTGGATCCGAATCTGAGATAAGAAAATTCTCAGAGTTTCACAACAGTGAATCACAAGGCTCTAACAAGAGCACAATGAGTGGCTGCATAATTCGGTAGTAGAACATCACCAGACCTGATCTTGTACAGATGATCTCTCTGACAAATATGCATGAGTGTGTGCGCAAAAGGAGTGGAGTTTCCTCAGCAGTGTACTTCAGTGCTATACCTAGCATACATAATATGCTGTTTTTATAATGAGTCCAAAACTCCGCAACTGTGACAGTGGGCATAACAGTATATGTGTGAATGTGCGGCCATGCTTTCGGTAAAAGAAAATTAGTGTCTGTTTGAAACCATAAACCTCTAAAGGGGTAGCTCTAACAGGTACCTACAGCAATGGCTGCATGCTCATACATATACATTCCGCTGCCCATTGGCTCACAGTGGTTTTACCATATTGAGACAAGACAAGCTCTCCTTGCGTAGCAAGACAAAACAACTACTGTCCGTGTGCAGGGCGCTGCCCTTTGATCCTTAGGGAATAAACTGGTCATACACCTCCTCACAAGGAGTATCCCTTGGGGGTGTATCGGCACAGGGGGAGGGGGGGCAGGAGAGGGGGCAAGGGGGGGCAGGAAGGGGGGGGCCCGGGAGGGGGGGGCAGGAGGGGGGGAGGCAAATTCGGCAGCGAAAAAGGACGGAAGCCGGGCAAGGGGGTCGAAAACAGTCGCTAAAAACGGGTGGAAGTTTGCATTTGGGGTGCAGGGAGAAGGATTAGGTAGAGGGTTGGTTAGTATTAACCATCAAGACGCCAGAGGCCTTTGGCCTTGGCGGATTATTACTTTTGGGGGTTCCTCACTATGATTATAGTACAAGGGGCACCAAAACCCTATTCTAATTATTACGGCCCCTACTGTACGAGGCCTCAGACCATAACTATTTGGGTCGGCTTGTTGTTACATTTTGTTGAAACATTCGGTCCTGAAACCTAAGCCCTAAAGAAACCGTCAACCCCAAGTCAAGGGGTGCCTCAACTGAGCCATGGAGTTTACTGCATGATCGCTTATGGTGGCATCAGTGAAAGCAGCCCTTCTCCATCCCTTCGAGAGCTCCCAAACGAGCTTCCAACTTCTCGCCAAGGTCGCCAGAACTGCGTCGAGCAGGGGCGTGGTGAAGAAGGTGGGATACTATATGCTTTGTACATTTCCGCTTGAACATCGCCCTTTTTCAGTGCAACCGGCGAAGCTTTTCCCGTTTTCATGTCGGCCCTGCACGAGGCCGCTGAATGTGACTGCCAGTAGAGACATCAGATAGGTTTAGCTACAGTAGAGCAGATCGAGATTTGACAAAGCCATGGGGTGACGCTACTTCACCCTGTCGCGCGTTTCATTCAGTTTGAATCGTTTCAGATGAGGCCCACCGGGGCCATGCATGCCACAGGCCATACCACTGTTACAACAGCATTCTACTATCGAGTAACATGGAGCATGACACGGTATCTTGTAGAAGAGAGCATGGGTTGCAACAGGGTTCAGAGCCTCAGAATGTGCGGGCTGCGAGACATCAAATTGCATGTCTCGGGCTGCCCGATATAGCGACTACAGTCGCTATAGAGCACTAATCCTTTGCTCGTGGCTCGAGCAAGATGATCATAGTTGTCATAAGTTTTGATTCAGATAAAGGGTCAGAGTGATTATCTGTTGACGGTGCTTCAGGGATTGTCCTGAAAACGACGACGAAGCTATCTTCCGGCAATCATTTGAAGTCGCAGTCGTCTTCGCGGTTTCTGCATTTTCGGCAGTCTGTAGGTCAGTTGGCCCACCGCATGGCAGACTGCCTGGTGCAGAACCGCCAAATTCAATCTCTCTGAACTTGTAGGGTGGGTGGTTGTGAGACACGACCTGATCCAGAAATAAATCTGTCTGCTCTGAACACCGGCTTTGGGCATCAGGTTTTGTCAGCACAACCACTTTGCGCAAGCAATTCGCGGATTTTGTAGACTACCTCCACGCAGCAATCAATCGATTTCTTTACAGACTTGTAGAGGTGCGAAGGTGCAGCTATGCTGTGAGTGTGATTTGCAACCACATTGACGCGCACAAGACCCAAGACCGCCAACGCTCATCGACAGCGGCTGCGTTGTCTACCCGCAGTTACACGGCAAAAGTTGTCCGCAGTCATCATCATGCAAGCGCTCGTTTCAGGCACTTGCGTTCTGTCATTGTCTGCATGTGTAGGCATAGCTAGCGGGACAGTGCACAGGTGCGTGAAATAGACTGGACTTGGGACTCTGCGTGCGCTGTTGCTTCCAGCTTTGCTGATGTGATGCTGGTCCTTGCTGTCAGATGATCACGAAGATGATGATGCCGATGATTCAACGATGATGGTGGTGATTATGATCATGACGATGCTGATGGCCGTGCTCTCTGTGCTGGGGGTCGGTCGCGGTGGCGCTGGCCATGGCGGTGTCGTTGCTACGATGTCAACCCATATCTAACAGAAGCTGCGCAAAGTTTTTAAGGGTTTGGCTGCGGTCGTTGCTTTTCTCCATAAAGCCTTGAGAGCTGGAGGGACTGGCCCTTTCCGCATCCTTCGTGCTCTGCGGCTCATTTGGCTCTGTGTACAGATTTCGGCGTTGTAGACAAAGTCCATCAGTCAGGTAAATCTTAGAAAGTCTTTCCAGGGTCGACTTCGGAGGGGTGTCAAGAAGGTACAGAAGAGGATCCTGGCAACCTTCAGCCGTTCCATGATCGGTTCGAGCGGCAGCAAGCTCCAACCTCTTCAGCTTAGCACATGGTGCATGTAGGCGCCGCCCGGTGTGCAAAACGAGCTCCGCTCTCAGTGAACAGCTGCAGGATTCCCGTCGTTGATACGGGTAGGTCTTGAGCTTCAGCTTCGACAGGCCATCAGCAACAATTAAGTGTTTTCGCGCGAGCATAAATGTGGCTGCAAGCATGCGAGCATACACACATCAAAACATGCATACATAGTGCATGCCGACATACGCACGCAAGGATTTGCTTATTCACGACACTATGCTGTCCGGATTCTACACACGAACCTACTTCCAGCTGGAATCGCAGTTCATGGTGCCAAAACCATGGCTGTTAACAGAGACCTGAGCCACGTAAAATATAGCTTCAAGCGGATCCAAGCCGGTGGATCAGGGGTTCTGTGGCCCTATTAGTATTAATACTAATATTAATACTAATATTAATATTAATACTAATATTACTAATACTAACCTTGCCAGTGTAAGCTTTTACCATGTCCTCGGCCACCGAGACGAGCCGCTTGTGGAGTTCGCTACTCGTCCTTGCCTCGGAGCTGCTGCGGGTCGTATCTTTGATATGGTTCCCAGCGTGCAGCATTCCATCAGACTATGTAAGAATACGTACTTCCATATCATATACCATAACATATTATGTTATACTATTGCTTACAAAGTATACTAAGGTTGCTGCCACTGTTGTTGTTGCCAGTCCGTTCATCAACCCAGTTATTCCACCCGATGGAGGCGACTTGTTCTGGATTGAGACTATAGCGGTTGCCTTTTGTAGCTACTTTCGATAAAGACATGCTTGGCCTCCTCCTCCTCGTTAGTAGGTACATCTGTGCTATGCCTTCGACCTAATACGTACCCTTTGTACTCCCGTCCTCGCCTGATCCCGCCCACTGCTTCTCCGCCACCTCGACCAAGTGAATATACCTCTCCTAGACTCGAAACTATAGCATATTTTCATAGTATGTAATAGGGCTATAATATGCGGTAATATACCGTAAAAAATTGCGACAATGCACTGTGTTCTACCCCGAGCAGGTGGCCAGTGTTCTGGCCGTGGCCCCAGCTCTCCACCGCTTAGGCCTGGAGTCTCGACGGGGTTCTTGTTGAGGGATTTACTTTAAGTTACCATAGTAGGGATCTTCAAGGGTTCCTTTAAAGGATCTATAAGGGTTCCTTTAAGGCTTTAGGGTTTTAGGGAATTTAATTGAAGTTACCATAATAGGGAGGGGTCTACAGCAAAAATATGGGCCCTTTACTAGAATATTCACTTAAATTAAATTCCTTATCAAGAACCCAGTCGGAGGTTCTCAAAACTGCAGCGTTGAACGGGGGTCTGGTTCAGGCTGAGTCGCGATCTCGCTGCGTGTGCGCTGCGTCTGACATTACCCTTGCAAGTGAACCGTAAGTTCAACAGAAATAGCAAGGGCTTGCAGCTAACATCCGCATCTGCCAAAAGTGCAGGACGTTATATGAGATGCACCTAGCCGAGGCCATTTACTTTGGATCTGGAAGACTTCGCGCCTTCGTTGGAGGGTGGGCCATGCGTCTGTTGTAGACATTCGGATAAGCAGCGAGAGAGTGTCAGCGAGAGTGGCCCAGTGAATCATGCGCATCTGAACCCGGGGCTTCCTTGTTATATACCCTAAAACCCTATTGTAAATATTAAATAAGGCCCCTATGTTAGTCCGAGTTGGTTTTTCCATCGAGGGTCCGGCTCAAATACCCTGGTCAGGCCCAACCTTAGTCGTGTTCAACGGCACGCTCGCGCTTGAGTCTCAGTGGGAAGCTGTCACCTTAAAAGGCCGGTTCCGGAAGGGGCCAGGGCCGGGGTGTCGAGCCATCGCAACTTGAAGTAAACCTCGAAGCTCGCATCGGGGCATCGCAAGCGCTTAGTAATTGAATGCTCAGGCAGTGCCAGGTATCCGAACTGTTCTTGGTTGGTTTTCGGCTCGCTCGTTACTGCCTCCGTCAGGTTTCTATGCCCGCGCTAGCATCACCTGAAGCATCAGCGGCCCGTGGCCCAGTGGCTGCTGGGTCCTGGGTCCACAGTTTCTGTCTCAAACGAGTGCAGGAGATGTTAAAAGAAGAAGATGACACCCTAAGGGCGGAAACGTGTAGAAACGATTGCATGTAAAGTGATCATCTTGGCCGACAGTAAGCCTTTGTTAAGAGCATAGGAATCTGGAGCACTCTCAAATCTTGCGCTTCTGCTATCCAGGCACAAGCCCCTAAGTTCGAAGTTCGCATTCTCGAAGCCCACAGCCCAAAACTCTAGCCCGACACCGGAGAGGATTGCGAAGAGCCAAAGGAGCCTCAGAAGAAGCATTCTTGGAGCACGACATCGAAGCGCTGTGCTATGCCGGTTTATTGCCATTCGCACCAGACTCGCTAGAACCCTATCATACTACACAGTTTTGTCTCTTCTGCTAGTATTACATGATATGATTATATTTTCTAGTATGTTATATTATGTTACAATATTCTCTTTTCAGTATGTTAAATTTGACACTGTTATTTTGCCGTACGTCATATCAGATTACTGTATCACCTTATAGCATGATATATCAGATTACACCACATTTCAGTATAAGGTAAAAGCCAGAAAGTTGGAATATGATTATCCTAACCCTTCTATGGTAAATTATAGGGTATCCTACCATGAAACCATATCCCTAAACCCTAAACCCCTAGATTCCTATATTACCTCGAATCCCAGGAGGCTTCCGAGTTCGATCGGGCCCTGCTCCTGGAGCTGAGAGCTCTGAAGGCCGCTGGGCCGGGGTCTAGGGTTTAGGGTTTAGGGTTTGGGGTTTAGGGTCTAGGGCCTAGGGTTTAGGGTTTCAGGGTTTAGGGTTTATAGGGTTTAGGGTTTGGGGTTTAGGGTAGGGTTTAGGGTTAATGTAAACTAATTGATTAAAGATAAAATGAAAGGGAGTTGTACTATCTGTTATTAATTAAAAGGAAGCAAAATTCATAATATATGTTACGGCGCAGGTTCAGGGCTCACGTCTTCCTGTGGGTGGTAGTCAAAATTATGGCACCCTTTTTGGGTACCCTAAGTAATAGGTGCCGCATTATGTTAAGGACCCAAAACGGGACCCTAATTTGGAGAACCACCCATGTGTTGTCCAGGTGGGCGGGTGTGTTCAGGGCTCGAGATCCTCGAGGGCATTCGGTGTGTCGAGGGTCCTCACGGTTTGTGCAGTTGCCAGGGTGCGCTTGACGCCCTTATCTCCTCAATTTTCTTTAATTTCAGGATCGAGGTGAGCAACTGGCAGCTCAAATTGTGCCGAGCCGCGGGGTGGTGTGTAATTACCACAGGAACTACAGGGATATCCACAGCCACGCAATTCAAGAAGCGCTTTCAAACAAAGAGGGAGCTGTCAAAGCCTTCAAACCCAAAGCCCTGAAGACCGAAAAAGTTTCTAAAGCCCTGAGGCCCAGAGCTCTGCAGCAGCCCTAAACACTAAACACTCGAGAAGTGCTCCAAGCAAACAAACTCTAAGCCCAAGCCAAACTCGATATCCACAAATGGGAAGTTATCAAAATTATGGCCCCTTTTTGGGTACCCTAATTAAATTTAACGCTACGCCGCCCGCCTCGGCTCTGTAGCGGCAGGGCGAGGCGGCAGTGGATGGATGTTGTATACAGCATGGTAAGCGGGCCTCTCAACCCCAACCTCGAAACGGGTGAGTGTCGATTGTGCGAGCGCCATCTTCCGGGCACGGGGAGGGAGGGGGGGGAGGGGGGGGAGGGGGGGCGTGTACCCCGCTTTACAACCAGAATCCCCACTTTACAACCAGAACCCCCACTTTACAACCCATGAGCCTTTCCGGAATCCCCACTTTGCAACCGGTTGGGAAAGCTTCTTAACAACCCTATTAACTGATAACGTCAAAGCCTAGAATCTCTAGCATCATCCTCTACGGCAGCCATGCAGGTTGGAAAGTGATGTTGGTTGCAATGTGGGCGTTCTTAACCCGAAACCACGATAGATATGTGTGTGTACATATATATATATATATTTATTTATGTATTTATTTATTTAGATGCGTGAGGGTTTGGTATCGATGATATACTGTTTAGATGCTCACCTCAGCGAGCGTGTTGTTGCATAGTGGTTTGCACTTTACGCACTTGCGGCCGTCAAGCTGTATCCAACTCACTCCCTGCAGGCAAATTCGGACCGAGTGTGTTTGTATTGGGGAAAGCAGAAAGAAAACATGAGTTTTAGAAACGGATTCTTTTCTCACCAGAGCGCAGGTATGCATTTGGTTCGGGTGCATATTCTAAACCTGCATATTCTAAACCTAGTGGCTTTACAAGGGTTTAGGGCTTCGGGTTTAAGGCGTAGGGTTCGGGTGCATATTCTGAACCTAGTGGCTTTACCAGGGTTTAGGGCTTAGGGTTTAAGGCGTAGGGTTCGGGTGCATATTCTAAACCTAGTGGCTTTACAAGGGTTTAAGGCTTAGGGTTTAAGGCGTAGGGTTCGGGTGCATATTCTAAACAAGGGTTCGGGTGCATATAATCCGGAGCAGCCCTCAACTACTGCTTTGCCTCCAGCCAGGCGCACAGAAGCACCCACAGACGACAAAGATCAAAGATATCATGCGACGAAGCAATTTTAGGGATGTTCGAGATCTTAGTAGTTTGGGGCCACGGTCGCATGAAGGCCACGTAAAACACTTTAGGGGGTCAAAGAACCAACAAACTATTAGGAATCTAGGTAGGTTTGTTGTAAAAAACTCATGAAATCCCAATAAGTCTTAATCATGGGTAGACGGGTTGCAAAGTGGGCGTTCTCACGATCGGCAGTTGTAAAGTGGGGATTCTCACACGGAAAACAGTGTCTGTGGTTGTAAAGTGGGGATTCTGGTTGTAAAGTAGGGATTCTGGTTGTAAAGCGGGTTAATCCCACCCCCAAGGGGAGGGGGGAGGGGGGGAGGGGGAGAGAGGGGGGGAGGGAGGCAAAAAACGGGTGTCTCCAAGCATTTGGACTGCAGGGAGGGTACCTGAAGTAACCACCAAGACGCCTGGGCCTGTGGCCTCGGCGGATAGGTGCCGTATCATAATAGGGACCCAGGAACATAATTTTGATAACAGGAGCTGGACCCAGATGCCATGTCCTTGCGGCAGCGCATCATGGAGCTCCGGAACGAGGAGCGCCAGAGTGCGGGTCCCATATCCGTGGCTTCATGTGGGAGCTTCCGAAAAAAGGAACCATACATAATATACTACCCTAAATAGCGGGATCCTTACTATGAGCATTCCAAAACAAGGTACCCCTAGTTTTTGGAGAAGCCCCATCCATGTTTCTTTAGCTTTGATTTCTAGGTGCTGTTTTTGCTGAAGCTTCTGGGAACTTGTTGGACTTTTGGGTTTCTTCCAGTTTCGTCACGGTTTTAGGGTTTAGGCTTTGGGGTTTAGGGTTTAGGGTTTATGGTTTAGGGTTTAGGGTTTAGGGTTTGGGGAGATGTTGAGGGCTTGAGGCTTTGGGGCCCTGAGGGTTTCAGGAGCTTTTGGGGCTTGAGGGTCTGTCAAAATGTGCTGGCTCTGTCCCACAGAGCTGTTCCGTTCCTGAGTCTCTGCCCGAGGTAAGCTAGCCGAAGACCTTCTGAAGAAGGTTCGGAGCGAGATAGAAGAGATGGAGGCTTGGTCCTCTCCATCCGCTTGACCAGCGTTGCCTTGGGACTTGGCGCGAGGTGCCAATTCTTAGCCCACTGCGACGGGAGAGTCAAGCGCATGGAGGCCAGGGTGCGGCTGAAACTCTTCCCAATCCCGTGGGTCTTGAACAGAAAGTTCGGGGTAGTTGAGTTGAACGGGTGTGCAGCCTCAGCTGGCCAGCAGCGGCCAGCACACAGTCTTGGCTCAAGGTGATCAGGATCTCACTGGGGCACAGCTCAAGCGGCTTGCCATGCAGCTCTACACCAAGGCGCGGCAGAGACGAAGCAAAGCAGAGCTCGTAGAAGTGCGGGGTGAGGGCTTCTGCTGTCGATTCACGACTACAACACTCGATCTACGGTGTTTCTGGATATTTTGCAGCATTGCTCCAGTTCTGCACTTATTTAGCATGAAGATCTGTGGTACGTGTGGAGAACAGCACTGCAATGACACTTAGGTTGTCTACAGTGGAATGTCGAACGAGCAAGAAGCAGCGGCATCGACACTAGCCGCACTAACCCCACCTGTGCCGCGCGCCGTGCTTATCATGCCGAACCTCGGCAAAAGCCAGAATGGTGCCAGAGACAGCCAGGACGCATGAACGTGAACAATGCTGACCCTTCCCTGTGGAATGCGATGTGTCCTCACATCGCCTTACCGACACTTGCACCTTGATGCAGCAGCATCATCATATTTTGTTGCAGCTCCAACTGCGCCGATGCATGTGCACTTGCAGTGGTGTCGGCAGCTGTCGTCCACAAGACCTCTGCATGTCGTCAATGGCCAGGATGCGATGCCTCTGGTTCAAGAGCACGTGCTTGGCATCATCGGGCCGCTCGTGCCCAAGCTTGCCAAGGTCGTGTCAACGAGGAGGAGGAAAAGGAGGAGGAGGAGGAAGAGGAGGAGGAGGAGGACTAGTGACTAGTAGTAGCACCAGTAAAAGCGGCAGGCATTGGTAGTGGCAGTGGTAGTCGTAGCAGTTAGCAGTAGCAGTAGCAGTTGCAGTAGCGTTGTTGCAGTGGGAGTAGGATGAGGTGACGGAACAGCAGCAGCATCAGCAGGAGCCGCCACTGCAACGATCATCAGAATCATGATGAGCGCTTGTAGAAGTAATTCACTGCCAGCAACAGCAGGAGTAGCAAGCGCAACATGCATTATGGCAGTTTCTACTGGTAGCAACTAGGCTGGCCATCGCAAGAGTTGAGCCTTGTCACGTCGAAGGCAGAACTGAAGCAGATCTTGCATCGTTCCAGCGGTTCTAAGCTAGAGAGACTGTTGGGGTCCTCTTAAAATCACTGGCATCCAAAACATCCTAAACCACATAAAGCCGACTGTCGACCCCTACACTAAATTCAGAGCTCGGCATTCTTGTGCAAGGTGGGACCATCTTGTTCGGGACCGCAGGGCTGTTCACAGGGCTACAGCACTTCTCCCTGCCCAGATTATGATCTTGTCATTGTGATTTCGAAGTTTGAGGTACGAGATTGCATCCCAGAGGAAAGATTCTGGCTTCAAGGGTTGTGCTCCTTGGCAGGACTACGCGCTTCAGCTCTCCGTCTTCCAGGTCAGCCAGGCTGGCGTGTGCCGGTATGAGAGAGAACATCTTCAATTTTATGGTGGGTTGCCTTGATGTGACAATGTTTCCCCAAAGTCCTGTCCTGATTGCTGTATCATACATACCCTGCCATGTCTCCCTCAAAGACCTGATTCAAAAACACCTATTGTAGTTAGCCTGTCCGTCGCAGGTAGTCACGGCAGCTTTCATGTGTCTGGATTAAGCTAACTCCACGTGTACATCGCCCATGCTATGCTTAAGAGACTGTGAGTTTTTGATTTAACGTTGCCTCTTTTGGCAGCTGATCTGTGCGGAAGACATAGTCAGGTGGGGAGTTTGGCTGGGGCGGCACATCTGTTAAATGATAACGCAGGTGTCCTAAGGTAAGCTCAATGAGAACAGAAATCTCATGTGGACCAAACGGGGAAAAGCTTGCTTGATTTTGGTTTTCAGTACGAATACAAACTGTGAAAACATGGCCTATCGATCCTTTAGGTCTGAGAAATATTCAGCTAGAGGTGTCAGAAAAGTTACCACAGGGATAACTGGCTTGTGGCAGCCAAGCGTTCATAGCGACGTTGCTTTTTGATCCTTCGATGTCGGCTCTTCCTATCATTGAGACGCAGAAGTCCCAAAGTGTCAGATTGTTCACCCGCCAATAGGGAACGTGAGCTGTTCCTCTTCGCTGCTCGAAGCTGCTCTCACTGTCGGTCGAGCGATGCGCAACATCAAAGAGCCATCGTCAGGTCTACTCCATGTCAGCGATTTTCGGCTATGCCTTGCGACAAGCTGAGCTGCGCGGGCCACAGTTGCAGTTCCTGATTCCGCGTTATCAAAGAAGGCGAGGGAGGGGCCTGCTCGATCATTGGGTGTGTACAAAGGATGTTTGAGGGCATCCTCGAGGCTTCTAGCTTCAAGCCTAGTTTCAATCACAGGGCATCTCCGTCCGCGCAGTTCTTGTCAAAGGCTTGTGCTTTCTTTTTTTATGCCTGTCGCCACCGAGCCACGATCGAGGCGCTATGGCTTGGAGAAAGCCACCGGAGATGCGAAGGCTCTGAATGTGCACGATCATGGAGCATTCGTGAATTGGCCTTGGGACATGAGAGACGGGCAGGCCTAGGTCTAGGCTCATAACGCCCGAATCAAGCTTATTTGGGTGCACATCGCAGTCTATCATAGTTTGTCGCAGTCTAGCTGTATGTTGGCTCAGGTGTGGAGGGGCAGCCGCGCAAGACCTGAGGAACTTCAGAAATCAACCTCCGCTGGAGCAGTGTACCGACGTCTCTCTTTGCATGTAAAGTACAGCCACGGACCAGACTTCCAGTCCAGGGTCTCAATTTGATACGCTCTAGACGACAGCTTGAAGCAGTTCGCGTTGCATTCATGGCTATCCGAGTGGATGTCGTCCTGCTGAGTGGGCAGACAGCCTCCGTCACCATGATGCCCGATGATATCGTGTACGATGTGAAGCTGGCTGCTCAGACGAAGATGCAGATTGGTTTGCACGCCTTGTTTGGCCAGAATGGTCAGCTGCTGGAGGACTGGTGGTGTGTGAAGCGTTCCTGCTTGAAAGACGGCGACGTGGTCAATGCCAGCGTGAGGTGCTCCACGTTGGCTTCGAGCAGCAAGAACCCGGCCTTTGCCCTTATCCGCTCCGATGGCTCCGTTGAGACATGGGGTGACGCAGAATCCGGTGGTAACAGCGACAGTGCTGCAGAGAAATTGCGAAATGTGCGCAGAATCTGTGCATCGTCTGGTGCTTTTGCTGCCATTGTCTCCGATGGAAGCGTTGTGATGTGGGGGGCCTTCTTCTCCGGTGGGCACTGCGGGTCAGCGGTGCAGCGGCAGCTTTTCCAAGTGCGTGACCTGCAAGCTTCCTATCGGGCTTTCGCAGCCCTGAGAGAAGATGGAAGGGTGGTAACTTGGGGTGACGTGGGCTTTGGGGGAGACAGCAGCTCCGTGCAAGAGGAGCTTTATGACGTGCGCCAAATCTCATCGGCACGACGCGCCTTCGCAGCGATCCGGGCGGATGGGAGCGTCGTAACCTGGGGGGATTCGGACACCGACTCGAGCGAAGTGGAGGGCCAACTCAGAGAGGTCCGACTGCTGTGCGCTACAGAGCACGCCTTCGCTGCTCTGAGGGCAGATGGGACGGTTGTCTCTTGGGGAAGGGCGAGCCACGGCGGTGACAGCAGCGAGGTCCAGGACAAGAGCCGCACCGAGTCTAAGTCAGTGCAACTAAGGGTGACAGATTGTCCGAAGATTGTTTTCCCATTCATAGATTTGCCAGAGAACTGACCAACGACGTTGAGATTGCCTGACATTACTGATAGCACTCATTAGGGGTATAGCCAGTGCGGCACCAACAGGAGCAGCTGAAAGAGGTGCGGTACCTGACGTCTTCGCACCGAGCCTTTGCGGCTCTTTTGGCCAATGGCAGGGTGGTGACCTGGGGAGATGCTGAATCTGGGTTGCTGTTAACGAACTTAAGTTGCTATGATAAGGAAACCCTAGTATTTAGGATATATCCTCATTACGGTATCTAAAATTAAGTTCCTTAGCAGCAACCCAGGATTGGGGAGGCGATAGTTCACGGGTCGGCGAGAAGCTTCAGGACGTTCACCAGATCTCCGCTTCAGCTGCAGCCTTCGCAGCGGTTCTGGCAGATGGTCGCGTAGTCACTTGGGGACACCCGGAGTTGGGTGGCAACAGCAATGCAGTCCAAGAAGATCTCGAGGGAATCTGCCAGATCGATGCTACTGACTCAGCTTTTGCTGCCATCCGCCTGGACGGAGAGGTGGTGACCTGGGGCCACCCAGAGAGCCTTGCCAGCACCATTGTGCACCAGTAGCATCCGGTACTCGTAGCATGTCCCCAAGCCCATCCTAAGCTCCAAGCCTTCACGGGGCAGTTGGGAGTTTCCGAAATTGGGGGGCCTAATATAGTACCCTAAATAATAGGATCCTTATTATAAGGACCCCGAAATAAGGTACCCCTAATTTTTGGAAACTCCCAGTTGAGGTACGGCGGAGATAGCCGCAGCGTGCAGAATCAGCTCCGAGATGTTCGCCAAGTCCGGGGCTCTCGCTGTGGATTCGCCGCCCTCTTGGCCGATGACACCCTGGTGACCTGGGGAGCTGGCCACGACTCCACGCCTGAAGGCCCCTGACCAGGCCTAGCGCATCCAGCGCTGTTTGCGTCGCTTTTTTCCAGTTTTCCATGGGTCACACCGTTGAGCCTGCTTCTTCGGGCAACTGCCGACGACAGTGGGCGAGACCAGTGCGCAGAGTTCTTTCAATTTTAAACTGACGCTTCAATTTTTTTGTAGTCACCACCCGCGGTGCCGCCGACTGCTGTGCACCATACTGTAGCCCAGCGCTCCCTGTCGCTCCGTTGTCTTGGTGATGTTCGCGAATGCGAGGATAGTTTGTTTACTGCATTGCCAGAGCAGACTGAACGGCCCGCTGCTGCGCAAACTCATCGCGCTGCAACCAGCGCCAACGGCCTCTCACGAGCACTCAAGCGCTCATGATGGCGCTGGCAGTAGTCATGGAGCCACTGGTGCGAACACTGGCAGGCATCGCAGTAGTCATAGTGCAGTCGCAGATAAAGTAACACCAGCAAAGGAGCATGCAAGAATAACTAGAACACGGAACCGGGAAACATGAAGCACACAAGAGTAGGCAGCGAGAAGAAGCTCCAATCGTGAGGCAAAACTCAGGCCGCTCCACTACAGACACTGGAATGTCTTTCCGCTGAAATGGTGGGAATGGACATCTGGGTTCTGAAAAGACGGCATCAAAAAGGGAATGCAGCTGAACTCATGCTCGGCCGTATCCTTTGGGCCCGATGTCTCGAAGCTACGTGGAGGTTCATGGGTAGTTATGTTATGTGTAGGGTTATAAGGAGGATAACTATATAGTTACTATAGTTATAAGTTATAACCCATATTAGGGGGCTTATAACCCCACTTGTAACTACCCATGAACCTCCAAGTACCCGTGTTCCAACCTCTGCTAGGCGGCAACCTTGAGCGACTACGTGTCCAGCCTGGATTCGCAGGAGGCGATTGAAACCGCTGCATTAGCGTCTCCTCAAGCGACGTGACGCACGTGCGGATAGTTGATGTACACATGTCACATATGCCATCATATGCGACATGGTACTGTGCGATGTCCGTCTGTTCGAAGCCCCACTACCCGCGTACTTCTTGCGGCTAAGGCTTAAAGGGTTTCAATCCTTCAGGCACTTCTACTGTCTGCCGGCATGTCGCTGGAAGCCCAGCAGGCCGTGAAGCAGCAGGCCATCTAGCGCTTTTGCAATGCAGTGTTTAGGGATCATGTTTTCTTCGCACTGCCATCCCGCATCCAATAGTATGATGGAGGACTTGTAGTCTCAGCCTTTGCCTTGTGTGCGGGGCTCACAAGCTCGGCAGGTGACCGGACTCTGCGGTGACTCACAGGAGGAGCTCTGGCGAGGGTGCGAACCTCGAAGGTTTCCAGGAGGAAGGGATGCCTTCTGAGAAGAGAAGGCCCTTCTCTTGTTGAGAGATATGCCTCGACGACCGTGGGTGACATTTTTTGTCAATTACGATCGAGGCAATAGGGTTTTGGCCCACTTTACCACAACTATTGTAAGGAACCCCCAAAATAATATAGAGACTTAATTATAGGGTTTTGGAGGTTCCTTACTCTAATCATAGTATAATATACACCCAAGCCCCATTCAATTTCTTAAAGGCCTCGATATGACTCCTGGCAGTTCGAGACACCGAGGCTTATTGATGCAGTGGGCCCTGCACTCGATTCAGACGAGGAGCTCGGGAGACTGAGGCTCGGGCCTCTGTGGCCTTGCGATGAGACTCAAAGCTGGGAGGGCTACCTCGTGTAAGTCTTAGTAATCTTAGTATTATAGTATTAGTGTCAGTATTAGTGTTAGTCTTATATAGTAATCTGAGTGTTAGTATTGGTATCAGTATTAGTGTTAGTCTTAGTAATCAACATCACAGTATAAGTAAGATTTTTGGTAACAGTATTCGTATTAGTTTCAGTATTAGCATTAGTAGCAATGGCGTTCAGCTCTAGGAGTTCCTGGTAGTGGGAGCATGACCCATGCACGCCCGTGCGCTTTTCTTCACTTTTAAGCGTTTCGACTCTTTTGTTTCCGAGGGTTTCGCGGTTTCGATCTCTTCAGATTTGTGTGTGCTTTTGCAGGGGTTCGGAGTTTTGGCACTTTCGGTGTTTCAGCGGCTCGCCTTTTCTGGGTGTTCCGGTGGTTCAGAGACTCGGTTTTTGCGAGAATTTGTTGCTTCGGGCTCTTCGTAGTTTTAGTGGCATTTTCTCGGAGTTTGAGCATCTTCTTGATCGGTGTCTCAGGCCAACCGAAACAACGTACACTTCGACCTCAACTGTTCTCGCACAGAATCCATCTGTTCTTGCAGAGCATCCATGCTCCGTTCCCGCAGAGCAGCCATGCTCGCACCGTAATAACGTCCACTCCGACCCGCCCGAATTGTGACAGCGTCCTCTCCGACCCCGTCCGATGACCAGAGCATCCGTGCTCGAACCGTAATAGCGTCCAGTCCGACCCCATCCGATTACCAGAGCATCCATGCCCGAACCGTAATAACATCCACTCCGACCCTCCGAACCGTAATAACATCCACTCCGACCCCTTCCGGTTGCCAGAGCATCCATGCCCGAACCGTAGTAACGTCCACTCCGACCCCATCCGATTACGAGCTCGCAGTTAAGGACCTTCACGCCAAACTACTTGCGAGTTGTCAGATGCCCTTTTCTAGCCGTAAAGATCCCTGAGCTGCGAACATATGGCCCCTGCCGCGGTTTTAGCGTGTGAACATTACCGGAAGTGCCTCCCGCACCATGCACGCATATGGGGTGTGCACCTTGTAGTTTCCGACGAGCTGTTGAGAGAAGTGCTCAGGCAGGCCATTGCCAACGGCGAGGTGCGCAAACTTTGCTTCCATGTGGGAGATTCCGGAGATTAGGGATATCTTACTCTGGGGTCCTTATAGTAAGGATCCCACTATTTCACTATTTAGGGTACTACATTATGGTCCCCTATTTTGCAAACTTCCATGTGCTGCAGCCTCCCATGAAGATTCAGTCTCGGGGTTGAGAGGTCCGGGGGGCTCAGGTTTGAAGAAGGCATGATGCTGATTCCGGCACACCGTCAGGAAGTTAAGATTGCCAAGGACGGCTTAAGCCAAGCCAGTCTCGTCCGATTCTCACGCGTAAGTAGCAGATCATAGATCTTGGAGCCTGGCGACTTTGTGTATCAGTGAAGCTGGACACTCCTGACAGGTCGAGTCTGTGCCAATCAGCATTGCGTTGCTGCGTCGCATAGCCCTGGAGGGTGTGGCCAGTCTGACATGTTGAGACCTTATAGGGGGCCATTTCCGGTTTTTTCCTATGCTAGGAAGGAAGAAAGTAAAGGCCAGGCCGGAAGCAACGACAAATGTGATGGCCTTTTCGTGTGATTTTGGAAAGACTTTCGAATGTAAGGTGTGCGTCTGAACTGACACACTTCTCACGAGTAAATTGGGTCGTGGAAGCGATTCCGTAAGTATTAAAAACTTGCCTGAAGTAGCAGTAGCATCGAGGACTGGGAAAATACCATCATGAAACATGCAGCTGAGGAGCGATCACTGATGAACCGTCGGAACGCTGTACATGCCCTACTGCTACGGCAATCCTGCTAGAATCCTGAGTCTTGTACATCTTCGACGCTCCCATCCCCGAGTCTCCCCACACCACACAGCAGAATTCTGGGAGCTGCAGCGCTGTCATCTTCGTCATCGTTGCTGCTGCTGCTGCTGTCGTGGTTGTGGTTGCGGTTGGGGTTGTGGTGGCGGTGGTGGTAGTCATTATTACTATTACTATTGCTATTATTATTGCTATTATTATTGTTATTACTATTATTATTATTATTATTACAATTATTGTTATTACTATTCCTGTTAGTTATCGTTATCATTTTCATGGTGGTCGTGGTGGTCATTATTTTGCGTGTCACATCACTGTCTAGTTCTGTGGATCGCGGTGGCAGGCCTTTGGCTTCCTGCTGTCGAGGGCAGAGGCGCTAAAAACCGCTTCCACGGGTAGGTTCCGACACTTATATAATATGTATGTACAATCTGTATATATATATATATATATATATATATATTCCATAAATATATTCCATCTATATGTATATATATAAACACATACAATCTGCACATATACATATACATATATATATATATATACATATGTATATATATATATATAATCTATATACTGGGATTGTGAGGAGACTCGGGCAAGGCCTTGGGGGTCATGGGGCAACGCGGCTGTTCGGGCTGTTCTATGCAGTTCTCAGTACTTGGAGGTTCATGGGTAGTTATAAGTAGGATAACTATACTTATGACCCGTATTAGGGGACTTATAACCTACTGACTGAGCCCCCTGATCCTTCAAGTATGACATGGAGAGGCTTTCTGTCCTGCGCGCTGTAGAGATGACACCTCGACGAAGCTCAACAGCTGCAGGCCGATTCTTCACAGGATTTGACGTTCACGAAGAGCTCCGGGCTGAGGAAACTTCTAGAGAAGTGAAGGGTTTTGTGCCCCAAACCCCGAAGCCCTACCCTTATAGATCCCTTATAGTAGCCCTTATAGACTCCTTCTAAAGGAACCCTATTCTAATTCTTCTAGAGAAGTGTAGGGTTTTGTGCCCCGAACCCCGAAGCTTGCGCCAAGGCGAGACCCCACGACTGCTGGGAGCTTTCAAAAGCACATGGGGATTTTTAGGACTGACTGCCTGTGTAGGCAGTGTGAGCCGTCTGCACTGTAGTAGTTTCAGCGATTGCCAGCCTGAATTGCACATGAACCGCGTGAGAGATCGCGAGAGGACGAGCGGGTGGCAAGCGCTTCTCGGACCTCTGAGAGCAGTGAAACCCTGGCGTGGGCCGGGTGTCCACTGCGTGTGAAGGAAGATGAAGACAGGGTTGCTCGAGCATGTTTTTCAGACAGAGCCTGACATGCAACGTGGAGTCCTTGGGACATGTCATGTACAGAGCACTTCATCCATCCATTCCGCTGCGCGCCAGCCACGCCATTGGAATTGCTTTCCTTTGGAGGCTTTATCCATGACGCCCGAGATGGCGCGTTGTGTTTTCCTTGCATGCCTGTTTCCTACGCAATGGTCTTTGCGTCATTTGAAAAAAGGCAGCCTTGGCAGGCCCAGGAAGCGAGGCCCCCATGACGCAGATGCCTCGAGGCGTAGCGTTCATGGGGTCAACCTCGCTTGATCAAGGTATATACAGATATAATTACAGAATTACAGGTGCAGGTGGTACAGGTGTCCTTTTAGTGGTTCGTTCCGTTAGAGCGGATCGCCGCCGATTCACGGTACCGCTGCGCTCTGAAAGTTGGTTAGGGTGGTCGTTGGTTCATTCAATCCTGAATTAGACCTGCCAAGTTTGCCAAACGTTCAGCGGAACGGGGCTGATCGCCGTCACTAGGCAATCTCTAGTATGGTATTGCTTGACGCGAAACATCATGCCAACACCAGAGGCACATCTCACATGGATGAGTTACGCTTCATGCAGGACAGTCCCCATTAATCAGTACGGTTTGAGCAGGCGTCACCCTGCCCATTCGCACAATGGGGCCATCAACCGAGGCAATCTAGACCGCTGACTTACGGAACATTCGTGAAACCATCCAAGGAAACCCTTCACGTTCAGGCGTATTCGATAGATGCTTCGGTTGCAGCCAGTCTGATCGGGAAGCTTCAGCAGCAGTCGCGAACGTGCCGGTCCATCATACTGACATGGCAGACTAGTTGCTCATTTGGAGCCAACTTGGCGATCAACCCCCAATGTCTTGAGAAAGTAGGATGTGATTATGTTCCATGGCGGTAGTTGGCTGAAGGATGCTTATCCAACTAAGATGCAGATCGTTTTGCACTGCTCTTGATCGTTCTTGCTACTGCATGTCTGTGAGATTCATGGGTTTTCCTACCCATGTTTCACTACTCCGAGTATGAATACCGCGTACGATAGACTCCATGGGCGAGTACGCTTTAGGGTATTTCCGCCTTGCTGTCCGTACCTGCAGTTTCTTACACGCCTCCTTAAATTGCCGATATAAAGGGAGGTGTTAGTCTCTAGCATGATGCATTTCTGCGCGTCCTGTTTGATTCGCTACTTTTCATGGGGGATTTCATGTATGTGCCTGAGACTGTGCAATGCAAAGCGTACCATGGCATACGCATACGTATTCACGTGCATCCGTGCATCCATCAATCCATCCGTCCGTCCGTCCATCCATCCATCCATCCATCCATCCATGCATGCATTAATGCATGAGTGCATTAATGCATGAGTGCATGCATGCGTACATCCGCACATCCATACATGCATACATGCAGCCGTACATACACGCATGCTGGCATACGTTCATGCATCCCTCCATCCCTTCCTCCCGTCCATCCACCCATTCCATCCATCCATCCATCCATCCTTCCGTCCATCCATCCATCCATCCATCCAGCCGTAAGTTTATGCACATTGCTGTTGACTGCACTGCCGCCGTCAGTTTCTATTCTGTCTTATGGTGGTTGTCATGCTGACGACAATGACTACGATAATGGTGATTCGTGATCCTGGCACAGATGCTGATGAGATCATGGCAATGATGTCGATGGCGATAATGATCATTCCTCCTCATCCTCTTTCTCCCACTGCTGCTAGTACTTCTTCTTGTTGGTGTTACTTGTCTGTGCCTTCGCGAAACCGAATTAGCCAACTGCCTGTGTTTCTTGATGCGAAGACGGCGGCCGCGTCTCCCGTGACGTTGTTTATCGTCATAGCAGCATTTAGATGAATATCGCGATAAATGTGGGGGTGTGGTGTGCACCTCATAGTCGCTTCCAGTGTTCCGGAGATGCGGCTGCTTGGTGTTATTGTGATTGTCATGGTCTCTGGGCTGATCCCAGAGATGCCATGTCACGCTGACTTGGTGTGCTTTTCAAGTTGTACAGACCGCCAGAGAAGTGCCTGACAACTAAGAGCCTGTGGCAGAAGAGATGCCGCAGGGCGGGCTGACATGGATGAGAAAGGGCTTGTGAAAGCTCATCTCTTCCTTCGTGGCGGTCCCCTTTGCGGCATCCTCCCCGGAGGCCTTTCGGGCAAACAGTCACCCAGTCGCGAAGCTCTGCAGAAACGTCGCAGATGCACTGCATTGCTCATTTTTTAAGGGCGCTGTGCAGACATGGCGACGAGACTTAAGGTTCGTCTAGTCTAGTTGCGAATGTGGCGGTATGTGAAATGTGATAAGAGCTCTTTGTAAATCGGCACAAGGATACTGTAAAGATGGTGTTTGGGCAGCATGAGGACCCTAGCCTGCCAATATCTCGCCTTGGCTGTGTACCACTTGTGCGGTTTACATCGCAATTTTGAAGACCTGTACTATGCCCACTCCAATGCCGCAACAACATCAGCACAACTGACAGCAGCTCTGCATGATAAATTTATGCACAAACTCAAAGTGACAAACGAGAACTATATAATGGAGCAATACAGCAGCTTGGAAGACAAAGCGTGTACCGGCATTTTACCTGCTGATGGTGCATATGCGCCAACGTGGTGACAGCAGTTTCGACCTTGACCGTGAAGTAACTCGATGCCTAGGGCCTAGGTACCAAGCTTGACAGTGGTTCATACGGTTGATGGTATATTCCTTATTATGGGTAATGCAGCATTTTTATCATCAGCCGTAAGAGTCTGCACTACCGATGAATAGAGCTCCTCGCCAGCTGCCCAAAGCTGTTCGGCGCCGGGTTCTGTTGCTTCTGCTTTAAAAAGTTCGCCAGCCTGCATGAGTTGCTGCTGCAGTGGTTGCAGGATGTAAGAAGATTATGGCGCCGACAAACAATACAATGGCAGAACGGTGCCGAAGCCACCACGGTAACATCATGACCACCATGAAACAACGGTTAGAGTTTTTTTGCATTGTTGCCAATGCAAGAACGGCTCTGAGTATCAGCAAGGATAGTCTAAACGACGTCGTCTGAGTAGGAAGTGCGAAAGTTACACAAACTCGTCGCAGCACTTACCGAGCCTCTGTGCTACCCTTCTGAGAGAATTTGGTATGGTTTTTGTCGTTTGGCAGGGTGGTCGGCAGGGTGTTCGTAGCCAGGATGATGGTTAAAAGGGTCAGGAACAGAGAGTTTCGGAAGGTGAGCATACCCGCCGCCGCCGTGCTTGTTGGAAAATGAGGGTTGCCTCATGAGTCTATGAGTCTAGAAACTGTGGTAGACTGCTATCGAAGCTGGTACGCTCAAGCACTAGCCCAAACTTGCAGAACTCTCATAGCAGGTTGTTCTGACTGAGGGCTGGCTGATGGCTAAGAACTTTCAGCAACTTCCCGTTTGACTGGGGCGAAGGTCTTCGAAGACATTCGATCTGCGACGTAGAAGTGTTTGTGCATTCTGACTTTTGCGCGCGCCTTTTGCCTCAAGCTATGTGGGGGCGCGATCTGAAACTCCACAGATCGCGGTGCCGGTTTGGGGCCCAGGACGATGCTAGGGGTTTAGGGCTTTTCAGGGGCTGTCGGGCGTAAGCGTCCAGACTTTGCAGCGATCTTACCTACCAAAGCCTTGCATTTGCAGACGCACAGACCTGGGCAAGTTTCCTGTATCCGTGGCGGCATGTAAACCCACACTATCCAGCCCGAATCCCCTGATCCGGACATGTCCGGTTCAGCAGGTCCCCCTGCCATAGAAACTACGTTGCTACGTATATGAACATGTCTGTGTTGCTGCCGAATCCTTGCCTGGCATTCCGAGGGCTTCGGCGCCACATCCGTAAGAAAGTCTGGAGGAGGAGCCCATTGCTGAGTTGGTTACGGTGTCCATCATGCCACAATCATGAAACAAGTGCTTTTTCAACGTGTCACGTAATTGCTCGCCAAGCGCGCTGTGCAGTCTTGCCAGGGTACCTGCCAATATGTGTTGCATTATGTTGGCATACATTGGCATGTAGTGATGTGCGCTAGAAGAACTGAGTTTTAGCAAGGGAAGAACTTAAGAACTTGATTCTGGAAAGGACATGATCTTTCGTCGTAGGTAGTTATAACGGCACCCGCCGTAAATAATCATAAACTGAAAGCCCAACCCCAGTAGCAATGCATGACAGCGCAACCACTTCGCTGTAAGAAACGACTACTACAAGAACGGGTACCGTAGAGAGAAATTATGTAGACCGCTCCCCAGATGTACCCAGGGCCACCCAACTAGGAGTGCACAAGTTGGAATATCTTAGCCGTACTTGGAGGATCAGGTACCTTAATTGGGGTTATCACTACCTATAGGTATGGTGACCTTAATTGTGGCCCTAGTTACTAAGTCCCATGATCCTTCAAGTAAGGCTGGATTGACGTCAACCGTTGTTGGGATCTTGTGACTGTGCAGTTTTGAGACGCCGCCACGATGTCAAGATCCCAAATTAAGGGATGCAGTTTAAATTACCATAATGGGGTCTATACTATTTATCATGGTTTATGTACTATGGTAACTTGAAGTAAATCCCTTAACCCAAAGCGACAGCACTTGCGAGGACTCTAGGCCCAATCCACCAAATCCTTGTAAATTTCGAGGCTCCAGACCATACCAAGAAGGGCTTGGTGGGCGGTGGAGGGGCGGAAAGCGGCCTCTGACATAACGACGTGGCACCATCCATAAAAGCCATGCCCCGGTAGCGTGAGACTTTCAAGACCGGGGCCTATCATTTACTAACTAACTAATTAGAATAGGATTTGGGGCCATTATACTACAATTATAACAAGGAGCCCCCAAAATATTGTAGGGGGTTCAGCGTTTATAGTTGAGGGGTTTCCAGTGTTCAGGTCAAGCTCGCTGAAGAGGAGACAGACCCTATATACTACACATTTTGGTACAAGCTCGTACATTGTAGCATATCGTATATCATAGTGTATTCTTGTACACTGTAGTGTATGACGGTCGCTTGAATGATAATTTTATACACGCTAGCCCTAGTTTTGCAACCAGCCCATCTTGCTGCAAGTGCGCCAGGCTCCAGATTCCTTGACACCCAATGCTGGATCTCGATGAAATTACCGAGGATGCCGCATTGAGCAGTTAGGGTAAGATGTTGGGGGCAACAATCCGAGTGGTCCAGAAGCCCTAAACCCAAAAAACCCCAAGCCACAAACCCTTAAACCATACACCCGAAATCCTAAGCCTCAAGCCTTAATTTGAGTCCTTGCCCTCCGCCAAGCTGGTGTTCCAACGACCCTTCGGGCAAGAAGGAAAAGAGGGTTCAAAAAAAAAAAGCCTTAATTTGAACCTAGGCCTCGAGGTCAACCTGCCCTCTGAGTAGTCTCTGAGTCTTGAGCTGTCCGACAAGTCCCCCAGCCCTGAAAGGCGGACAAGATGAGGGTTTAGGGTTTAGGGCCTAGGGGTTGAGGGTTTGGGGTTAAAGGACCAAAGCATCTCATTTCAGTTCTGCGTCCATCGGAAGTGCAGCCGAAGGCCAGGGTCTGGCGTGACACGATTTATGATATAGAAAATGAGGACGGTACTTCCAGTTTCAGAGGCGGTCCATTTAGCTTCTTATTCTGCCGAAAGCGCCCGGCGTGCTGCTGACTTTCTCGTCGGGTCTTTCAATATTCAACCCTTGTTAAATGAAGGTCTCCCAAATCTCTGGTCATGCTGGCGACTAAGCGGCTGTGCAGGACATCGGCCTCGGACGCTTTCAACTATTGCTCCTTGGCTTGGAAGCGTTGCCCGCTTTGTGCATCGGTTCGTCGAAGCCTATAATGGCAGAAAAGATTGCGCAGGTTGCGCAGGGGACAGGGGAAGCTGCAGGAAGAGCTTGGCAACTTAGGCAGCAGCTTCTGGTCAGCGGTGTGAGGCTGCCCGGCACTCGGGTCGCAGGATTCCATGGTCATCGTTTTCACATAGCTCCGGCTAACTTCAGAGACGTTGCCTTATTCTGTGCTCCTGAGGGCCGATGGTGCTGAGATTCTCATATCCTCGGCAGTTCTCTCCATTCTTCAACAGGACGGAGTGCAAACTTCGAGGGTTTCGGTTGGCGGCAGATTGTGAGGAGGAAGCAAATTCGGACAGTTTGCAGAAGCGAGCTGAGACAACATGAGCGCAATGAGTGCTTCAAAGCGATGCGGGCAACATAAAGGCTTCGTGTGGCTTTTGCATAGTACGCCGAGTATGTACATTCTAAGGCGAAGAGCTCCGAAAGCGAACTATTGTGAGAGCTTGGTGTATCGAGTAGCACATGATGTAAGATTCGGTCCGTAGCATGCAGATCTTTGGGGTTCTTTAACACTGTCTGGTTCTTAGTAGGGAATGGGGGAATGGATTATAGAGACTATTATTGGGGATTATACAGGGACTAGTATTATAGGGATCCATTCCTCCATTCCCTACTCAGAACCAGACAGATTACTGTAGGTGGTGGTTCAGCTGCCTGGACTGTCCGAGAGGAGTGGGAGCTGTCCCCGGCGCTCAAAGGCCTCGATTCGCCGCGAGCGGTCGTTATTCAGATGGCAGACTCCATAGGGGGCCTCAAAAAGAAGGATAGGGTTTGGGGGCCCAATATATATATATATATATATATATATATATATATATATCTATATATATATATATATGTATATATATATGTGTGTATATATATAGATATGTATATAGCTGTAATAAGGAACCCGAAAATAGTATAGGTATTCATCCGGACGCCATCTGCGAGAGCAGCCACCCACTCCAATAGTCGCAGTGGCAGGTTCCATGATGTCTATCATCTTCATCGGAGTTTTCTTCGGCAACTTGGCTCCGGGCTGAGCCATGTCGGGAATTTCGCAGGGGAATGCCAGACCAGTGGTAGGCCCAACCAGACCTTGTTAACCCTAAACCCCTAAACCCTAAACTCGTTAAGCATGAACAGATGCCTAGATGGGTGGACCAGCGGCTGATGCCTACGGTCGGCGTCTGGCAGTGCTCCTGGCCTACGCTTGCGGCTTACGAGCTTGTAAGCACTTTGAAGTCTGCTTGGGCATGCAGTCCAGCTTCAAGCCGACACAGACCGGTGCCAAAGGGTGATGCCCAAATGCATGTATCCGTAAGCAGGGTGGACCGCAAACGTGTGGATGTGCATGCATGCACGTGTTCGTTTATGCCATCGAGATCCATCGAGGACATGTGTGCGTGTGTGTATATTTGTGTGTCTACACATGTTACACATGCACGTTACTTGTGCCTACATGCACGAAGAGCATACCTGCATGCATGTCATGCGCGAATCAGCTAGTTATTACATGCCTACATTGGGCCGACATGCATACCACATACACTCTGAGCGTAGGCACACGCACGCATCATGCATGCAGGGATGCAGGCAGACAGCCAGCCACGCACGCACCGTGAATGGTGGATGTCTTTGTTCGGCCTCCAATTGGTTGGCATTTGTTGGCAATTTATACTCCACCAATGCCGGTGCCTCGTACTTTGGTCTGCTTGTCTGTGCATTGTTTCGCGATGCAGCGCTGTCGTGCGTGGTTGTTGTGCACTCGTGTAGCACTTGTGTGTCAATGCGTGCAGCATACCTGGATCAATACACAGCGGGAAGGGTTTAGGGTTTGGGGTTCCTAAACCCTAAACCCGAGGGCACCAGACGCCATTCAGAAATCCCAGAAGCTCAGTTCGGCCTCGTCTTCTGCGGCCTGTGTTCGGCGATCAGCATCGGGCAGCTAGCCTAGCTTTCTCATGCATGAGCGATGTGCGGACACGTTACTAGCAGCAGCAGCAGCAGCAGTAGCAGTCGCAGTTTGCTACCAGCGTCATCCTTACTGTCGTCTCAAGCAACCTGAACTGCCTCGAAGACGGGGGTGTTAGACTGTCTGCTTCTTAGTAGGGAGTGGGGGAGTGGATTATGGAGACCACTATATAATTGGCTTGCTATAAGGATCCACTCTCCCATTCCCTACTAAGAACCACGCAGAAGAAGGGGGTGTTTGACGGCTTTCTGTCTGCCCAGGCCGATGTCGATGCTCACCGCACGCTTTTTTTTCGGGCAGGGCGGCTCAGTCGAACGGCCGAGGCTGAACAGGAACCCAACCTCTGCAGCTCCGATGTTCTTTTATCCCTCTGGTTCTTAGTAGGGAAGGGGGGAATGGCAATGGATCCCTATGATAGTGCCTTAAGGTCCCGATAGTGGTCCCAATAACCTAGTCCCCTATTCCCTACTAAGAACCAGACAGTTATCTTCGTTCGAAACCTTCCGAAGTGCGCTGTTTGCTGCGGATCAACAGAACAGACGTTCCGGACTGCATGTGTAGCTGCAGAAGCTGTGCTTCCACCTATAAGTGTCCAGATGGATGAACGTGTGTGTGTGTCGTATGAATGTAAGCGTGGTAGACTGGTAGAATCGGATTGATGTGTGTGTGTGATGATGACGTTGATGATACAGACTACTGATGATTGCATGTGAAAACGATTTGAAGCCAATAGCCGTGCTTGTTGCAGGCGTCATTCCGCACATGTTCCACTTGTTCCAATGCTCATCCTTGGTGCACATATAGGTATCACCTTGTCACGTTCACATTGGCGCAGCAGTTTCAATACCAATACTGTGCCATTCTTCTTGCGAAGACTGGATGTGTCACAAACTCCAGTGATATAACTATAAGTATCAGTGCTAACATGCTAACACCGCCGGAAATATGCACATTAATACTGACGGCTGTATGAATACCACGTATGCAGATTGCCATTTTAACGCTTTGCTGATGCTTGCTGGTATCGACCTGATGCCACTGTATCGTCGTCACCATTCTTGGTGTCCGTTTGTCCTGGTCATTACAATATGTACTCCGTCTGCATAGCATGTATGACATATTGACATATTAACTTGAAGCTGAGGCTTTTCTACGGCTTTGGGATGGGGCCCGCGTTGACGCTGCAGGCCACCATGAACCTACACATGTCGACACCTGGGGACTTCGGGATTCCTGCGCCTCTCCTCGGGGAAATGGTCTTCCAATGTATTCTATGTCGCTTAGGATGCTTAGGCGTTTCACCCCGTGGGTTTCTGGTATGCTTGAAAAAGACAAAGCTGCATGGCATGACGGTCGGATGGAGTGGCCCCAACTTCGCGCTGTCCCGTCGAATTGCAAATATGTCGACTGGAGATTCCGGCCTGTCCTTATCCAAGTATATAGTTCTCAGCATGTTGACTCCTGCTGTGCAATGCTCACTTCTGTGGTGTAGAGACGAATATGTGCGATGCCTCACAGTTCGGCTGCGCCCTTCGTCAAGACTCGAGTAAACATTTCGGCCAGGATGGCCGTTTTTTGGGGTTTACGTTTCAAGAGCAGGTTGCAAACAAGAGAAGACTTGAGCATAACCGAGCCGTTTACGATACCTGCCTATGGGTGGTGGTACGCTGAATGCTCACTCGCTCCACACACCACTCCTCTGCAGGATGGTCTTCTCCCTGCTGCTTAGTAGGGAATGCGGGAATGGATTATGGGGACTATGATTGGGGATTATATAGGGACTACTACAGGGATCCATTCCCCCATTCCCTACTAAGCACCAGGGAGTCTTGCATGAACCGAGTCGAAGCGATGCTCCGTCCGAACTTAGACGTCAGGTTTAGGGTCTCTGGCAAGGTGGAGATCTGTCCGAAGGCCTGGCGCGGGCACATGGTCAATGCCCGTTTCTTAGCTTAGGCTTGCGAGTTCCTGGTTGATCCTGGTGGATTTCGTTTTGACTGCGATGTGGGAGCTTGTGTCTTCCGACTGGACGTGGTGAGGCTCTGGAGTGCGAGCCATTTTCATTGGCTTCCCGGGCTTTTTAACCGAGGTGAACAACTTCTTCTTCACGCTAGGCGAAGTCTATGCAGCCAGCGACTTATTTGTCGCCGTCAACTTCGGTAGTTATGATACAGCATCTCAGTGTTGACACCGCAAGTCAAAGGCGTGATGCAATCGAGATAGCCAGAAAAATCAAAGGCCTGGTTGCTGTGGGCCTTCTTGAAAGACCTGAAGCAAACCAGTGACGAGGAGCTAGTGCCCAAGTTGTTTTGCCGCGGTATTCGCCCCTCTGCTTCTGTACTGACTCGTTTGATTTGTCTTTCGCCCGTGCATTGATCGAATTATCAAGAGTGGGAGCCGCATCTTTGCTGCCACCGAAACTCGAAACTGTTGCGGCATGGCGGGATGCTTGTGACTCATAGAGTGAGCCATCCAAGCCTTTCATCTGGTCGTGCTGCACCAGCAGAGGATGCGCAATAGTAACAAGAACAGCAACGATGATACCAACAAAGACCGAGTATTGGTCGTTGAACCTACAAGTCTGCAGGAGAGTTGGCGCTACGTCACAGCACTGGCCGTCAGCGTGGGCCTCTCCTCCCGGGGAACAAGACAAGGAGTCTGTGACGGATGCACGGTAAGCTTGGTCATGATGAAAGTGCCTGGATCTGATGGTGCGCTCTTAGGATCCAAGGGTAAAAGGAGGGACCCTTAATAAGGACCTAGGTATATACCCTTAATATAGCTATTATATACCCATTATATAGCCCCCATTATAGGGTAGGGGTCCCCATTAAGGGTCCCTCCTTTTCCCCTTTGATAGGAACAGCTCACCAAGCATCCATTTGGCGAAGTCCAGTCACTGCAAGCGGCGAGCCGAAGTTCTGAAACCCGAAACCTTGAAGAGGTTGACCACCAACCCTGTCTAACGCAGACCCTTAAGCGTCCCTTTAAAGGGATCTATAGGGATTCTATACAGAGTATAGGGTTTAGGGTCTACTTGGAGGTTCATGGGTAGGTATAAGTGGGGCTGTAAGTCCCCTAATATTAGAGTTAACCTACTTATAACATCTTATAACCCTATAGTTTTAACTACCCATGAACCTTCAGGTAACCACCAACCCTTTCTAACACGGACCCCGAATCCTCAACTGAGCCCTTATCGACCGTAGTTCTTAAACGCGAACCCCAATTCCCAAATTGAACCCTAATGTATCTATCCCCTGGGTATGTGACATAAGCCCTTTCCCTGAGTATGTGACATAAGCCCTTTCCCTCGAATCACAAACCAAACCCAAAGCCCCAAATCATCAACAAGCGACCCTGCAAACCAATGTGGTCTGTCGTAAGGTCCAGCTTTGCTGATCCTGCCCTTCGCCGTGCCTGCGCCCCTAACGCTTGAGACATCCGACGAGGGGTTCAGAGTTCATGAAGTAGTCCATTTCTCGGGATTAGGTTTATCAATTTGGGTCAGTATATGGTTGTAAAAGACTCAGGCTTCGGGTTGGAGAGCGTCAGACTGTGGAGGCAAGCTTCATTGCAGTTCTGGTTCTGGTGACTGGCGGCTTTTTATGCGTTTTGCACCAGGCTGCTCTTGTACGAGTCGCCGCACTACCTAGCCGGCAGCCAAGAGGGCAGACTCAGCCTTCCGAACGAAGTCAGACGTGAAGGTTGGAAGCACGCTGAGCTCGCAATCTCAAGAAAATTACACTGTCTAGGGGCACGTATTTTTTTGAATGTCAGGTTGTTTGTGGCAAGCACGACCAGGCGGGTTGTAGCCTGCAGCACCCGCTCACGGTAGTTATTCTGCTTTTGCTGAGCTTCCAATCAGAGCCCGAGGATGTTGACTCAATATTAATTATTAAAAGGGGCCCAGGGGGCTAGGCACCTTCAGCCCTTCTGTTGCCGGCAGTCGGTGCCTTGTAACTCCTGCTGTAGTGTTGTGAGTAACGTCGATTCGATGCTGCTCTTGCTCTGTATTTCATGGCTGTTTCTTTGTTCGGCCAGTACGGTGATCACGATCCGATACTGCGAATTGCTGCATGCAGTGCGAGCAGTTCCTCTCCATCTGACCCGAAGCCTCCGCAGCACCTTTTTGGCTGAAAACCGAGTGCTCCTTTGAGAGTTCAAGGCCTGCGGCGCCTGGGAGAACGGAGTTCATGGAGTTGCCACTTGTAGCGGCTTTGCAGATGAGATTCTTAAGCATGCTGCTTTCTGAAAGGGCAGAAGGCATGGCACGTCTGATGTCAATGCATGTTAGTCACGAGTAGCAACTCAGACCCTTCTTCCCATGACTGCTGTGTTGTGGCAGGCCGCCTGTGTCGTTCTTTGCAACCCGAAAGCAAGAAGATGGAGCGCAAAGCCTTCTCCAGGCAAGCACCGACTCTGATGTAGCCTGTGCTTCATTCCATAAACTCAAAGGCATGATACTGCGTGCCATTCCAGCAACACCTAAACTTACCCAACCATTAAATCCTGACTCCCACGCCCCAAAACTCCAAACCTCTCAACCCTAAACTCCATCCAAAAAGCTCAACCCCAACCCTAGAAACAGACTCTCTGTAGCTACAAGAGCTTACTGTAAGTTTCCTTCAACAGGTTTGGGGTTTAGTGAGTTTGGTGTTTACTTTGAGAGTTTTTGGGCCTCAAGGTTACTTCAGGTTATCGCTGTATGAGAGAAGAACCTCAGTTAATTGGTACCAGCTGTTGGGATGAATCTATGCAGCGAGGTGTCATAAATGCCCTTACTGTATGCATTATGCATGCTGCTACTGATGTCATCCATAACTTGCTGTCGTACTGGCCGCTCTGAGTATCTTGTCCATTAGGATGCTTGCAATGATGACTGGTGTTGTTCTCTTCTCCTGGTCATCGCTAGCATTGATGTCATTCTCATGACTGCATTATTGCTATGACGTTATGTGCGTTTCTTCTGCTCTAAATACATTCGTTGATGTTTTCGTTGGACGTTTACTAATGGTGTCACTCTTTCTGCAGGACCAATGACATCGAGATTGACGACATGGGCCCACTTTCCGACTCCGACTGTGATGTTCAGGTCTGCGGGCTTGTTCATTTCTAGCATTGGCACATGTTTTTTGGACAGTTGGATCTGGGGGTTTGTGGTTTGGGGCTGGAAAGTGTTTAGCCTTCAGGCTTTGCGGCTGCAGCTGCTGCTGCTACTACTACTACGGTTGATGATATAAATCCTGCATTACCTTAAGGACTCTAAACTATAGGAATTATGGTATATTCCTTATTATGGGTCATGCAGGATTTATATCATCAACCGTAGTACCACTACTGCTACGAGCTACTCCTACTAATTACTACTACAACTTCTACAGCAGCTACGCTACTACCGCTACTGCTGTCGCTGCTGATTTGCTGCAATCATGAGGCGGTGGTAAACCTTGGCCATCATTTATTCACAACAACATAATACAATTACGGGGTTCTTGTCAAGTTACCAAAATAGGGAAACCCTTTTATTTACTATAGATCCCTATTATGGCAACTTAAATTACATCCCTTGACCAGAACCCTGATCACGACTAAAGCTACCCGCGCTCCCAAATCCTAAACCCGGTGGCCGCAAAGAACGGGCCTAAGCCGTAAATCCCAAGAACTAAACCCCGACCCCAGCCCCTAGACTTCCTATCGAATAACGGCCTAAAGCCGGCAATTGAGAGAACCTAAATCCTAAACCCCAAAACCTAAACCCCTAAACTCCTAAACTCCTAAACTCCTAAACTCCTAAACTCCTAAACTCCTAAACTCCTAAACCCCAAGCCCTACACGAACTAAACCCCTACAATCCTAAACCCTCAACCCCAAACCCTAAAACCCTGAACCTAAACCCCTAAACTCCTAAACTCTAAACTCCTAAACCCTAAAACCTAAAACCCCCGAACCCTCCAGCCGAAGCCCAGGAGTTCGCCGCCCAAAAGAAAGCCCTGGCCACATTGGCTCGGCGAAGGGGATCCTATGGGCGCCAGTCCTTTGAGGTGGGGTTTAGGAGTTTAGGGTTTAGGAGTTTAGGGTTTAGGAGTTTAGGGGTTTAGGTTTAGGGTTTGGGGTTGTTGGTTTAGGAATTTAGGGTTTAGGATTTAGGGTTTGGGGCTTTTAAAGGGGTCTGTAAGTACTCATTCTGGGTTTGGGGTTTAGGGTTTGGGGTTTGGTTCGAGGGTTTGGGGTTTAGGGTTTAGTATGCAACTAGGGATTGGGGTTTAGGGTTTAGTATGCAGTTAGGGTTTGGGGTTTAGGGTTTAGTATGCATGTAGGGATGAGGGTTGAGGTGGGGGGGGAAAGAAAGAAGGAGAGAAGGTTAGTCCCTACACCATAGCCCTGACGAAAGAAAAAGAAGGTTAGATAAGAGCAGTGGTGCTGGTACGGTAGGTTCCATTCCTGAGGTTACAGGGTTTGAGCGGTTTAGAGTCTTCGGGTTGGGGGGGGTTAGGAATAGTACTGGTGACATATGAACACTCACACAGGCACTTTCAGGGTCTCTGAAAGTTTAGGGTTAAGGTTGCCGGGGGACTACTGCTGCCGCTCCCAGGATCTTTGCGTTCTTCATTGTATGATGTGGGTGATTTTTCTTTCCAGGGAGCCCGAGGTCAGGGCACAAAGCTTCGAGGCTAGCAGCGGCTAGCACCTACTTGGAGGGTCGAAGGACTTAGTAAGTAGTTGTTTTATAGAGTTATAAGTATCATAAGCCCAATTAGGGTCCTTATTTAAGGTACTTATAAGTCTAGATAATAACTACTTGCCAAGTCCCTCGACCCTCCAAGTAGGAAGCGTCATGCAGCTGCCCTATCCGCTCCTGCATATAAAGCTCTCTGGCGTAGGGTCTGCGCGGACAGTTTGCTTACCGCAGTGTGCATGCAAGCCGCAGGAGCCATCCCGCACGAAGAGGAACCAGCTGAAGCCCCCGGCAAGGTGGGCAGCAGCAGGGAAGCCATGCTAACTTGGGCAGTCTGGGCGGACGAAAGAAGCAGAGCCCAAGCCAAGTAAAACTTGCTCCTCGCGGCCTGCTACCGCCTTGGCTGCAACCTAAGCGTAGCTACAAGGGAAACTCGGTCTGAGTCGGAGTGGCACTGGGAGTTGAAGTGGGAGTCGTAGCAGTAGCAGCAGAAGATAAAGGTACTGTTGATGGTGGTGGTGGTGGTGGTGGTGGAGGAAGTGGTTGCGAAGAGGTGGTGGTGATTGCGGTCGTGGTCGTGGTAGTGGAGTAGGGGTAGTGGTAGCCGCAGTAGTAGTAGTAGTAGTAGTAGTAGTCGTAGTCGTAGTCGTTGTCGTTGTCGTAGTCGTAGTCGTAGTCGTAGTCGTCGTCGTAGTAGTAGTAGTAGTAGTAGTAGTAGTAGTAGTAGTAGTAGTAGTAGTAGTAGTAGTAGTAGTAGTAGTAGTATTAGTAGTAGTAGTAGTAGTAGTAGTAGTAGTAGTAGTAGTAGTAGTAGTAGTAGTAGTAGTAGTAGTAGTAGTAGTAGTAGTAGTAGTAGTAGTAGCGGTGTCATATCAACAGTAATATTGGTAACAGCGAGTAGTAGTTAATCGTGGTGATAGCTCTGAACACGCAGTGATGATGGAACAGTCTCAGTGCCATGATGCTGACACACAAGAATGGAAAGCACCATTCCTTATCCAGCAACTGGCGGCTGTGACATCCACCGACGAGAACGCATCGGCAGGACTGGTCGCGAGCTTTGGGCAGACATTGCTACCGATGACGAGGAGCCGCGAAGGGTCTCCCCCAGTCCTGTGAGCCGCAGGCAACAGAGCATATTGGCGGGATCGGCACAGGTTTGCTGCAGTGGAAGACGAGATCCTTATGGTCACGCTATTCACAGAAACTCCTATTGTGTGTAAATCAGCAGAATGCGCACGCGAAATCCCCTTCGGCATTTCGCTTGCTCGTAAAGCGAACCTTGCATCGAGCGACTTCCATTGAGCTGATGTGCCCCTTCAGCAGGACAACTTCCCGCGCTGGCACGGCCCGAAAGCACAGGCGCGCAAAGTTGATGGACCGTGCTTGGAATCTGCATGCCAGGATTTGTGTAGACATAGCCTTATTGTTATTATTATTATTACTATTGTATTTATTATTCTTACTATATAACAATCATGTTTATTATTACTACCATTGTTGGATCGGAACTGACATACAGAATCGCCGCACTCCCGGCACTGATATTCTCGGCCTTTGGGCCTTCGAAGAGTTTTTGAAGACCTGAGGAAGTTTACGCTTCCATGCAACGGTGCCATTATTCGGCTGTTGGACTTGCATCTTCGAAGTCAGGCCCTTCCAGCATACCTGCTCCCAATGCTGCTTCGCCCCCTTGCACTTGCAAGTGCAAGGAACTGACACTTCTCGGACCGGGTAACAGCCTGGTTTCAAGACCATGGTGCGTAGTCGTCCTGGCAGTGGTCATGGGCCTTCTTCGGAGGGAGAAGTTGTGCAGTTGGTTGTTGTCAGGCCACGAAGGTGGTGCCTTCGCCCGTACCCGCGACCGACAACGCTGAGGATGTCGACGGCTGGGAGCTCAGCGAAGTCTGAAGAGCCCAGACCAAGCTCCTAAGCATGGAGCTCTGTTGATCTAGCAAGAGACTTCGCACTCTGTCCGAGGATTGTGCTGGGATCCCATCGGCATGGGCTCGACGGAGACGCTTGGCAGGGCCTAGATTCGGATAGATGCTGGGATGTGGACGGTGGCTTACGGAGATGCGCAACATCAGCTGGCTTGAAAGGGCCTGTGAAGGTGTGGACTTCTGCCTCAGGCCCTCGGGACCTCTGCCTGCAATGCAAAGTCACCACGAAGCGTCGTTTGAGCTGAGCTTGAAGAAGTGCTGATGCCCAGGTCATCCATTTCGGAGTTGCTTTGGAACAAGGTGAATGTGAGCAAGCCTTCTGAGACTTCGGGAAATCCCAAAAACTACGACAAGTGGCCCCCTGATGGCATTCAGAGGGAGGGGCGCGGAGGGATGCCGGGAGGATGGTTATGGTGCTTTCAGCTCGGCACTGAGCTTGCATGTATCATGTTTGTTTTGACCACGCACTAGACCACGACTGCAACCGTTGTTGCTGTCGGCTGTTTGTTGCGCTCTGGCTTTTGCAATTTTGTTCCAGTTTCCTGGTAGAAGCGATTAATGACTTTCGTGGCGATGGCTTTTGTAGTGTTGCTCAGGACTGCCATCATTGTTCCAGCTGTCGCTGCTACAAGCCCATAGGTAGACATCATCTAAATCCTTGTAGAGACCCTGCTAGAACCCTGAACCCTAAACCCAAGTACCCTAAACCGTGACCCTAAACCGTGAACCCTAAACCTCAAAAATATCCTGTCTTTAGCCGTCCCTGAAGCTTCGCAGATCAGGTCATGGAGCACCACCGCTACGTCCGCTGACGGCGATTTGCAAGATGAGGAGCGAGACTCCAGAAATCGTCCGACCGGTGCAGTAAATGCTAAGCCGAGGTGTTTATCCCAAATCCGGCAACCACTACTCTAATCCTTAAGCTCTAGACCCCAAATCGGAGGGTTCTCATGGACCATGGACCTTGCGACTCTTTAGGGGGGCTTCGCAGTGGCCCCAAGTTTGGCAGTATGAACTGGAGGCTCGACCCCGATTCTCTAAAAGGACTAGAGCGTGGGATTTAGGGGCAAGAGTTCAGGGTAAGAGAGTGATTTCCAGTAGGCACATCCCCCCGTTGCACCTTCAGATTCAGATGCACATCAGTCCTCAGCTGGTTCAGGACGCGTCGCCGTCTGCGCAGTCACAGGCCGAAGCTGAAGATGTCGTTAGCTCCCCGGGTGCTGATATATATATATATATTACTGTGATGCATTATACTATACTAAACAAAAAATATAGTATAGTATTGTATAGTATAGTGTTTCGGAGGCTACGAATCATCCGATGCTCAGGCAGAAGAGTGTGGCCCCAACCCGGCAAGCTCCCGCTTTCAAGGTCTGCCATCCTGCGCCAATGTAGGAAGTCTGGCAGACCTTCACCGAAGCTGGCTTTCAACCCTGCTTGTATTAAACATACTGGGGAAAAAATATTTTTCCCCAATATGTTTATGGCTTTCAACCCTGCTTGTATGCCGTAAACTGCCCGAAGCTTCAAACCCCAAAGTCCAAAGGTGGTAGTCTCGAGGCAGTTGCTAAAAGACACGAGGGTTCAAAAACAGAACCCTCAAGTCCCAAGCCCCCCAAGGACTGTTGACAGCCCTGGGACTGGTCCCCCGTTTCTGGCTGGGATCCCGGGGGTTGCCTCTGCGCACTGTGGAGGCTCCGGTCAGCATCATCAGCTCGGAAGACAGCGCATCTTTGCAGGCCAGCGAATCTATCTCGATAGGGATGCTACCGTAATTGCCTATCTATCTGTGTATCCATTCGTCTAGCTGACTGCGACCTGCCTACCTATCTGTCTGTCTGTCTGTGTCCGTCTGGCTGTCAGTCTGCCTGTACATATCAATTACGATGTGTGTGTGCGCACATACAGGTTTGAATGCATACATAAGCATGTACACGGTATCTGGACATCATGCTTAGGATATGATATTAGCCTGTAGTATATAATCTATTACCGTTCGCATTCTAGAATCACTCCCCCTAACCTAATGTGCTTGGACGGGATGATACGTCGATGTTTGGCGGTTCGAAGTACATTCTCCCCCTGTTCCGATGGGCCCAGTAGGAATCCCAGTACATTTGTTTTGGTGAGACATTGCTGCAGCTGAGATAATGTACTTGGGGTCTTCGGTCATGGACCCGGAGCAACAGACAGCAACCAATAGAGTACTTGAGGGGTGGTGGGGACTCCCCAAGTACATTAATTGTTGCGGGTGGTCATTCTAGACGAAATGCACATCATTCAACTTTGCTTTCGGACTTCACAAGTTTCCTGGACAGACCGGCCTCTTCCTGGCCACATCTACCGACGAGTCAGACAAGTCCCTCGACCGCGTTGAGTGTCGCCCTTCAGAGCTTTCATGCTTAACACGATATACTAACATACTTCAATGTACTACAAACTAAGCGCTTGTCAATGAATCGAGCGGAGAAAGGGTCAGTGCGCTTTAAAAACCCTAAACCCTAAAGGCAACTTACAACATAGTATATTTTAAAATTCAATATACCATAAGCTTCTCAGGCCGTCTCAGGCCCTCAGCCCCATGCAGGTGGCTGACTTGTCCAGCTGAGGCAGCAGGTGTTGTCCATGCCGGCCATGATGCAGGAGCAATCAGGGAGTTGTGGACAGTCAGGGCTGGCTTGGCATTGATGTTTCCACGTCTAGCCAACAGATGATACAGATGCGTGCACTCTCGAAAGAGCTGGCTGGCCGGCAGGAGCCCGCGAAGCGGGTTGTTCAGTCGGCACCCACCTTTGTGATGCCAATGCCCGCCCAGGCGAGGGACTGGCAGATTCGTACCGCATGGTAGTCACCAACTCCTGGCCGATCTGACAGGCGCCGCAGGCGACGATGCTGGCTGTGCCGGCAGTTCAAGCAGTGCAAGCGATGCCAGCAGTGCAAGCAATGCCGGCAGTGCAAGCAATGCCGGCATTGCCTGCATTTACATATCCTGCCGCCATGCCATTCCCTTTCGGCATGGGAATGCTGCCTGCCGTCATGTCCATGACACATTGCTGCACTTCAGAGTGTAGCGGCATGAATGTCGGAGGGATGAGCGGATCTGTACGTCCTATGCTGCACTGGATGCTATGACTTACACTCGGATGAGATCACTGCTCTCCTGTTCTCCAGGCCCTGCTACTTGTGTTCTACTCTCTTGAATTGTCGCCGCAATCTCTCACAAGGGGGCATGCATCAGGATCGCAAGTGCGTAATGCACAGATTCGAGTTGAGACTAGGCTCTGTCAACAGTATAAAGCATAGCGTCTTGCGGACGTCGTTGCGTGTGCGCGTGGACAAGGCGGAACCGACACCGCTGCTACTAGGCTACAGCTACGGCTGCTACGGCTGCCACGGCTGCTGCTGCTGCTGCTGCTGCTGCTCCTGCTCCTCCTGCTCCTGCCCCTGCCGCTGCCCTTGCTCCTGTTCCTGGTACTGCTACAAGTGCTGCCACTGCTCCCGCTCCTGCTCCTGTCGGTGCTCCTGCTCTGGCTACTTCCACAAGTGCTGCTACTGCTTCTGCTGTCTTGTTAAATTGAGCATGTACGCGGGGAATAGCTGGTTTTGATGTGTTGTGACCAGACTTGCGTCTAGAGCAGGTTTGTATCGAGCGTCTACACGGGGAACGGCTGGTTTTGATGTGCTGTGATGTTATCAGATCAGTTAAGCAGTTGCTTGTCAGTCGTTTTCGGGGTGCGGCTGGTCGTCTTGTTCATATAGCAAGCTCTTGTCATCAGAAAGCGCGTCGGTGACCCTATCTGGCACTGGAGATTCGCAGCACCACCTCCGCACATGTGTGCACACATTCACCCACACATACATGCTCGTGTCATGTGATCGACCCTGTCCACAACGCTCGGTACTTGGATCTAGTGCGTAGCGCCCCCAAGATCGCAATGCTCCGTTACTGCTACTGCTACTGCTACAACGCTGAGAACCCCTCTTGAAAGCCCTCGATGCTACTGCTTCTGAAGGGTGCGTGTCAACGGGTATTCCCGTGTTTTCGCATGTCGCGGTCTACGAAAGGCTTGCAGTTTGCCAACCCGCCCGTGGCCTTGATCTCAGTTGGTTTGAGGCTTTGCCTCTAAAGGCTCTAAAAGGCGTGCAACACCGCGTGTCCCCGGGGGGGGGGATGGGGCGGGGGGTGTGCAATGACTTCTCGGCCCCTGCGTGGCCATGCAGTGCCGCGACTTTCAGAACGCTGCCGTGACATAAGTCTAGCCCATGCATTTGCCGATTTGCCTTTTTGTCTCTCTGCAAATTTCCGTCCACCACTCTAGCTAGCAATTGTTCGTTTCTGCTAAAACTCTGCATGCACGCTTCTCCTACTTGCCCAGTTTTCTGCCCACGCTCAGGTTCGCTACATGCATGCAGGCGCTCGTGCACACTCACATTGTGCAACCTATTCGTTAGTGGCTTGCGTGACCTATGCAGGATGCATGGACGCATGGATGTATGTATATGCTGGTGCATGTGCATGTATATGTATATGTAAATGTAATTATATGTATTATATGTATGTTTGTGCATGCACGTGTGTGTATGTTCAGGATGGCCTGTGTGCGTATGTATGTATGCATGTATGTATGGATATGGACGTGACTATAGATATGGTAGGTGCATGTGTGTATGTACCTATGTACAGCGAGGTAGGCAGGCCGGCAAGTGTGTCTACTTCATGGAACATGTGTGTGCATCTTCTCATTTTCCAGGTCCGTACGAGTGCGATTGTCGGTGTTTTGTGCAGCATGTATGTATGTACCTGCTGCTTGCATGTCTAGAATGGCGGCTTTTTGATCTGCTTTGTATAATCTGATGTAAGCCATGTAGATAGACATGCAACAGAAGGTGGTGTAGGCAGCAGTACGCACACTGCTGGATCGATTGCTAGATAGAGGAGATGGGGAGACAGGGTCGTCCCGTGCCTGTCAGCATCTGAGAAACTGGATGAGCCAAGGACACAGAATGTTCCCAGGCAAGTCGCCGCACAGCAGCCTTGGGGATCAGAGGAGGAGATCGAGTCTCGGCTTGGTGACTTTAAACTTTCGAGGGTGCTGAGACGGCGCCGCGGGCCATAAAAGCCAAAACCGCACCGGTAGATCCCAAAGTGCCATGATGGTTTTCCAGTGGTTTGGGCTGTCTCGCGTCGCATTTGCTTTTCCATTTTTTCCTAGCATTGCCCCGTATCTCATTTTTCTGTCTGCAAAGAGTCGGACTGTTAACCGGATCGTTGCCCTTTTGACTTTAAACCCGTGCCCTGGCCCTAGACCCACGACCGCATTCCCCGCACGGAAGCAACATAGGGGTGCAGAGACGAGGGTTTGGAATTTCGGGTTCATGTATAAACCTCTCAACCCGTTTGACGTCCCAGACCCTATCTCTAAAGTCCAATCTCAATAGGAGTTTCAGACAATAGTCCGCCAATAGTACAATCCTTTAAAGGGATCCCTGAAACTCTAAAACCCAAACCCCACAAAAAGGGATCCTGGAAATTCTCTGAAACGCTCAAATGCTCGGTCCAAACATCCTAGGCTCGTCCCATTGCGCTTCGCTCTGGCCTTGGCCTTGGAGGAGATACTAACGTAGGGGATTCTAGGGGCTTTTATAATTAGGGGTTTGGGGTTCCGGGTTTAGCGGTCTTGAACACTTATCGATACTATTTTAAGGGTTTAGGGTGTAGGGCCCGCTTCAATTACTTGGGGCTTCCTCATTATAATGATAATATAATATTACTAGTACCCTCCCTCCTGACCAAAATTCGAAGCACAAACTGATGGTTGCTCTTCCTCCTTCCCGAGCAGGGTGTCGCCAAGTGTCCCGCCCCCCCGTCAGAAAATGAGAGAGCATCGTCTTTGGACTCAGACTCTACACGACACCCCGTGCCCACCCTATCGCCAATCAGCGGAACACAAGCGCCATCACATCATGATCTTTCCGCAGGCCGAAGCTCGTATTCTTGTTCGTTGGAGCCTTTCGTCAGGATCCTGGAAGTCCTATGTACGTAGGACCTTTAGGGTCTATTTGGCGCGGGCCTCTGCTCTGTGTATCAATTAAATCCCGGGCCCCAGCCCCGGCCCACCCCAACCCAGCACGAAATAAATTTTGTAAATTCCTTAAATTCTTTAAAAATTAAATCGGCCGGAATTAAATTTTAAAGAATTTAAAAAATTTAAAAACGAAAATTTCTTTAAAAAATAAATCGGCCGGAATTATATTTTAAAGAATTTAGAAAATTTAAAAACGAAAAATTCTTTAAAAATTAAATCGGCCGGAATTAAATTTTAAAGAATTTAAAAAATTAAAAAAAGAAAAAATCTTTAAATTCTTTAAAAATTAAATCGGCCGGAATTGAATTTTAAAGAATTTAAAAAATTTAAAAAAGAAAAGTTCTTTAAGTTCTTTAAAAATTAAATCGGCCGGAATTAAATTTTAAAGAATTTAAAGAATTTAAAAAATTCCCGGGCCCCAGCCCCAGCCCCGGCCCACCCCAACCCAGCACGAAATAAATTATTTAAATTCCTTAAATTCTTTAAAAATTAAATCGGCCGGAATTAAATTTTAAAGAATTTAAAAAATTTAAAAACGAAAATTTCTTTAAATTCTTTAAAAATTAAATCGGCCGGAATTAAATTTTAAAGAATTTAAAGAATTTAAAAAATTTAAATCCCGGGCCCCAGCCCCGGCCCACCCCAACCCAGCACGAAATAAATTTTTTAAATTCCTTAAATTCTTTAAAAATTAAATCGGCCGGAATTAAATTTTAAAGAATTTAAAAAATTTAAAAAAGAAAAGTTCTTTAACTTCTTTAAAAATTAAATCGGCCGGAATTAAATTTTAAAGAATTTAGAAAATTTAAAAACGAAAAATTCTTTAAAAAATTAAATCGGCCGGAATTAAATTTTAAAGAATTTAAAAAATTTAAAAAAGAAAAATTCTTTAAATTCTTTAAAAATTAAATCGGCCGGAATTAAATTTTAAAGAATTTAAAGAATTTAAAGAATTTAAAAAATTTAAATCCCGGGCCCCAGCCCCGGCCCACCCCAACCCAGCACGAAATAAATTCTTTAAATTTCTAAATTCTTTAAAAATTAAATCGGCCGGAATTAAATTTTAAAGAATTTAAAAAGATTAAAAAAGAAAAATTCTTTAAATTCTTTAAAAATTAAATCGGCCGGAATTAAATTTTAAAGAATTTAAAGAATTTAAAGAATTTAAAAAATTTAAATCCCGGGCCCCAGCCCCAGCCCACCCCAACCCAGCACGAAATACATTTTTTAAATTCCTTAAATTCTTTAAAAATTAAATCGGCCGGAATTAAATTTTAAAGAATTTCAATAATTTAAAAACGAAAATTTCTTTAAAAATTAAATCGGCCGGAATTAAATTTTAAAGAATTTAGAAAATTTAAAAACAAAAAATCTTTAAAGATTAAATCGACCGGAATTAAATTTTAAAGAATTTAAAAAATTTAAAAAAGAAAAAATCTTTAAATTCTTTAAAAATTAAATCGGCCGGAATTAAATTTTAAAGAATTTAAAGAATTTAAAAAATTTAAATCCCGGGTCCCAGCCCCAGCCCCGGCCCACCCCAACCCAGCACGAAATAAATTTTTTAAATTCCCTAAATTCTTTAAAAATTAAATCGGCCGGAATTAAATTTTAAAGAATTTAAAAAATTCAAAAAAGAAAAATTCTTTAAATTCTTTAAAAATTAAATCGGACGGAATCAAATTTTAAAGAATTTAAAGAATTTAAAGAATTTAAAAAATTTAAATCCCGGGCCCCAGCCCCGGCCCACCCCAACCCAGCACGAAATAAATTCTTTAAATTTCTAAATTCTTTAAAAATTAAATCGGCCGGAATTAAATTTTAAAGAATTTAAAAAAATTAAAAAAGAAAAATTCTTTAAATTCTTTAAAAATTAAATCGGCCGGAATTAAATTTTAAAGAATTTAAAGAATTTAAAGAATTTAAAAAATTTAAATCCCGGGCCCCAGCCCCAGCCCCGGCCCACCCCAACCCAGCACGAAATAAACTTTTGTAAATTCCTTAAATTCTTTAAAAATTAAATCGGCCGGAATTAAATTTTAAAGAATTTAAAAAATTTAAAAAAGAAAAGTTCTTTAACTTCTTTAAAAATTAAATCGGCCGGAATTAAATTTGAAAGAATTTAAAGAATTTAAAAAATTTAAATCCCGGGCCCCAGCCCCAGCCCCGGCCCACTCCGGAATTAATTTTTAAAGAATTTAAAGAATGTAAAAAATTTAAATCCCGGGCCCCAGCCCCAGCCCCGGCCCACTCCGGAATTAATTTTTAAAGAATTTAAAGAATTTAAAGAATTTACAAAATTTAAATCCCGGGCCCCAGCCCCAGCCCCGGCCCACTCCGGAATTATTTTTTAAAGAATTTAAAGAATTTCAAGAATTTAAAAAATTTAAATCCCGGGCCGCAGCCCCAGCCCCGTCCCACTACGGAATTAATTTTTAAAGAATTTAAAAAATTTAAATCCCGGGGCCCCAGCCCCAGCCCCGGCCCACTCCGGAATTAATTTTTCAAGAATTTAAAGAATTTAAAGAATTTAAAAAAATTAAATCCCGGGCCCCAGCCCAGCCCGGCCCACCGGCTCAGCCCCAGCCCCGCCCCTCCCGGGCCCCTGCCCCAGCCCGGCCCACCAGCCCCCAGCCCCCTCCTCCCCCAGAGCCTCCTCCCCCATCCAGCCCCAGTCCGGCCCAAGGCTCGGGCTCAGCCCCCACCCCCCGCCCAGCTCCAGCCTCCAGCCATGCCCCTGTCCCAGGCCCAGCCCCAGTCCCCGCCCCCGGCCCCGCTCAGCCCACCCCCACCTGCTGTCTGTAGCCTCCGACCCCAGCCTAGCAGCCCTGCCCAACCCCAGCCCAGGCCCGAGGGAGGGCCCAGCCCCCGGCGACACCCTTGCGATTTGATTTTGGAACCTATTTCTTGAAAAAACCTTTGGGGGGACACTCATTGCGATCTGTGATGCTAGTAATGGAGTTCTTACACAACCTTAGTTAGGGGGACACCCCTTGCGATTCGTGTTTTTGAAACATATTTATTACAAAAACCCTTAGGGTGACACCCCTTGCGATCTATGGTTTTCGGATCTGAGTTACAGGTGTTTTGCTGGACCACAGGTCACTTCCGCCAGATTTTGCCAGCAGATGTGTGAAATCCCTAGCCCTTGTTTTCATGCGGTATTTACAGGTGTTTTGCTGGACCACAGGTCACTTCCGCCAGATTTTGCCAGCAGATGTGTGAAATCCCTAGCCCTTGTTTTCATACGGTATTTACAGGTGTTTTGCTGGACCACAGGTCACTTCCGGCAGATTTTGCCAGCAGATGTGTGAAATCCCTAGCCCTTGTTTTCATGCGGTATTTACAGGTGTTTTGCTGGACCACAGGTCACTTCCGCCAGATTTTGCCAGCAGATGTGTGAAATCCCTAGTCCTTGTTTTCACGCGGTATTTACAGGTGTTTTACTGGACCACAGGTCACTTCCGCCAGACTTTGCCAGCAGATGTGTGAAATCCCTAGCCCTTGTTTTCACGCGGTATTTACAGGTGTTTTGCTGGACCACAGGTCACTTCCGCCAGATTTTGCCAGCAGATGTGTGAAATCCCTAGCCCTTGTTTTCATGCGGTATATACAGGTGTTTTGCTGGACCACAGGTCACTTCCGCCAGATTTTGCCAGCAGATGTGTGAAATCCCTAGTCCTTGTTTTCACGCGGTATTTACAGGTGTTTTGCTGGACCACAGGTCACTTCCGCCAGGTTTTGCCAGCAGATGTGTGAAATCCCTAGCCCTTGTTTTCATGCTGTATTTACAGGTGTTTTGCTGGACAACAGGTCACTTCCGCCAGATTTTGCCAGCAGATGTGTGAAATCCCTAGCCCCTGCTTTAGCGCGGTATTTACAGGTGTTTTGCTGGACCACAGGTCACTTCCGCCAGATTTTGCCAGCAGATGTGTGAAATCCCTAGTCCTTGTTTTCACGCGGTATTTACAGGTGTTTTGCTGGACCACAGGTCACTTCCGGCAGATTTTGCCAGCAGATGTGTGAAATCCCTAGCCCTTGTTTTCATGCGGTATTTACAGGTGTTTTGCTGGACCACAGGTCACTTCCGCCAGATTTTGCCAGCAGATGTGTGAAATCCCTAGCCCTTGTTATAGCGCGATATTTACATGCTTTCTGCTCGGTCGCGGCTCGGGCAGGGAAGGCTGGGCGTGCGGAAGCAGGCAGCCGTGCCCACTCCTCATCCCTCGTCCTCCTCCCATACCCCTCCCTCCCTCTCCCTATCCCTCCCACTACCCCCTCCCCTCACCTTCCTCACTCTGCCCCACCTCCACTCCCTCTACCTCTCCTCTTCCCCTTTCTCTCTCCTGGAATCTCCACCCTCCCCCACCCTCCCTTCTCTCCTTCTTAAATATCCCCCTAAGGTTTTGTGAAAACTCAGATCCCAAAACCACAGATCTTAAGGGGTGTCCCCCTAAAGGTTTTCATGACAAGTAAGTGCAAAAAGCACAAATCGCAAGGGGTGTCCCCCTTAAGGTTTTGTGAAGATTCAAATCCCAAAACCACAGATCTTAAGGGGTTTCCCCTAAAGGTTTTCATGACAAGTAAGTTCAAAAATCACAAATCGCAAGGGGTGTCGCCCTAATATTTTGTAAAAACTCAGATCCAAAAATCACAGATCGCACGGGGTGTGCCCCTCTCAGGCTTTGTAAGAACTCAGATCCAAAAATCACACATCGCAAGGAGCGTCCCCCTAAAGGCGTTTGTAAATGATCCACCCTGTCCCTCTCACTTGCCTCCTACCTCCCCCACTCCTAACTCATTCCTTCCCTTCCCATCTCATGTCTCCTCACCTCCCATCACTTTTTCTCCCATCCACTCATCTTCTTATCATCTTCTTATCCCCTTCATCACTTTTTAATTTGTCTTATGGGGTCTATAGAGCCCATATAGAAAGCTTCATAGATATATAAACCTTACAGATCCTCGAGATAAAGAACTTGTAGGAACCGCTTATGTTTCCCACAAATGGAGTCCTTTATAAAAAATCTTTGAAAGATCGATTATATGGAGCCCTCATACACAGTCTTTATATACTCCTTATAGAAATCTATAGATCCTTTGTACAGATCCCTGATATGGAACCCGTTGTAGAAAACCCTTAGACTATACAATCCAAAGAACGCACCCACCCTCCACTCCCTCTACCTCTCCACCCATCTCCCCACTCCCTCCTCTTCCCCTCCCTTTGTCCACCCGCCCTCCCCTCTCCCCACCTTTTCCTTGCGCTCCCTCTACCTCCTCTCTCCGCCCACCCTCTTCTCCCTGTTCCTCTCCACCCTCTCCCCACTCACTCACCCAACCCACTCAGCCCGGCCAGGCTCCCCAGCTGGCCCTGCCTCAAAGCAAGCCGGGCGTGCTGGCCGTGGATCTCAGCAGGCCCCTGCCCACCCTCGACCAGGCTCAGCAGGCCAGGCCGCAGGCAAGCTGCGAGCTGGCCGCCTTCGGCAAGCTGTCTAACATTGTTTCTTATCCACTTTCACCTATTCCCCCGCTTCAGTCCATGCCCTACCTTTCACTCCTTTCCAGACCCTTCTGATATGAGTACAATGAGAGGAGGAGGTCAGAGGGACGAAGAACAGCTCTCTCCATTACTTTCTCATCTGCTTTGACCCCTTCCCTTTCCTGGCTCCATGCATGCCCTGCGAGAAGAGAAGAATAAGAGAGAAAAGAGGAAGAGCAGAGGAGACACTGGTTTCCCCTCTTTCATTACGTAGCATTTCTTTTGGCCACTTCCTCCACACTTCTCGTATCTTCCTCTCTCTTCTTCCTCTGCTGGGCTTGAAGCTCTCTCTCGCCCTCTCCGTAACTCTCTTCTTTCTGTCGAGCGGACGAGCGGTGGGAGAGGAAGGGCACAAGGTGAGTGAAGACGAGAACACTTCTTCCTTGTCTTCCTCCACAACCTCTTCCTGGTTTTTTACCAATGAGACGGTGAGATAGGACAAGCAAGGCCCTTTCGACTGCTTTCTGCATCGCTTCCCCTCCCCTCCTTTCTCTCACTCTCTGCCTCTGTTTTTGCTGGTCTTTCTCTCTTACTTTCTCTCTTTGTTTCTGTGTTTGTTTCCTTATGGCTCTCGTTCTTCTTCTGCCCTTCTCGGATTGTCTCTCCTCTTCTGTTGTCTTTCTCTTACTCCCTTGTCTTCTTCCTTGTGAATTGTCCTTCTTCCTTCTGAGTGATAGAGGGAGAAGGACGGGAGGCAGGAAAGCCAGGAGGAGAAGGAATAGGGGGCAAGCGATTCTTTCCAAGCGAACATAATAGGGGGAGAGAAGCGGAAAAGGGAATGTGCAGAAGTAGACGGGAAGGGAGGGAGGGAGAAAGAGGGATCTGGAGAGAACAATGAAAAGGAGGATGGTGAGGTGATGAGAAGAGTGCCCTTTGCATGCCCTGAACTCTCCGTTCCAAGCGAACATAATAGGCGGAGAGAAGCGGAAAAGGGAATGTGCAGAAGTAGACGGGAAGGGAGGGAGGGAGAAAGACGGATCTGGAGAGAACAATGAAAAGGAGGATGGTGAGGTGATGAGAAGAGTGCCCTTTGCATGCCCTGAACTCTCCGTTCCTTTCATTTCTCCTTCCTTATGAAGATGAATAGGGTAAGAGAAGAGGAAGAAGGCGAAGGGCAAGGAAGTAAGAGAGGCGAGCGAAGGAGGAATTCTCCTTTCTTCTCCGAACCGTCTTCCCGCATCTTACCGCTTCCTTTCTGTTGTCTGCTCTTCTTTCCTTATGTCTTCGCAGAGCCCTTCCTCCTTATCCTTTTCTTTCCTCTGGTCATTCAAAAAGGAAACGATGAGGAGACGCGAACTGATTCTCCTTGCTCCTTCTTACCAAACTCTGCTTCTCTACATCCCCCTGCTTTCTTTATACTCGGTTTGGTGTTCATGTCCTCAAGAGGCCCCCTTAGGGAGGAAGTTGGTGGCCTCCAGAAAGTTGTGGAAGTGTCTGAAGGCGCCTACAAGCCTCCTCGAAGCCCTCGCGAGGCCCGGAGTCCTTTGAGATACGGCAACACTGGTACTCTCTCGCTTCCTCTTCTGTGTCCTTCTTCCTAGTCTTCCTTTCGCACTCGACTTCCCCCACTCTCTGTCTATGACTTTCTCTTATCCACTTTCACCTATTGCCTCGCTTCAGTCCATGCCCTAGCCGTCAGTCCTTTCCAACCCCTTCTGACATGAGTAAGCATCAGGAGAATGAGAGGAGGAGGTTAGAGGGACGAAGAACAGCTCTCTCCGTTACTTTCTCTCATCCGCTTTGACCCCTTCCCTTTCCTAGCTCCATGCATGCCCTGCGCTAAGAGAAAAACAAGAGAGCAAAGAGGAAGAAGAGGAGACAGGGCCGAGTGAAGAGGAGAACACTTCTTCCTCGTCTCCCTCCACAAGCTCTTCCTGGTTTATCACCAATGAGACAGTGTGATAGGACAAGAACAAAGAATGAATAGACGTGGAGGTCAAGGCACTGTCGGCTGATTTATGCATCGCCTCCTCTTTCTGTCTCTCTTTTTGATTATCTTTCCCCCATATTTTCTCTCTTTGTTTCTGTATTTCGTCCCTTATGGCTCTCTCTCCGTTTCTTTTGTCTGTTTTCTTACTCCCTTGTCTTTCTCCTTGTGAGTCTTCCTTCTTCCTTCTGAGTGATAAGGGGAGAAGGACGGGAGGCAGGGAAGGGAGGAGGAGAAGGAACAGGGCAAGCGATGGGACAAAGAGAGTGAGAGAAAGTTGAAGATAAGTATCAAATCAAGCATACTGTAGTAGGCGAGAGAAGTGGAAAAGTAAATGTGCAGAAGTAGAGAGGAAAGGATGGAGGGAGAGAGAGAGAGAGCGAGAGAGAGAGAGAGAGGGGGAGATGGACAACGCAATGAACACGATGAAGGAGGAGATTATGAGGAACAGTGTCACTTGCTCTCCCTGAGCTCTCCGTTCTTGTCGCTTCTCCTTCTAATTGTGAAGAAGGATAGGAGCAGAGAAAAGAAGGCAAGGGCAAAGAAAGTCAAAGAGCCGAGTGAGGGAGGAATCCACCTTCCTTCTCCCAACCATCTTCCTCCATCTTATGTCTTCGCTTCTGTTTTCTATTCCTTCCAGCAAGGGAGCAAGGAAAGAGGGGACAGAAGAGATGAGAGAGCGAGACACGGCAGAGAGGAAGACAGAGCGAGAAAAAGAGAGAGAGAGAGAGAGAGAGAGAGGGGCGGAAGAGAGACAACGCGAGAGGAAATGAAAAATCGAACCACGTCGAGAGGAACTGACGTCGTCCCTTTGCCCCTCCCTCGTGTTACCCCTGTCATTGACAGCAGAAGGCGACAAGAAAAGAAACAGAAAAAAGATCACTCAAAGGAAGGAGAGAAGGGAGAGACGAGAGAATGAAGAGTTCACTTCGTCCATCTTCATGCCTATTCCTCTGTCATGACTTCAATTTCTGTGTCTTCTTGACAAACGGCAGATTGGATAGGCAGGAAGAGGAACGGGAATGAGAGAAAGACACAGGACGAGAAATACACAAGACAGATTCTTGATGGTTCCCGGCGCGAGAGGGACGGGAGGACATTGTGATAGACTGTGATAGACCCTAAAACCAGCACGGAGAACTTGTGATAGCGTAAAACCATCTAAATCCTCATAAACTCCAAACCTTAGATCTTCCATAGTATACTGACCCCGGTAAACCATAGTTAGGAGCTAAGACCCTAGACCCTTAAACTCCTGTCGAGACCTTTACACTGTACACGCTTCGGCCTCCCGATGTAACCGTCATGCCAGACCTTGTCGTCGCCGTGTTGAACCCAGTCGTCGTCGTGCTAAACCGAGTCGTCGTCGTCCTTGTCGCCGTGGTGTTGTTGCAGTTTAAATACAAAGCCCAGCAGGATTGCCAAATAGACCCTAAAGGTCCATGCCACGAAGTCCTATACTAGAGGGGCCCAGTATACTATACTTATAAAAAGGAGCCCCCAAAATAGTATAGGTAAGTGTTAAGGCTCAGAGTATGTGCTGCATGCGATTGTTCTGCCGCCCGCCTTTCTTTTTGGGGTGAAAGAGGTGATCGGTGATCAGCATCACCACGCTGTATCCATTGATCCTCGTGGCATGCACATAACGTACATGCATGTCTGTACATACGAGCGGGCTTACCAACACACACAGCTATACTGTCGCATTAGACATTCGTGTGTCACAGAGTAGATTCGCACATTCCCCGAAACACTTATGTCAAGCTTATATCTGCACGTGTGTGTTCTTAACGAGTATATGCAGGTTCCGTACATTCATCACACAGGCATGTGTGTATATAATGCCACCCCGAAAGACACTGTCCGTCTCAATCTTGTCACCGCCTTCGTCGAAGAGGACCGCCTATGGGCAGATCGCATCGCTTCCACCAGAAGAACACCACCATGGGCGTCCTGAGCGAAGACGCTCGCACCTTCACCAAGCGCTCCAACAAGGCTTCTGTGTGTCGGCTTTAGCTTTCAGGATGCAGGGGCTTTTGGGGAGTTTTGTCTCTTCGGAGGCTTAGCTCAAGCCAGTTTTAGGCTGCCATGTGCAGCGAATTGCGGTGTAGGTGCAAGACGTAATTAATTTGAGCGCGATGGTGAGTGCAGTGCAAAGCACAACACACAAAGTCATCCAATACCACTGCACAGAAACAAGCGTCAAGTGCCCAGTGTAGGCCCCATACAGTCTGGAAGACTGAGCAAACCTGCCCCATACAAAGACTCTCAACATGTATACGCATGCACACGTGCAAGATCTTGCAATCACTATACAACACAAATGTGCAATACGTTGCGTCCGCAGCACTTTTGTCACCATCACTATCGCCAGCAGCAATCCTTCCACCGTAGTCAGCATCCTCCATATCATCATCAGCAGCAGCAATTACTAAACTATTCGTATCTATACTGCAGCATCAGAAACATGTGAAGATAGCCCATATGCGGACAGGGGAGACTTAGCATCGTCTGCGAGAACAAGGTCCACTTCCACGGGACGGTGCGTTATGCCGTCGCTGGGCAGACAAGTCTTCTTCCAGGCACTAAGCCCCAAAACATAAGCTCATGTTGCGGGTGGTGCGAGGTGCAGTTCACCGACGGAGAGCTTTGCAGCGCAGATGGAGCAGCATGGCGCAACGAAGTTCAGTCTTCCCTTGGCAGTCAGGTCAGAACGTCTGAATGGGTTCGTGGGAAGTCTATCAGCTCAGACCGCATGCAACCATGTTGATCGTGGGCTGGTTTTTTCTTGCAAGCTGATGAGCAACTTACGGTCTGCAAGGTGGGCTTCATCATCTCCTCGGATCTTCCCTGCACCAAGAACATTCAGAAGATCGTGTCGGTCTTTGCCAACAGAACCGGACGAATCTGCGGCCTGGCCCCGATATGTACAATAAACACCATAAAAGTTTGGGAACTGGAAATGGGAAGAAGTGTTCACTCCAGTGACCGTTCCGGGCTAGGGGACCGTTTGTTGCCAATTGTTTGGAAGTTGCCCTAGTGTTCGATGCTTCTGTTATGCAACCTTTGAATCTTTTGCATAGCAGATGTTGTGCCGTCGACATAGCGCATGTGCATAGCACAAACGCAGCTGAGATACTCAAACGCATCCAGGAATCAACATCGCCTGAACTTCCAATGTACATGGTATATATATATATATATACATATTTATTCTTGTTTTTACCAGTAAACTACTTCTTTTCCATGTGCGCACAAGAAAGCAGATGCTCCACGCCGGGCATGTATCTGCGTCGAACATGCGCACGGAAGAACTTTCGTTGGAGCCAGCCTCTTGGAGACGTGCGCGACCCAAAAGCATGTAAATGATGGCCCAACATGGTTTAGGGATTAGGGTTTAGGGATAAACGCTATTGGTAGTATCGTTGCTACTACAATTCTTGTTATTGTCATTATCATATCAGGTTCACGTCCCAGGCCCAACTCTTCAAGTGTTAGACGAGCCGTTGTAGCTAAGTACATGCAAGGCATTCATGCAGTCAAAATTCTCACGCATGAGAGCTCGTGTACATTCCGGGAGATTAAGGGTAAGCTTGTCTATGCTCTAATTCTAGCCAGCTACTTGCTGTCGTGCTAGCAGGCATCCGGGTGCACGACGAGGTGGAACGTTGCCCGCAAAGGGTGAAATGCTTGGAAGTGGGAGACTGGTTGGAGGCGGAACGCTGTGGCAGCGAGTGTCTGGTATTCAGTGTTTAGGATTCAGGGCTCAGGCCTCGTTCGGGGCAAGATGCTTCATACTGGCATTGGCTCAAGAGGCTCCACGTGCCAGTACAAGTGTTTGGCTGTGATATGTAATTCAAACGTGTTTCGGTCCTGCCAGCATTGTTCGCTGTGTTCATGGGTGTCGTTGTCGCAGTGCGGTGCCAAATTTGCTGATCATTCATCTTGCCTCTCAGAGCAACTGCATCGTGGCCTATAGGGGTTCGGTTGTGGTGACGGTGTGGTGGCTTGGTCAACACAGTGTCGCTAAGCAGTTGCTGCAGGAAGGGTTAAACCAGACGTGTTCGAAGAATAGCTCTTCACTATACTCTACTATACTATACTACACTGCCCTACGCTACTCTACTGTTTGCTACCCTACCCACACTGTACTACAGTATCACTACTACTTCTACTGCCACTGCTGCTGCCACTGCCACCACCACAACCACGACGACGACCACTACCGCGACTACGAGTACTGCTACTGCTACTGCCACTACTGCTGCTGCTGCTCCTGCTACTACTGCTACTACTGCTACTACTGCTACTGCTGCTACTGCTGCTACTGCTGCTACTGCTGCTACTGCTACTGCTGCTACTGCTGCTACTGCTGCTACTGCTGCTACTGCTGCTACTGCTGCTACTGCTGCTACTGCTGCTACTGCTGCTACTGCTGCTACTGCTGCTACTGCTGCTACTGCTGCTCCTGCTGCTCCTGCTGCTCCTGCTGCTCCTGCTGCTACTGCTGCTACTGCTGCTACTGCTGCTGCTGCTCCTGCTGCTGCTGCTGCTACTGCTGCAACTGCTGCTACTGCTGCTACTGCTGCTGCTGCTGCTGCTACTGCTGCTACTGCTGCTACTGCTGCTACTGCTACTGCTGCTACTGCTGCTACTGCTGCTACTGCTACTGCTACTGCTACTGCTACTGCTACTGCTACTGCTACTGCTACCGCTACTGCTACTGCTACTGCTGCCACTACAACCACTGTCACTACTATTTTATCAATACCACCACCACCGGCCACAATTGCAACACCAACAACAATAGCTGATAGCTACAACAACAGCAACAACCGCCACCACCACCACCACCACCACCACCACCACCACCACCACCACCACCACCGCCACCACGACCTCCACGAACCCCACGACCACCACCGTCGCCACAAGCGCCACAAGCGCCACCACGGCCTCCACGACCACCACCGCACCCACGGCCGCCACCGCCACCACGACCACCAGCAGCACCGGCACCAGCACCAGCACCAGCACCCGGCACCAGCACCCGGCACCCGGCACCAGCACCACCAGCACCACCAGCACCACCAGTACCCACCAGCACCACCAGCACCACCAACACCACCAGCAGCACCAGCAGGACCGGCACCACCGGCACCACCAGCACCCACCAGCACCCACCAGCACCCACCAGCACCCACCAGCACCCACCAGCACCACCAGCACAACCAGCGCCACCAGCACCACCACCACCTCCACCACCTCCACCACCTCCACCACCTCCATGCCGCCATACACACTGCCGCCGCCGGCGCCGGTCCCGGCACCGCCACGGCGACGGCTACGGGAACAGTTGCTAACTGCTGCTGCTAAAATTACCATTGCTATTACACAAACCAGGATTGCTCATGCTGCTACTGCTTGGACCAGCCGCCACCCTGTCTTTGGCAGGGCTACTTGCATGCTTTTTGCGCAGGTGAGCACAGACCTCACCCAACAGACCGTGAGCTTCACCGTTTGGCCCAAGGCCCTGTGCTGGTGCGAGTGTTGTGGGTTGATCTGTATCCATGGTTTAGAGGCTGAGGGTTACGGTTGACCGTTTGAAGCTTGATTTATGCAAAAAGCCATCACAGACGATCGGGGCACGGTGCCTTAAATGCCGAACTTCGCAATTTCCAGGACGGCTCAGAACCATCTTTTGCCACCGTCTCTTTCAAGGAGACTCTGGCGCAGGTGGGCCTCGGGACATTTAAGGCGGTGACACGTTTCACCTAATGGCTCGGCTAACGGCTAACCAACTATAGGGTCGGTGTACGGCTGCTGCAGTTGCCACAGCTAGCAGCAAAAAGAATTCTAGCCATGATCTTCAAGGCAAGATCTGCGTGACTCTAGAGCTGGATACTCCTGTCCAGTTAGAGGTTTGCAGAAAGTCCTCCATCCTGCCGTGGCAGCTTTTGCTCCTACAACTACAATGCCCCTACAAGAGGGCAGATTGCATGCGCATGCGCCGAGAGAGCATCGTGAGAGCTAGCTGCATCTACAGTCCCGACTCTTAAATGCCCCAAGCCATACTCGTTTGGGTCATGACAGGTTTGAAATCGGTTTCGAAGGGAAGGCCAAAGAAGAATCCAAATCCAAAAAGGGTCTTTGTACAGCTGCACTGTGCTGTCTTAGACTATGGGCTCCGTGGTATACACCCTAGCACTTTCAAGCAGAGACCGGGTCCTTCCGTTTTCAACGTCAATGAGAAGTCAACCTTAGACTGCAAAGCCTTGTCCTCCCGACGGCGACGGCTGCCCAAACCCGCCAAAGCCGTCAAAAGACAGGGATGAAGACATGAGATTCGAGGCTCGTGCGCGCGGCGTGAATGGCCTGCCGCGCAGCGTCTGTGGCTGCTTGGAGCTGCAACGCCCTGCGCAGACGTCGGTTTGGCGTTCAGCGGTCGACCAGCGGGAGTGGGAGTGCAGGGTTGAACAGTAGGATTCCGCGTGTTGGTTGCGAGCTGAAACTTGTTCCAGATAAGGCGCAAGGCCTTAAACCTGGCACTTTGTTGAAGGTGAGCTTATCGTGACTCTAGCCTTGGCGACACCGCTGCTATGACGGTGACGATGGCCGGGGTCGTGGCGGGGTAGGGTGAGGGCAGGTGGGCGGCGAGAGCTTTGACGGTCCTGCTAGCTAACATCCTTGCTCATGCTGTATACTTGTATACTATAGGTCACGGTACAGTATTCTTCCGGTTGCTATCGGCATCTTGTGGAGGGCTTAATTTGTTTCTTCTGTCTACATCCACAGAGGGGTGTGACCGTATTTTTTGCTGTCGGTTCTTACACGAGGCTACCTCGCCGTGGTCATCAAGCACCTCGGCGTGTCCGTCGCGCTGGGCTCCTAAAGGACTAGGCGCACGGCCGCTTCCGAAACTAGGCCTAACTAGGCATTTGCAGGCTGTTAAAGCCCCTTGTTGTGCACGAGGCAACAGTATCAGTGTCAGCTTAGCAAGCATGCAGTGGAGTACGATCTTTACCAGTTAGCAAGCTTGAGAAGTAAGATGAAGTAAGTGTGCATGGAGGCTGAAGCTTTACACACGCCTAGACTTCCCCCGCCGCAGTCTCTTCCGGAAGCGCTGACGTGGGCGGCGCTGTGATCTTCCTCTGCGTCCAATTTTTGTCTCTATACAGCGGACCTGGAGGCCCTACCTCGTAGTCGCAGCCATTGGCTGCAAAGTAGGTCGTTTTTGTTCGGAGGAGCTAGCTTTCGCGGCAGCTTTTCAGCCTTATCTCGATGGCTCAGAGCCGTGGGACGCCCTCAGTTTTTCAATTTTACGACGGTTGCATTGCGTAACCTCTTTTGGCTGCACTGTTGGCGAAGAGCATGCGATAGGAGCTGATGGAGTTGTCAGTTACAGCTACGGTGATGGTACCTCGCTGCAACTTCTGCATCCTCTATGCTGGTGCCATGCCCTTTCCAACTAATTTATGCCCAAGTCTTCGTGAGAGCAGAGAGGCTTCTCGCACACAAAGCAAGCAGTGCCACAACGAAAGACCAGGAATGTGTCTTACCATACTGCGAATCTGATGTGAATATGGGGGGGGCTGAGCTTGCATTTTATGTTCAGAAGCAAGAGCAACTCAGGCATGAAGCTAGTGCCGAGCTCCAGACGTGTGACCTGTCCAGGCATCTAAAGGTTTGCACACCTCTTGCTGCTTGTACAGGTTTGGGACAGACAGGATCCAGAACTCTGCCTGCTGCCCACTCGACAGTGTCTTGAGCCAGCGCTGCTGATGCCGCGGAAGGTCGAGAACTCGACATGACTGTGTCATGACATTGACTAAAGCCGTAGCCCGCCCGAAAGAAGTGACTTGTTCTGCATTCTGGAGATCTCGCACCTTCGCGAAGCAATTGCATAGACGTATAGCACACACAGCTTGCACGCTCGGGCTCGGCAAGGCAGAACCGCGAGCGAGAATTGCATAGACGTATAGAAGCGAGGATCCTTTCAAACCTCGAATATATATATCGCCACTTTAAAGACATCGTGAGCTTCGATCTGCGCTTTAGAAGCACGGGTCGGCGCCTTCACTTTTGTGGCTGTGTTTAACACGGCTGAAGCTATCAACACCAGAGATCATCTGAGTTTAGCCCAGGTCATGCCAGGTCCAGTTGATCGCTACAGCCAGGGTGGGCCCCCCTTCGGGCCTGCGAAAAGTAGGAGGGCCACAGACTGCCCACTTCAGGACAGTCTGCCCTGCTGCTCTTCAGACCGTGATTCGAGTGCCTCATCCACTTGCGATGACGGCCTTTGTTGCGCCCAGGCGCAAAATTCTTCAGATTTCAGGACTAAGCTGTTTGGTTATTGGACTCCGTGCTGGCATTCACGGCGACTTGTTCGTGAAGCTCTAATTCTAACAACCTTTCCCGTCCGTGCTGTTGCGTGAGCTGCCGATCCATCTGATCTGTCCTTGCAGCGTGATTTTCCTGGCTCGAGCTCACAGCCCTTTTGCGTGAGAAGCCGACGTCGGGCGCTGAGGGCTTGGCTGCAGGAGCTTTAGGGCTTTGGGAAGGTGGCTTCAGCATATTTTGTTGTTCAGACTGCAGACCTTCCGCAGGAGGCTTCGATCGCCCCGCTAGCTCGTTAGCCCACTCTGTTCCCTTGTGGCGGAGCCCCTGCAGCCTGCAGCCTTATCACATGAGCTGCCAAAGAACATCATCTGAATCTTGAGGAAGCAGAAGCTGCAAGGAAGAGCCCAGAGGTTTTCGCCAAACCTTCGCGAATGAACCACTGACATTGACTGTCAGAATCTCTGTGTCGATGAGTTCTAGCTCTAAGCTTACTGATGATAACTGCGTGCTGGTGCCATCGTGCATACCCTCCAAAGCAACAGCTTTGGACGTCATACTACGGTTTTCGCCAAGCAGCAGTGCTTTCGATGCTAGAAGCTGCGAGGAAGGCAGCAGCCGCCACAAGAGATTGTCGCCAAAAGAACAGAACATAGCACCGCAGCTAGCCAGGGCAAGGTCACAACACTCCACATGACAAAACACCACTTTTCCTCAGCACAGCGAGGCATAGCCATTGCATTTCAGCCATTGCCACCAACAACAAGGAACCAAAATAGCAAACGGTAAGAATACGGTAAGAAGCAATCAATAAACCGACGAAAATCAGCAGCAACGACAGCAGCAGCAGCAGCAGCAGCAGCAGCAGCAGCAGCAACAGCAACCGGAACCGCAACCACAACTGCAATCGTAGCAGCAACAGCAACAGCAACAGTGAAACAGCAGCAACAACAACAACAGCAGCATCAGCAACACCAGCACCAACACGACCACCACCGCCAACACCACCACCGCCAGCACCACCACCAACAGCAACGGCAACAGCAACAACAACAACAGCAACGGCTGCAACGGCAACAACAGCAGCGGCAGCGGCGGCAGCGGCGGAGGCAGCGGCTGCGGCTGCGGCTGCCGTTGCGGCTGCAACTGCGGCTACCGCAGCAACAGCAAGACTGGCACCACCACCACCGCCGCCGCCGCCGCCCCCACCACCACCGCCACCACCACCGCCACCGCCACCGCCACCGCCACCATCCATCACCACGGCTGCTACTACTATCGGAACAACAGCAACAGCTGCTGATGCGCTTACGAATATACTGCTCCACCGACGACGACGACGACTACTACTACTACTACTACTACTCCTGCCACTACTCTGCTGCTGCTGCTCCTACTGCTATGGCTCCGGCTCCGGCTCCGGCTCCCGCTGCTTCTCTTGCTGCTGCCACTGTTACCGCTACTCGCGGCTGCGACTACTACGAAGATTATTTGAGCTGCTGCTAGTTCTGCTACCAGCACCGCCAAGTACATGTGCCGTGAGCAGGCGCTTCTGAAGCTGAACAGCATTCGCAAGCAACATGTTGACTGCACGCCAGTGTGGATAAGCGGTTGTCATCATGACACGAATGAGAGAAACGCTAATCGTGAGAAGCGCTGCGGTCTCAAGAATGCCTCAGTGACATCGGTCGTTTCTCTGGACAGAGTCCCAATATCAGGAGCAGCATAGCAGTAGCCGCTGAAGTTAGAGTAGTAGCACTAGCACGTAAAAGCAGACCGAAAGTGATGACCCTTTGCCCAAGGCCCAAGAGCGTTTCGAACGATGCTGCAGTCCGCGAGCTTTCACGGCAGGAAGACCTTCAGCAGGCCGGTTCCATGCATGCTTCCGTTATACACAAGATTAGAAGGAGATGATAGGTTCATCTATCAGACTATCATGGGTGGGCATACATATCGTATCAGAACGCGCTGCTGTGTGTTGGTCGTGATGGTGATGCTGATCTTTATCATGACCACCCATCGTGATGGCAAAGAAGAGGTGCTGGTAGTGATCATATGGAAACCGGTTGGGATGAGAGATCAGAGGCCGCCCGAGAATCTGGGCATTTCGGCATGAAATCGCAGCATAGCGGATTCCAAACCCCTTCACCAGTTAGGTCCCCACCGCCTGCCTACCCGAACGCCTGGTTTCGCGACTTGTGAATACTCATCTTGTCATATGGGTTGATCGGAGCGATATTGCAAGTTTGTCTGCTTGGCTTGGGTCCGGCCTCATGCCAGGCCATGCAACGACTTCGATGACTTCGGTGTGCCAAGTTCCGATGATGAGCAGGCTACTCTCGCTGGCGATAGAGTGTTTAGGATGTAAGGCTTAGGGGGATTATGATTATGATGCCAGCATAAGTAAGCCATGGCGAAGGCAATGACCAGCTTTGTGTGATATTGCTGCAAGTCTGAGAGTACGATTGTTGGTCAAGCAGTGTGGTCATATGTAATACTAGTACATGGGGTCCCGCGAATCGTGCTCGCGCCACAGTCTTTGGCCTCTGACTCCCTAGAAGTTGTGCAGTCCCACAGTACTTGAAAGGGTTTTGGACTTGTGCGAAATTACAAGTGCCGCATGTTTCGTTCGTGTGCGACTCGGCGGGAACAGTGCTGGTGTTTGCGGCCCCGCAAATCGTGCTCCTGTCTAGCTCCCCGCTGCAGTGCCGTGTTACTACGGTGTACAGCGTGTTTTGGACTGGTCTTCGCACCTCTGGGGGGCTTCTGAAAAGGTCCCTGGGTAAGTAGCTTGGACTGATGGGCTCTGCGAGGTGCTGTTGCAATGTTCAGGGCCTACGTGGACACATTTTTTGGCTGTTAGCTCTTGCAGCCATGATTGTTCTGACTGCTAGTGCAAACTGTTGTTATTCATTCCTCAAATATTGCACTTGCGCCTGCTGCTACTCTGTTAGAGGAGGCACCGCAACATTGAAAGTGTACAGCAACTGGCGCAAACACGAACCCGTCTTCACAGTGCAATAGTCCAGTGTCCAGTTCGTGGGCTGTTGCGATAGTACCACTATACCAGAATCGAATGCAGCACTGAAAGCACGTCCTCGTTCTGATATCTCGACTGCCAGGTCCAGAGTGGTTCGCGAACTGAACTTAGTTTATCTTAAGCACCTTTCCAAGACTCCAAGACCTTATAGAGCTCGTGAGCGCTTGGTTGCGCACGGCGCGTGTAAACGGCAATACGATGACTTTTCAATGCACGGGCATGTGCTGCTGTCTCGTCATACGTACAACTCTTCTTGAAGGTAGTGATGTGCTTCGGGCGTTTGATACTCGTGCTTACCATTCTCGCTCCAGTCGCAGTTCATGGTTGTCGAGTCGGCTTATGCGTGATTAACGTGGGAAAGCTGTAAGCGCATGTTGGGAAACTGAGACAGATACGAGCCGTATGACTAGATTAACTCTGTTGCAGCCTACCATCACTTTTCCAGAACTACAGTAGCTGCTGCTTTGGCCAGGCACCCTGCTCTAGTTTCTCAGAGTTTGCGCTGTGTGCTTCCACACAATCCACCAACCCCACGCCCGTATGCCGTATGCCATATGGGTAGTTGTCAAAATTATGTGCATTTCAGGAGCTGCTGACCCTCGGCCGCTATGCTTCCGCAACTGCACGCCGCCGCCAAATCAAGAAGGGTCAGGTGCGGGGCCCTGACCAGGCTCAGGTTTCGATCCTAGGTTTCGTAAAGTTTAGCCTGTTAGGGCTGAGGCTTCATTGTTTGGGTTAAAGTTCGGAGCAGAGGACCAAGTTGTTGTGATGGCGCCTATCAGAATTAGACTCTGCAGGCGGTGGACATGAAGCCAGCGACCTGGCCCGCAAAATGTGGTGTTCAGTGAGATGCCTGTCGTTGGAGATCTGTTGTCGAAACGGAACACGCGTCCGAACTTCTGCACTCAGGTTGTAAAGCCAGAGCCCATCAAGACTGAAGAAAGTCCAAAGCAGACGCAGGCTTGTTGACATGCTTCCGTGCTATGCTACATGTCCCGGGCGCTAGTGTGGAATTCAGAAGCATGTCAACCCTATCCTCAGTGATTTCTCAAGGGTGAGTGTGAACAGCCTCCTCGTGCCGGCAGGTCGTGGTTCCGAGCAAGCCCGAGCGCAAGTCTTGGGCAGATGTGGCTTCGGACGATGAGGTGCAACTGGGCACCGGGTCGACATTGGTAGAGTTCAGGCCCTCAACGTGCATGGCTCCTCCCTCAACCGACCTGGACAGGACATGACGGATTTCGCATGGACGCCCCAGGAGGCCTTCCACGCCGCAGTGTTTGCAGACCCCTAGTCGGGTCGCCGTCTGGTTTCAAGACCATGGTGCATAGTCATCCTGGCTGTGGTCATAGGGCCATAGATCGACACGTAGGTAGACACCAGGAGAAGTTGCGGAGTTGTTGTCAGGCCGCGAAGGTGGTGCCGTCGCCCGTACCCGCGACGGACAACTCTGAGGAGGGCGACGGCTGGGAGCTCAGCGAAGTCTGAAGAGCCCAGATCAGCATCCTAGGCATGTGGAGCTCTGCTGATCTAGCAACAGGCTTCGCATAAAGCAGTAGTCTGCGACTTCTGTCACCGGAGCATCAAGCGTCTTGTGCGGACTCTGTCCGAGGATTGTGCTGGGATCCCATCGGCATGGGCTCGACGGAGACGCTTGGCAGGGCCTAGATTCTAGATGCTAGGATGTGGACGGTGGCTTATGGAGATGCGCAACATCACGTGGCTTGAAAGGGCCTGTGAAGGGGTGGACTTCTGCCTCAGGCCCTTGGGACCTTTGCCTGCAAAGTTTTAGCTGAGCTGAGCCCAAAGAAGTGCGGCTGCCCAGGTCCTCCCTTTCGGAGTTGCTCTGGAACAAGGTGAATGTCAGCAAGCCTTCTGAGACTGCGAGGAATCCTAGAGGCTTCGACAAGTGGCCCCCTGACGGCACTCGGAGGGAGAAGGGGTGGAGGGATGCAAGGAGGATGGTTATGCTGCTTCCAGCTCGGCACTGACCTTGCACAGATCATGCTTGCTGTGACGTAGCGCGAGACCCGACTGCAACCGCTGTTGTCAGCGGCTATTTGTTGCCTCTGTTCCTATACACAATTCACAATTCGCTTCAAGTGCTGCTTGTAGCAGCGATTATGACTTTCGTGGCGATTGCTTTTGTAGTAGTGCTACACTGAGCATTGCCAATCTTATTCGGACCATCGTTGTACAACTACCCTCGCCAACTATACTATACTCATCTTCACTGAATCTTCACTGGTTCTTCTGCTGCGTACGAGTATGTACAGAGGTTACTGTTGGAAACTCTGATGGGAGCATCGCAGCTCTTGCTTACTTGGACGATCCCGGTACTCAGCAAGCAGTCTTCTAAGTCAAACATCTGTAGCAATCTCTGTAATGCACCTCAGACCAGGAAAAGTACCTCTCTTCCTACGTCTACCTACTTAAGAACCCATACACCCCAGCATCCCTAAACCTCGCAAACAGGCCCGTAGGTAGACATCACAGGAATCCTCGTTTCAGCGACAAGTACACAAAGAGCCAACCCTGAAAAGGTACCCTGAACCCTAAAACCTTTAACCCTAAACGCTAAACCCCTAAAATCCTAAACCCCTAAACCCGAAACCCTAAAACCTTAAACCCCCAAAGCCCTAAGCCCCTAAAATCCTAAACCCCTACCCCCTAAACCCCTAAACCCTTGAAATCCTAAACCCCTAAACCCCTAAACCCCCTAAACCCCCTAAACCCCTGAAATCCTTAGCCCCTCAACCCTTCTCTGCTGCCCACGGGAGCTTCCATCAGCAGGTCGTGGAGCACCACCGCCACGTCCACCGACGGTGATTTGCCAGAAGATCAGGAGCCACAAGAGGTGTAGGGTTTATAGGGTTCAAAAATAGTAAATGTCAGCAAGTAAGAGTACTAGCAATAGCAGTAGCGTAATAGTTGTAGTAATAGTTAATAGTACTCGCAACAGTAGTAGTAGTAGTAGTAGTAGTAGTAGTAGTAGTAGTAGTAGTAGTAGTAGTAGTAGTAGTAGTAGTAGTAGTAGTAGTAGTAGTAGTAGTAGTAGTAAGTAGTAAGTAGTAAGTAGTAAGTAAGTAAAGTAGTAGTAGTAAGTAAGTAGTAAGTAGTAAGTAGTAAGTAGTAAGTAGTAGTAGTAGTAGTAGTAGTAGTAGTAGTAGTAGTAGTAGTAGTAGTAGTAGTAGTAGTAGTAGTAGTAGTAGTAGTAGTAGTAGTAGTAGTAGTAGTAGTAGTAGTAGTAGTAGTAGTAGTAGTAGTAGTAGTAGTAGTAGTAGTAGTAGTAGTAGTAGTAGTAGTAGTAGTAGTAGTAGTAGTAGTAGTAGTAGTAGTAGTAGTAGTAGTAGTAGTAGTAGTACTAGCCTGGTCAGTGGGCCCAAGTTAGGCAGTATGAGCCGAGGGCTCAACTCCCGATTCTCCCGGGCGATTAGGGTGTTGGGCTTAGAGTTCGGGTAAGAGTGATTTCCTTGGGTACGGCCCCCACTCAGTAACAGTTGGATAATATTCATAATGTAGATATATAAGGCCCTTAATAGTAGCCCTATTATAGACTGTTACTGTATGTGGGCCGTACCCAATGATTTCCAGTAGTGGCACGTCATCCTGTTGCTCCTTCCAAAGGAAATCAGTCCTCAGCTGGTTCAGGACCTTTCGCCGTCTGCGCAGTCACAGGCCCAAGCTGAGAATGTTGTTAGCTCCCGGGGTGTTTCGGGGGGATTTTCCGAGGCTACGAATCGTCCGATCGGAAAAGTGGTTCAAGGTCGGCTGCCATCCTGTGCATTCGAGGAAATCTGGCAGACCTCCACCGTGGCTTTCAACCCTAGACCGTAAAATCAAACTCTCCAAAGGCCAAAGCCCTACACCCAAGACCGTAGCTCCAGATCTTCGAAAAACCTTCGGTTGGAGTTTTCTTGCGCATTGGGGCCCGGTTTTGGCTGGGGACTCGAGAGTTGCCTCCGCTTGCTGTGGAGGCTCCGGTCAGCATCATCAGCTCGGAAGACAGCGCATCCCTGCAGGCCACGGAATCTATCTGCAGTCATAGGATACGGACATAGTATTTGGCTGCAATATATCCTTTGTTACCATAGCTTTTACATTATCGACAGTCGGTAGGCATGTATGTATGTATGTATGTATGTATGTATCTGTCTGTATATAAAAATATATGTGTCTATGTGTGTTTGTAGGTGCATATATTGCAATCCAGACGAACCAGTTGCCGAAAATAGAGAACCCTAATCTAGTACCTCAAATACTAGGCGCCTTATTATGAGGACTCCAGAATAGGTACTTCTAAATTTCGGAAACTCCCATATGCACTTCCGCAGAGCGCAGTGGGTCTTTCGGACTTCACAAGTTTTCTGGACAGACCGGCCTCTTCCTGTCCACATCTACCGATGAGTCAGACAAGTCCCTTGGCCGTGTTCAGTGTCGGATTTCAGGGCTTTCATGCTTAACAAGTCATTATCATTATCATGATTACCAGGATTACCAATATTGTTATTATTGTTATTATTGTTATTGCTATACGGCTATACGTCGTGGTCTGAACGTAGTGGCGTCGTTTTCAGGCCCGTGCAAGCGGCTGGCTTGAACATCTGAGGCAGCGGGTGTCCTCGCCGGCCATGATGCAGGAGCAAGAAAGGGGATGGAGTCATGAAATCAGCAAGCAGGGCTGGCCTGGTATCTGCGGATGTTTTGCATATTTTTCCCCGCATGTGGGAGTTTCCGAAAATAGGGGATCCTAATATAGCACCCTACAGTAGGATCCCAATTATGAGGACCCCGAAATAAGGTACCCCGAAGTTTGCAAAAACTCCCAAACCTGCGCGTTCTCGAGAAGCCTGGGCTTTTCCTTACCTTTGGTTAGTAGGGAATGGAAGAATGGTAGTAATAGTAGTCATAACTGTACCCCATTCCTCCATTCCCTACTAACCAAAAGTAAGTTTCAGCAGGAGGCATCGCAGCGAGTCGTGCAGTCGGCCCCCACCTTCGTGATGCCAATGCCCACTCAGGCTCGGGTCTGACCGATTTCTACCCAGCCATAGGAAAGTATTAAGGGGTTTAGGGTTTAGGGTTAAGGGGCCTTAACAAAATTATTTTTGGGGCTCCTCATGATAATTATAGTCCTACTCTAATCTTTAACCAGCCTGTTCATTCCTGAACAGCTTCGGCCACCCTCACTGTGCCAGGCAGCGCAGGCGACAATGGTGGCTGTGCCGGCAGTTCAAGCAGTACAAGCCATGCCAGCAGTGCAAGCGCTGCCAGTGCAAGCACTGCCAGGAGTGCAAGCAATGCCGGCAGTGCAAGCAGTGCCAGCATTGCCTGGGTTTACATATCCTGCCGCCATGGCATTCCCTTTCGGCATGGGAATGCTCCCTGCCGTCATGTCCATGATGCCTTGCTGCACTTCAGACTGTTGTGACATGAATGTGGGAGGTATGCGTGGATCTGCACGTGCTATGCCGCACTGGATGCCATGATTACACTGGAATGAATTCCTTGCCATTCTCCCGTCCTCCCTCTTTTTTTGACCTGTCACCGCAAGCTTTCAGAAGCCAAGTAGCTAGGACATGCTGCCTTAGATTGTGCCAGGACATGCATTTGGATACCGAATGCATGTCGAATACTAGGATGCGATTCGGAATGGGAGGCAGACGTGACAAGCCCACGCCAGCGCAACAACACCGCCGGAGTGAAAGCGCATGTTGCAAACCACCAAGGTTGTGCACAGACTCGCTTTCAGAATCGGCTCGGTCTACACGACTCAACAATTTGGCAGGTGCAACTAGCACATGCACCTACAACCGTCAGTCGCGGAACACGCGGGCGGTCGTAAAGACACCGTTATCCATTGGAATGTGATAAAGGCTCCACAACACAGCAGCAGTGGGAGTCATCTCACATGTTAGGCGCCGGTTTATCTCCACGCGTCTGTCCATCGAATCTATCACACCTGCCCAGTGTTACTACCCGCCGCTAGCTGCACACAGACAGGCACTCATGCGCACGCACATGCAGACTATTCTGTAGCGCCTTGCGTGAGACGTGTACGTACGTATGCATGCATGCATATTTGCATGTTTGCGTGTATATGCATGTATGTATGTTCATGCGCGCACTGACCTTGCATGGGTGTCATTTACGTATGTAGGTACGTAGGCTGTTTTAGGCAGGCCTGGCAGGCAGGCAAGTATGTACGCAAGTAAGTCGTCATGTACGTATGCATGCGTGTGGGCTCGTGTGGGTATGTGTGTAGGTGTGTATGTGCATGCATGTGTGCGTGCAGGTGTGTACGTATGTATGTATGAATGTGTGAATGTATCAATGTATGAATGTAGGTAGGCACAGGTAAGCACGCAAGGCGCACGTGTGCGCATTTGTTTTGGGTGCATGGGAGTGCGGTTTGTGTGCTTGCATGTCTGTAACGTATGCATGTCAAGTGCCAGGCATGTTAGTCTGCGTTGTATTCAAGCATTGACATGATACATGCTCAAAAGGTACGCGTGACAGGCAGACCGCGGCATGCACACATGTGCATCCAGGTACTGCAGCATGAAGACAAAAACTGCTGGATCGCTTGCTCCTTGTAGCTGAGAAGGGGAGACAGGTGCCGTCTAATTCCTGTCAGCATGTGACAAACTGGATGAGCCAAGGACACATCAGCAGCACGTTCCCAGGCAAGTCGACGTACAGCAGACTCGTGGAAAGGAGGATGAGATCGCGTCTCGGCTGGGTGGCTTCTCCTGGTGCTGACACGGCGACAGGGCAGGAGCTGGACCATGAAACCTAAAACTGCAGCACAAGAGACGGGTGGCTTTCCAGGGGACCCTTCATTTCTTCTGATTGTGTTGGCTCATATCTCATGTCTCTGTCTCCGGCCGTTTTGCCGGGTCCTTGCGCTGTCGAGCTTGCAACTCGTACCCTAGACCTCGACCGCGTTCTCCACAGAGGAACCATGATGGGGTCAGGGATGTAGAGATTTGGGTACTTGGAGGTTCATGGGCAGTTATAAGTAGGGTTATAAGTCCCGTAATATAGGTTGTGACTATAGTTAACCTACTTATAACCCGACCCTACTTTTAACTGCCCATGAACCTCCAAGTAGGCCCTAGACCCTGAGACTAATGCGCCACACTATCAGCAAGTAGGGCGCCCGAACAAGGACCCAGAATTGTAAGAATCTGAGAGTTGAGCCCCCCAAACCCTACTGACCTACTGTAAACCCCAAACCCTGAGCCCTAAACCCTCCGCAACATGCGGATTCTACCGACTTTAACTGCTCTGCTAGGTGGAAAAAGGTGTGCTCAAAAGCACCCCATCCAAGGCTCGTCCGATTGCCCTCCGCTCTGGTCTTGGCCTTGAAGGAGATAGGGTTTAGGAGTTGAGGGTTTAGAGGCCTGTATATTTAGTTGTGGTATGATTGTAATACGTACTTAATTTTATTTATGGACAAGTTGGGGCAGCACTATCTTGGCGTCGCCACCGAATGTTCTGGCACACTGCAACGCTACCAGGGGGGCTCGAGGATGATCATCACCGAATGGAAGTCCTTAACTGTCTTGTTGTTTCGGCGTTGCGAATTCAAGCTTCGCCTTTGATTCCCTGGAACCGCGACACGCTTGCAGACTGCCCCTACCCTATAATGGGCTATGTCCCGAGTCTTGTTCGTCTGAGCCTAGTCACCGCCTTTCGCCTTCAGAGGACCGCCGATGGGCCGATCGCATCGCTTCCACCAGAAGAACTCCACCATGGGCGTCCTGAGCGAAGACGCTCGCACCTTCACCAAGCGCTCCAACAAGGCTTCTGTGTCGGGGTTCAGGAGGCTTTGGAGCTTCCCAGCTTTATCACTTCAGCGGCTTAGTCCATGTTCAAGCCAGTTTTGGACTGTCACGTGCAGCGTATTGCGGTGTAGGTGCAAGACGTTAATTAATTTAAGCCTAATGGTTAAGCTGCAGCAAGGCACAACGCACAAAGTCATGCAACACCACTGCACAGAAACAAGCGTCAAGTGCCTAGCTTAGGCAAATATGGAAGAGTGAACAAGCCTACGCAATACACAGACTTTCAACATGTATAAGTATGCACAAATCTGCAATGTGTTGTGTCCACAGCAATTTCACCATCACTATCGCCTGCAGCATCCCTTCCATCGTAGTCAGGAAAACGCACTTGGTGCAGAAACGCCAGTCCACAACCGATTGCCGACAGGGCAGACTTAGCATCGTCTGCGAGAACAAGGTCCACTTCCAGGGGACGGTGCGTTATTCCGCAACTGGGCAGGAAAGTCTTCTTCAATTCCAGGCAACAAGCCGAAAACATGAGCTCATCTTACGGGTCGTGCGAGGTGCAGTTCACCGATGGAGAGCTTTGCAGCGCAGACGGAGCAGCATGGCATAACGAATCGTAACGAGGTTCAGTCCTCTCTTGGACCCTCAGAAGTCAGGGCATCTTGATGGATTCGGTCGAAATCTGTGAGTGCTGTGAATGTGGTTGTAAGCCTTCTCAGACCGCATGCAACCATGTTGATCGTGGGCTGGTTTATTCTTGCAAACTGATGAGCAACTTACGGTCTGCAAGGTGGGCTTCATCATCTCCTCGGATCTTCCTTGCACCAAGAACATTCAGAAGATCGTGTCGGTCTTTGCCAACAGAACCGGACGAATCTGCGGCTTGGCCCCGATATGTACAATAAACTTAAACACCATAAAAGGTTGGAAACTGGAAAAAGGATGATTTCATGCGGTTTCCTTTCCAGTCTGCTTTTGGGGCATTGGCCAAAGAGTTTCCAATCACACGGAGGTGACTGCATTGCATCCCTTCAACCTCTTGCGTGTATAGCGGACTCTTGTGCTGTCATCACAGTGCATGTGCGCAGTTCTAACATCGACTCTACGCTGAATGTATGCATATGTCTGTATGTATGGATGCATGGATGTTCGTCTAGCACAAAGGCATGATGCATAGTACATACAGATTTGTGCACGCACACACGTCTCGGCAATCCACAGGTATGCAATGCATGCATACATGCATGCATGCATGGATGGATGGATGGATGGATGGATCTGTATGTATGTATATATATATATATATATATAGATAGATAGATAGCACCATGTGGCAGGTGCGCGCAGGCACGAGATGGAGACATGCTTGTGCATCTACAGGCGTATGTGTCCGGGTCACAAGAAACACGACGACGGACCCTCTTTGTTGTGGCAGCTACATTTGTGCACCAGTGCACGCGCTAGGTTACGTGCAGGCCAAAAATGTAAGAGCTAGACATGCCGCCGTGCTGGGTACATTCAAAACGTCATGGTGAACATTCCGGGAGACTTGAAGTAAGTCTGTTTAGGTCCAAATTCGAGCCGCTTACGAGTATTTGCTGTCGTTCTAGCAGGCATCCGGGTGCACGACGAGGTCGTACGTTGCCCAGAAAGGGTGAAATGCCTGGAAGTGGGAGACTGGTTGGAGGCGGAATGCTGCGTGACGGTCTAGGCGGTCTAGGATCTATTCTTCAGGGTTTTTGGATAGGCTTAGGGCGGGTTTACGGATAGAAAATAGTGGGCTTGCTCAACTAGCAACGGCTCGAGAGGCTCTTCGCGCCGCTTGAGTTTGGTTTTTTGCAGTAACATGTCTCTGTCCTGCCAGAATCATTAGACATTGATCGTTGTCCTCAAGGCTGTCTTTTTCGTCGTAGGTAGTTTGCTGATTATTCATCAACTGCATTGTGGCTTGTGGTGATTGGGTCATGGCAATGACGTGGGGGCTTACCAACACACCGTCCGTATGCAGGTGCTGCAGAAAGGGTTGAGGCAACAGTTGCCAGACACTGGAGCGGCCTGCGGGGTATGATTTGTGCGCTGATTTCGTCCTCTCCCCGAAGAACTACCGCTGCTACTGCTACTACCACGACGACGACTACTCTACTGCTTCCACTACTAACTACTACTGCTACTACTTGAACTACAACAACAACAACTACTACTACTACTACTACTACTACTACTACTACTACTACTACTACTACTACTACTACTACTACTACACTGCCAGTACGTACTACGACTACCACTACCGCCACCACGACCGCCACTGCCGCAAGCTAGCTGCCACTCTGTCTTTGGCACGGTTGCTTGCATGCTTTTGTGCAGGTGTGCAGCGACCTCACCCAGCAGACCGTTAGCTTCACCGTTTGGCCCAAGGCCCTTCGCTCCCCTGCTAGTGTGTTTCCAGGGTCTGAGCGTTGCATGTTGATTCGTGTCCATTTTTAGAGGTTGCCCCTGACCATTTGAAGCTTGGTTTTTCGGCCTATGCAAGAAGCCATCGCTGAATCTTCGGACTTAAATCCCGAACTTACATGACGCAGCTCCCAGGACGGCTCAGAACCATCTTTTGCCACCGTCTCTTTCAAGGAGACTCTGGCGCAGGTGGGCCTCGGGAAATGTAGCTACGGCGGTGAGATTTGTCTAGGATCTGTGTACGGCTGCAGCACTGTTCCACAGCTACCAACAACAATTCTGCCTGTAGTCGCCATTTCAGTTCCTCTTTTTGGTAACCAAATTTATAGTATAGTTCGTATAGGATCCTAACCATGACAGTATGGTCTTGAAGGCAGTATCTGCGGGGTTCTAGACCTGGATGCGCCTGTCCCCGTGCCTCCGGTCAATTCGACCTGATATGTGCAGATTGCGTTGCATGAGATCTGCACCGGGATAGAGCTCTGCATTTGGCCCGGACTTTAAGTTTTCTCCCAAGGGCTGCCTAGACCCGCCAAAGCCGTAAAATGCAGGGACGAGGATGAAGATATAAGATCCGAGGCTCGTGCGCGCGGTGTGAATGGCCTGCCACGCAGCGTCTGTGGCTGCTTGGAGCTGCAACACTTTTCGCACGTTTGGCGTTTAGGGTTTCGGGAGCACCAGTGTTATAGTGAGAGTGCAGGGCTTCAACTGTTCCACGTGTTGGTTGTGAGCGCACGCAAGGCTTATCCTCTGTCAGACTCTGTCACTATACCACTATGCTCACTATACCACTGAGTTTTCATTAGTTTCGGGGCACACGTGAACAAAGGCCGAGTGCCCGAAGCTTTGCACCTTGTTGAAGATGAGGCTATCGTCGTTCTTATCTTGACGACATTGCTGCTTCTGGTATGGCCGTGATTTGTTTTTACTATTACTTGTACTATCTGGGTACTTGTCTAAATTAGGGTTCCTTCTAGGGTCCTTTTTTTTAGAGGGTGGTGTACTGGTCATGGTCATGGTCTTTCTTTAGGCGGAGGGACCTGTGGTGGGGGGTCTGGCGGGTCGGCTACGGGAGCTTGATGATGGCATTGCCTTGGAGCCTTCCTCTTCTTGCTAATAAAGGGGCCCTTAAAAGTTGCCTATACTGTTTTGGGGGTTCCTCATTATAAATACAGTAGAATACCCCAGATCGGTGTGACCCTTAGGACCGTGTTTTTGGCTGTCGGTTCTTACACGAGGCTACCTCGCCGTGGTCATCAAGCACCTCGGCGTCTCCGTCGCGCTGGGCTCCTAAAGGCTTGGGCGCGCAGCCGCTTCAGAATTTCAGAAAGTAGGTCATTGTGGCATTGTCGGCTGTTAAAGCCCCGACTGTGTAGTTAGTAGTTTTATACACCATGTACGAGTATATCAGCTTAAGTAAGCATGCAACAGAGTGCGAACCTCTTCACCGGTTGAGAAGTCAGCATTCAGGCTCAGTCTTACATGCTCTCGCCTTCCCTCGCCGCAGTCTCTTCGGGAAGCAGTCGCCAACAGCGCCAACAGCGCTGATGTGGGCGGCGCTGTGATCTTCCCCTCTATACAGCGGACCTGAGGCTCTACCTCGTAGTCGCAGCCATTGGCTGCAAACTAGGTCGTTTTTGTTCGGAGGACGCAGCTTTCGCGGCAACTTTTCAGCCTTATCTCGATGGCTCACAGCCGTGGAACGCCCTCAGTTTTTCAATTTTACGAAGGGCTGCACGCTTGGCGAAGAGCGATGGAAATTGACAGGTATACATCTGCAGCGTGCAGTGATTGCAAGCTTCCTTGCATTGTCTTTGCTGGTGCCATGCCTGCCATGCCCTTACCAACGAATTTTATGTCCAAGTATTCGTGGACGAGAGAGGGTTCTCGTACACAAAGCAAGCAGTGCCACCACGAAAGACCAGGAACATGGTGTTACTGCCGTGCGAATCGATATGCATCTAGTCAACTGGCCGAGCTTGCAAATTATTCTCACGCAGGCATGAAGCTAGTGCCGAGCTCCAAACTTGAGACCTGCCCAGGCATCTACAGGTTGCACACCTCTTGCTGCTTGTACAGGTTTTGGGACAGACAGGATCCGAACTCTGCCTGCTGCCCACTCGACGGCTGTCTTGAGCCACCGCTGCCGATGCTGCGAAGTGTCGAGAACTCGACATGACACTGTGTCATGACATTGACTAAAGCCGTAGCCTGTCCGAAAGATGGAGATCTCGCACCTTCGCGAAGCAATTGCATAGACGTATAGAAGCGAGGATCCTTTCAAACCTCGAATAAACATTGCCACTTTATGTGAGCTTCGACCTGCGCTTCAAAAGCGTGCGTCGGCGCCTTCACTGTTTGCATGGCTGAAGCTATCAACGCCAGAGATCATCTGAGTTTAGCCCAGGTCATGCCAGGTCCAGTTGATCGCTACAGCCAGGGTGGGCCCCCCTTCGGGCCTGCGAAAAGTAGCAGGGCCACAGTCTGCCCTGCTGCTCTTCAGACCGCCTCTCATCCAGTTGCGATGATGGCCTCTGCTGCGCCCGGGCGCAAAAAGTCTTCAGATTTCAGGACTCTGCGGTTCAGTTTCATTCACGCCGATTTGTTGTAAAGCTCAAACAATTAAGCTTTCCTGTCCGTGCTGTTGCGTGAGCTGCGGATCCATCAGATCTGCCCTTGTAGCTTGATTTGCTTGGCTCGAGCTCACCACCCTGTTGCGTGAGATCAGCCGACGCTGGGCTCTGAGGACTTTGCAGCGGAAGCTTCAGGGCTTTGGGACGGCGGCTTCAGCATCTACTTCCCGGTAGCTCGCTAGACCACTCTGTTCCCTTCTGGTGGAGTCCTTGCAGCCTTACCACATGTGCTGACAGATGCTGTAATCCGACCGACTCAGAATGCGGCAGGGCTATGATCCACGAACATAGACTAACGTCAACTCTGTGCTGATGAATGCCAATCCTACGGTGGCTGATGATTGCTGCCTGCTAGTGCCATCGCACACTTGCCACGGACATGCCTGTGATGAATGGAACCACTGCAGCAGAAGTGCCCCCCACTGCAACAGCGTTGCACATGCCTTGACGGTTTCGCACCAAGCAGCTACGACGATGACGTCTACCGCTTCTCCTCCGCCTCCTAAACTCGATCCCAATACCAAGACAAACACAGCAGAAGCCGCTGAAGTTAGAATCGTAGCAGCCTCAGCATGCCACCAGTGATAAGCCTTAGTTGACCCAAGGCCCAAGCGCGTTTTGAACGATGATGAACTCCACGAGCTTCGAAGGCAGGAAGGCCTTCAGCAGGCCGGTTCCAGCATCCCATCCATAAGAAGATCAGGCAAAGACAAGGTCTGTCTGTCGGACTATCGTGGGAAGGCACGATGGTCGTACTGATGGTGATGGTGATGGTCTTCATCACCATCATCATCATCATCATCATGAACTCGATAAACATGATATCGCTGGTCATGATGGCCAGATGACGAAGAAGCGATGATCGTGAGAAAGGGGAGGATTCTACACGCAGAAGACGATGAAGATGATAGCAGATGAGACCTCGGCTTGAAGCAGGCACAGCAGCAGTCTTCGTAGGCGTCACCACAATCAGCTCGCTGCTACTGGCCGGAAGAGTTTCTCATGCTAGCGTCGCCGGGCCGCCTTTGCAGACCCCACCCCCACTCTCCAGAATCTCAGCAACTAAACCCCTTGACCTAGTAGGTCCGCAGGCCTTCCTACCACCGAATCACCAATTTGCACGCATCTATTCGTCCATGTTTGCTGGTGTGTTTTCGCTGCTTGGCTTACTTGCATCCGGCCTCACGCCAGGCCCTGCAACGACTTCGATGACTTCGGTGTGCCAAGTTCTGATGACGAGAAGGCTGCATCCCTCTTGCGCTGCCCCAATCACCTTTTACAGTTGTCACCAGATCGACGCAAAGTTGCGAGAAAACTTGACATGATGCCCGCCGGTTCGCCGATGTTTGCGACTGTTGTCAGCAGTGAGAATGACGAATGCTATGACCACTTATGGGTGCCAGTGCTGTGAGTCTATGAGTACGATGTGTTGCTCAAGCAGTGTGGTACTACTCTAGCTATGGGGTCCTATGAATCGTGCTCCCGCCGCAGTCTGGTGTTCGTTTTGGCCTTTATGTCGCTCGCAGTCGTGCAGTGCTGGCAGGGCCACAATCGCACCACGATACTGAAAACGGGTCCTCGTTCTGACAGCCATGGTTTAGTTTAATGTCGGAGCCTAAATATTACCAATACTATTTTGGAGGTTCCTTGTTATAATTATTGTATGATGGGCCCCAAAACCATATTCTAGCTATTAAGGCCCCTATATTCGGGTTGAGAGCTCGACTGCCAGGTCCAGAGTGGCTCCAGGAGTGAACTGTTTACCTAAAAGGGCTGTTGGCACATGACAATTTGAAATCCCTTGCTTTGCGAGTGGCTTCAAGGTCGCATGCAGCAATCGTCACAAGCTGCTTCGCGAATAGAGAGCCTGAAACCGTGCCGTGCAGGTGCTGTTGGACCTTGGCCGCTATGCTTCCGCAACCGCACGCCGCCGTCAAATCAAGAAGGCCCAGGCGCCCGTGACCAGGTTCAGGTTTCGGTCGGAAGTTCGGCTATATTCGGTTTTAGGGTTTTAGGATTCAGGGTTTAGGGCTTAGGTTGGGGGGCTTTTAAGCTTGAGATGGCTTGAGGGTTCGGCTAGAAGCTCAGAGCATGGAACCAAGCTTTTGATAGGTCAGCCCAACCGAATGTAGCACCTGCAGGTGGTGGACACGAAGCCAGTGACCTGGCCCACACGATGGGGTGTTCAGCGAGATTCCTGCCGTTTGAGATCGTCCAATCGGGACATGGATCCTCAGGGAAGAACTTCTGCACTCAGGTTGCAAAGCCAGAGCCCATCACGACTGAAGAAAGCCCAATCCAGACGCAGGCTTGGTGAGCATGCGTCGGTGCTCTGCTACAAGGGTGAGTGAGGGTGAACAGCCTCCTCGAACCGGCAGGTCGTGGTTCCGAGCAAGCCCGAGCGCAAGTCTTGGGCAGATGTTGCTTCGGACGATGAGGTGCAACTGGGCACCGGGTCGACATTGGTGGATCTGATGGTATGTGATGGTATGACAGCCTCACAAACAATTAAGCCTCGAGTCGGTGGCTAGGTTCGCACAGTTGAGTGCACGGTGTTCAGGACCTCCAGCTTCCATGGCTCCAAGACCCGAAACTGAAACTTCTTAACAGATGGACAGGACATGACGGATTTCGCGTGGACGACCCAGGAGGCCTTGCTATGACGGTTCGTTTAAGACGCAAAGAGGACGTATCTAAATGCTACTGAAGCCTACCCGGCCCTACCACCTTCATACCTTCAACATGTTACCTTTAGGTGTTTTTTGGGGCTCCTCCTTCGTCTTCTTCGTGTTCTTCCTCTTTGGGGAAGTCCTCCGTATGTTCAGTTTTAGTCGTTGCGATTGCGATTCTCACAAGTATCCGCTGCGTGTCAGATCATGCCTCGTTCCTTTATCTAGACAAAAAGAGTAGAGCATGGTATGTTTTATCATGAGCATAATTTGTATTCGCAAATGATAGTTCATTTTCATGTACTATGGCGTTCGATAGTATTGCAAATCATTATTTGTTACACACCTAGAGCCAGTATGCTCGAGTGAATTGTATGTATAGTACATGATAGGATATGAAAGTATATCTTGCCTGTGTACGAGAAGTGGCAGAGCTCTGCTCTGAGCAGGCCTCCGTCAACGATGCGACAGCGATTCTTGGAATCACCAATTGACTCGCAGTCTGACGAATGTAGAATACCAAGAATATCCGAATATCCAAGAATGGTGTTGATGATGAAGAGAATGATCGTCCTGGCAGACATGTTAATAACAAGACTGTCAATTGGAAGTTGGCCGGATACAGGAGTGCACTTGCAGGTTCCAACAATACCTTCCAGACATCTGCGGAACTGCAGGTGCAGGTCGCACCCTAAGCCCTGAACCCAACTCTAGACGTACAGCAGTCTCAGTTTTACTCCTTGCATGTGCAGGCATCAAGAAAGGCGTCTTCGGCGTGTACTAGTATGTGTTAGTGAAGTATTCTAGTATCTGTACTTCTTGGGAGAGGCCTACAGAAGTCTCAGTGAAATTGTGCGACTACTTGGCCGCTGTTCTGCTTGCTAGGCTTGCTCGCACACGGTTGAACGCCATCTTCCCTATGTAGCATTAAATTGACAATTTCAAGATCACGTGCAGCTTATTCGCCGGGCGAAACCATGAGTTACAACAGATGATGGCGCTGCTCCTTGAACCCCCTTGACAAAGTCTCAGCGGCGGCGGAATGACCGCCGCCACCGCAGCCCCACCCCCAACCATCACCATCGCAGCCCCCCCCCCCCTCCCCCCCCCAAACCATCACGGCCATCACTCTAGAACCTCCACCCCTGTCGCCGCATCGGTGTTGGGACTGTGTTACAGGCTTAAATACTTGCTATATATGCCATAGTGTGATACTGTACTACACTATACTACACTATACTGCACTATACTTCACTATACTATACTAACTATACTACACTATACTATACTACAATACTACACCATACTATATATATATATATATATATATACTGTTTGTCTTACAGGGCCGTTGCACCGGACGGCTTTGCCGTCACTGCTCACGGAGTCTCGCGCCTCAAAGTGCCTTTCGAGCGCAAAGATCATCCTTTGAGCCCCAAAGAGACATAATCTAGGAGCCTTACCTACACTACTTTAACGGCTTCCTTTCAATGGTTATGATAGGGGTTTGAGGCTCATGTAATAAGTAGAATAGGGTGTTGGGGTAATTACGTTATACCATAATCATAATAAGGAGCCCTTAAGCAATTGTTTGTAAGTATTTAGGCTTGTATGGTATTGAAATCGCGAACAAAATAGTAACAGAACATCGTATAACTTATGACATAGTACAGTACTGTATAAATAGTGAAAATGTAAGATAGTAGAGCGAAGTATAGTATAGTATAATTTCAAGTATAGTGTAGTATAGCATAACATGGTATAAAGTATGGTGTAGTATGGTATAGTATAAAATCTTTATAACCTTGCTGTCTGCTACATTACTTGTATTTCATATACGTTCCTCGTAGCACTTGGGCATTGAGTCCGCTAGATGACTGACGCAAGAAGCTGTCTGAAGCGTTTCTTTCCAGTTTAGTATAAATTCCACTATTACTTTGAGGGGTTTGACATGATAACGGTAGTATAATGTAACCGAATGCCTTGTTCTGGTTGTTGAGGCCCCTGAATGAATTGGAGGTTCATGGGTAGTTATAAGTAGGGTTATAAGTCCCCTAATATGGGTGGTTAGAAGTATAGTTATCCTACTTATAACCCTACGTATAACTACCCATGAACCTCCAAGTAGGTTCTCGAGATCAGTGCAGACCCACCAGCAGCCTCCGAGAACCAAGGATCGTCAAGGACGAGAAGCCTACACAGAGCACGGAAGAGAAGTGGCCCCTGGGCTGTTTAGGGCTTAGGGTTTAGGGATTAGGGCTCGGGGTTTCCGCAAGGATCGAAGGAGACCAACGAAGTTTGGTGTTAGGGGTGTAGGGTCAGGCATCTCCAGATTTCGGAGAGGAAGGGCACCAGGGCAGGCCCCCTTACGATGGGGTCTCCCCGTCTCTCTGCTTGTTGATGCCGATGTTCAGAATTCGCATGAGCGACTGATATAGTGTGCAATCAATACTACAGTTTGTGTACGGGTGGCAATAGTTTTGTGGTCGGTCGCTGTAGGGAACGAGAAGGGGGCACTGCTTCAAATGGGATCAGGCATATTTGTCAGCCGATGTTGTCAACATCGAACTCGAGGGGCAACACGCGCGAACGAGATAGGGCAATGCTGAGATCTTGCGCGTTGGGCCAATGAAGCAAACGAGCTCCGCGCTTCGCGTGAAATCCGGCAGGATTGAGATTAGCGAGGACTTCAAGCGTTTCATGGATTGTGGGCTGTCGGGCAGCAAGGTCAGTGGTACAATGCGCAGGCCCGTATTATCGTATTTCCGTCTTCGCGACTCAACCGTCAGCCAACCAAAGGCAAGCCGCAGGACACGTATGTGTGTGTGTATATATATATATATATACACGTAGATACATATACATGTACATGTACATATGCATATATATATACATACACACACACACACTCACAGGTATATATATATATATATATATATATATACATATATAGATATATATACACATAGATACATATACATGTACATATGCATACATATATATATATACATATATGTATACACACTCACAGGTACACATACACACATGCATATATATATATATATATATATGCTGCCCCCCCCCCCCCCCCTCAGGTACCCAGGTTTTCGTCGTTGTGCTGATAGCACGAAGGAAGTCGGACAGAAAAGGCTGCAAGTGCACGCCCATGGTCGCGATAAGCCGACATATAGTACTAGTAGTGAGCGAGTGTGACAAACTGCAGGGTATGGCGAAGCAGGCCTACTGAAACCCAGTAAGAGAAAGAGCTTTGCACGGCATAGAGGTGATACTGTAGCATCCCCAAGGCCATGCACGCAGATTTCGGATCAAGGTGGATAGTGGCTATGTTTAATTGGCTGTCGTTATGGTTTTTTACACAGGCAACAATGTCATTGCTGTGGTGGGTGTTGCAGTCTCTCACATGAACTGCTGTGTTCATTGGTTCATACAGCCATATATGGAATAAGCCTAAAGCAGTGTCATATAGTGTCAGTATACTTGTCAAAGCCTTTAGTTTCCGCAGCACTGTACAATGATTCATGCGTGTCTGTCAAATGAGCAGTCAATAGCGACAAAAGTATGAAATCGTGTTTCACGATGGTGTGTGTAGGCTTGGCAATTGTTACTGCAAGTATAATCTCGATTGCCTTAGGAATCCGATCTCCGTTTCTTTTCCCAGTCATGAAACTGCTACATGTTCTGTTCTGCTATATCGAACTCAAAATGCCAAGTGTGGTTTTAATATTACCTTTCACAGTGTTGTTATCACATCTTGTAAATTGCCATTATTCCTGTTACAGTGGCTATCATACTTCACCAATACCAGGCCATTTAGGACCATGTACCACCCGGCTTGTTTAATTTCTGCATCAAGTTTTACTGTGTCAATTACTGTTGTGATTGTTCATTCAGACTGCTTCGTATATTGTTCGGGAACCTTGCTTAATAGTAGCCAAGCATTATAACGTAAATGAAGTACCTGCTGAGTCCTCTGTTTTATACATTCTGCTAAGTTGAGTATAAACCTACCCGAGAGCACCACGTGAATACGTACACTTGTGCTTCCAAACACTTCTTGGTAGGATGATGGTTAACCAAGTCACACATTTGCTTGCTGTTTACCTGCTGAGAGTGGGTTGTGTGCGTCTTCCAAATCAAACGTGATCCAACACGCCGGGGCTGCGTGTTACACGCTAGGTTGTATGTTGTAGTTCATTAGTTCGACTATAGTTTTTTCACGTCAGATGACTTCGACATGCTTAATCCGAGTGCAGTTCATCAAAAGTGCGTGCATCATACAGGTTTTATCCATTTTATTGGTCGCAGAATCGTTTTCGAAAGTCTGCACCTACCAAATGATGACAAGTTGACAACGATGTATGTCAGAATTCTGATTCACATGGCAGTCTTTTGACTACGGGCTCTTAGTTTTTTGTAAGCACCAGTGCCACACCAAAAAGAATACACAACCACAACGACCAAAGACCCCCACGCAAACACCAAGCAACATAAGAAGATCCTTCTACATTTATCTCAAGAAGTGGATGATTAAGCCAGTTAAGCTTGGTCGTGCAGCAATAGCTTTCTTATAATAAATTTTGAATCTTAGACATGGAGTACAGCCTTGTACGTGATAAACAGAAAACCCATGAACTGGTGTTCCCACAGTAGTGTCTTTAAGCGGAGACTTTGAATTACCTAGCTTCGTGTTGGACCAACTAGTGAGTTTAATCAAGGATGCAAATACCTTACCGGCTTGTCTGCAAAACGCCTCGCACGAGTACGTAAGATCTGCTCAACCGCAACTTTCGGTAACAACGTATTGAAATATGTACTGTGGACAATGTTGGCGAAACCAGCATGTTCGACCATTCCCATGGATCTGGAGAAACTTCGGGAGCCGGAGCCGCAGTTTCGGGAATAATGGAAGTTGTTGGTAAAACCAACACTTTCCATGATCCCCCTTCAGAGAAATCATGGAAATTGTTGGTCGTACCAACTTTTCCAACAGTTTCCATGAATTTGGAAAAACCTCGGGAGCCCGCGCCATAGTTTCGGGAATCATGGAAATTGTTGGAAATGTTGGTAAAGCCAACAATTTCCATGATTCCCCTCAGAGAAATCAAATCATGGAAATTGTTGGTTTTACCAACATTTCCCACAATTTCCATGAATTTGGAAAAACCTCGGGAGCCCGAGCCATAGTTTCGGGAATCATGGAAATTGTTGGAAATGTTGGTAAAACCAACACTTTCCCATGATTCCCAACAGACAGATCATGGAAATTGTTGGTTTTTGCGACAATTCCAGCACGTTTCATCGATTTGGAGAAAGCTCGGGAGCAACAACACAGTAGACGCTACACTTAGAAGCCCAGGGAGCCACAGTAAACGAAAACGTGCTTTCCCAGAGACGCAATGACCAAGGAACACAAACAAATATTAGGGACAAGGCGTCTGACTTGAACAGGACACAACCTGGGTACCGGAGGGGGTGGTACCATATATATATATATATACATACATAGATACATATGCGTATATATAAACACATAGCCAAAGAGCCGGCATCTGAGGTCGTGGAGCACGGCCGCCACGGACAGCCTGGAGGAGTTCGTGCCGGTTGGGCCCTCAGCGCATGCCCCTGCCTGGGTGGTGCAAAGGTCGGAATTCACTTCGCAGAACAACTGAAACTACTATAGAAGCTACTTGCACAAAGGTTCGCTCAGTGGCTTTCCCTGCTTCGGTGTCCTATCCTGGAACTGTCTGTCGCACATGTTTTGCAATCGGACGTGAGTCGGACGACGAGTTTGATATTGCTTTAAGTGCTTCGCGCCAGAAAAGATCCCGAACTTGTCGGTCTAGGCCGAGGCTTTAGGGCCTCATATAGCATGTATATATATATATAAACAGTTGTATATATATATATATACAGATGTATGTAAACTGCATGTGTTGTCAGGACACAGATGAGGAGGACTTCTGCTTGAGAGCTGCGGTGTTAAGGGCTTTGAGTGTTTTTGGGTTTGGGGGTTTAGGTTTTACTGGAGGATTGTAGGGCTTAGGGGTTAGGGGTTTAGGGTTTTACTGGAGGGTTGTAGGGTTAGGGTTAAGGGTTGTAAGCTTCATGTTGATGCTTCAGGACCTCTACGTGTCACTCGGAATGCAAAGAGGATGACGCTACACCAGCTCTTCCACCCTGACAGATCCCAGCAGAAGTAGGCTCATGGCTTCTTGCACCTGTCCTTGCCCCAGTGCTGCATGAATGAGGCCTGGAGCAAAGCAGGCGCCAGAGAATTACTTGATTGAGCAGCAAGAGCAATTGCGCCAGCAAGAACTGTTGGCAGAGCAAATGCGGCAAATTCAACTGGTGCAGATGCGCCAGGAGCAGATGCGCCAGGAGCAGATGCGTCAGGAACAGTTACATCAGGAGCAGTTGCGCCAAGAGCAGTTGCGCAAGGAGCAGTTGCGTCAGGAGCAGTTGCGCCAGGAGCAGATGCGCCAGGAGCAAATGCGTCAGGAGCAGTTGCGCCAGGAGCAATTGCGTCAGGAGCAATTGCGCCAAGAACAGCTGCAGTTGGAGCGTTTGCAGCAGCAGAAGCAACAGCAGCAACAGCAGGCCCAAATGCAAATGCAGCAGTTGCAGTTGCAGATGCAGCCCCTGAGCTTAAATATCTCGGTTCTGTTTCGTGGCTGTCTCCATATTAATTAACTCAGATCTCCAGGGATTTCTGTGAGTGAGCTTCCTGCATGTCGTGCCGTGCAAGTGAGGGGGCGGCGGCTTGCTGATCGTAATTGCTGCTTTTTCCGTGGCCGATCGCAGACACAGCCAAGTTCAATCCCCCCTCCAGATGTCTAGCTTGCACCAGGATCCCGGTAGCTTATGCACACGATTCCGACGCAACATGATTGATGGGCAGATGTCAGACATGCACTCAGGCAAGTGCAGGGGCAGATGCAGACGCAAGGGCAGGCTGTCTAGCTGCCAATTCCTGTTGTTTCAGGGACCATACATGGTTTGCACTCAATGCTGAACTTGGTTGTCCGTTCCTGCGTAGGCGCAGCAGACTATGCTGGTGGCGGTGCCCATGAACTTCATGCCCATGATGATGCCTTCGCAGCTTGCTTTGACTGAGCTTGGCAAGACCGTCTCTAGCCGCTCATTCGTGTTGCGAGGTAATTTGTACATATTCAAGTGAGCTCGTGCACATGCATGGGTTGGACGGTTGGACATGTCAGATGGGCTTGCTTCTACTTGTGTCGATGCAACCTTGCTGATTGGGATTGTCGACACTCCAAGGAACCAGATGCAGATGACCCCACAGAATGCATTGGGCTATCCCGAGGATGAGGAGCAGCAACAGCAGCAGGAGGCCGTTTCCGTGCACAAACATGTTGCTTAATGTTGCTTCAAGTGCAGAGATCATGAACTTGAAGTGGCCAGGCCAAAGCCATTGTGCCACTGCCAAAGTATGCTGAAGGCGGGCCGAGAAAAGACCTGTCAGAGAAGGCACAAAGTACAAAGATCCATAGCAGCATTATCGACGTAACTTAGTGGTTGCCAGTAGTAGGTAGTACTAGGAGTCACGGAGACGATGTCGTCGTCGTTGCCGTCGTGTGTCGTTGTGGTAGTGAGCAGTGACAGTGTGGCGGTAGTAGTTAGTTGCAGCGCTCGCACTATTGCACTTATTGTAGCCCTAGCCTCGGTCCTAGCAGTCGCAGCAGCGGCAGCAGTAGCAGTGATCCCTGCCGGTAAGTAAGACAGAACCCTATCTCCAAGGAGGCCGCGCGAAGTGTGGACAGACTTGCGCTGTCCTGAAGGGTAGGCAAAGTTATCGACTGAACAGTTTAGGTTTTGGGTGCAAAGCATTGGACCGCACTGTTTGAAGAAACATCACAAACCATTGGAAGGCCCAAGGGGTACTGCCGGGACATGCCGCGACGAAACCAGGCCGCTTCAGCCAAGGCATCAACACAAAACCAAGCGGTAGAATCAATCTTCTTAGGGGTACTTAGATATAATTCTTAGTTTTTCGGTTAATATAACCCTGAAGAAACAGCTAAAATTGAGTGTTGAAGGCAAGCGGTCCGAACCCAACGCGGAGGCCCCACCTTCGGATCGACCCATCGCTTCCACCAGAAGCATCTTGGATGTCCAGCAGCTGCGAGGTCTTGCGAGGTTGTTTGTCTTGAAAACTCTGTGTAGGAGAACAACAAGCTGGTGTCATGGTAAAGTGCCTGTTTCAAAGATAGAAGCAGTCCCGCGAACAGGAGCAACTAGCAAGCTCGTTACAGTAGCTCATTTGCAGCGTTAAGCAATCGTCGCAGTCGTCCTCGTCATCATCGCGACGTCGTTTTCGATCAGAGGCAGCCAAAGTAGCTGCCGGGCTAGGGTAATTTTGGTGTTGCATCGTGGTCAGCGCATAGATGAGCAGCTCTAACGACAAGAAACGGATCAACGACATCACGCACATTGCAGCAGCGGTAACAGTCATCCCTACATGACCCTCATCCTCATCCTCACCATGATCATCATCCTCATCATCATCGCCGCCAGTCGGAGTCGTCATCAGTGTCATGACAACAATGACAAGACCCAATGACTCACGGCTACCTATGCGAATAGTAGGGATCAGGGGATGGTCCGGAAGCACTGCCAGCACCAGCCAAGGAACAGCAGCATGGGTGTGCTGTCGCAGGATGCACGCACCTTCACGAAGAGCTCGAACAAGGCAGCACGCTGATTCGCTTCAGAGCTCGGACGGCTTGGAGAGCCTGAAAGGGTTTCGTGACTGACGTGTCAGGGAAGATTGAGCATCATCTGCGAGAACCGGGTTCACTTCAGTGGCGTCTCTCGCTACGCAGCGCCTGAGCCAGCACTAAGAGCTCGAGCTGGGAGAGTAGTAGCAGCAGGAGTAGTACTAGACGCAATAGTAGTCATTGTAGTTGTAGCAGTAACAGCAGCAGTAGGAGTAAGAGTAGGGATAGGAGTATGATTATGAGTCAGAGTAGGAGTAGGTGTAGGAGTAGGAGTTGATTGTAAGTAGATGTAAGCAGTAAGCAGCAAGCAGTAAGCAGCATGTAGTAAGCAGGAAGCAAAAGATAGTAAGTAGTAAGTAGTAGCAGCAGTAGGGGGAGGGGGCGGGAAGGGTGGATGCGGGAGGAGGGGGGCCGGCCATGAATACGCACATTGCTCCTGCATCCGATGACACAGATTCTGGGTTTTTGGCTTTCTCAGAAGCACCAGGCCTGCGGGGTGCTTTGAATGTTTTGGGGAAGACTGCCCATTTTCGTCTCCAACAACTACGTGCTTCCATTTTGAAAGTCGTAATGTCCGAATGCATCTGCATCCAAGCAAGCGCGTCAGTCTGAAACAGCAACGAGGAGACAATCGACCAAAATCAAAGTACCCTCCCAGACAAAATAGGAGTTTCCGAAAATAGGACACCCTAATATGGTACCCTAAAATTGTAGGATCCTTATTATAAGGACCACAAAATAAATGAGCCCCTAATTTTTGGAAACCCCCATATTAAATAGTCAACACATCGACAGGTGTGGTGCTCTCCAGAAGCCGCAACGTACACACCTAGGCGCCTTACTCCACCGTGACCTTGTAGTCATATTCACGCGTCGTAGCCGAAGTCTTCGTCCTAGTAGTCGTCGTCGTAGGCATGGTATTGCAGGAGAAGGAGGAGGAGGAGCTAGAGGGCAGTCGGAGTTGGAGTAGGAGTGGTAGTGGTGGCAGCACTCAGACCATGCGTAACAGCATCGCGCATGCTTGCCCATATCTGAATTGTCTGTTCTGCAGCTGAGGTGCAGTTCACTGAGGGAGAGCTTTGCAGTGCAGACGGAGTCACTCAGCTGCATGAATGCCACCGCCATCCGAAGGGCAAGTACTGCCAGCTACTGTCATTACGGTTGATGATAAAAATCCTGCATCACCTTAATGACCCTAAACTTTGGGAATCTTGGTATATTCCTTGTTATGGGTAATGCAGGATTTGCATCATCAACCGTATGGTTGGCAGGAGTGCAGCCTCGCAGGGTGGAGTGGCAAATCATGACCTGCTTGGAGGTTCATGGGTAGTTATAAGTAGGGTCAAAAGTCGGATTACTATGGTTATAACCCATAGTAGAGGACTCATAACCCATATTAGGGGACTTATAACCCCGCTTATAACTACCCATGAACCTGCAAGTGTGCCCTCGCCGAGCGGTCAAGGTCGGCTTCATTCTCTCGTCGGATCTGCCGTGCACAAAGAACATCCAGAGGATCGTGTCCGTGTTCGCCAACCGCACCGGCCGCATCTGCTACCGGTCTGCAGTACTACAATACAGTTATAGGGGCTTAAATAATTTCCTATACTATTTTGTTGTTCCGTTTTATAAATATAGTATCATGGGCCCCAAAGCCCTATTCTAATCATTAAGGCCCCTGTATTGCTGGTGAAATCGTAGTAGTCATTGTAGCTTTCGGCTAGTGATGACACAGAGAGATGTTCGACTAGCAGCGGACAACCCTATTGGAACGGCGGCAACGAGCAGCCGCGCAGATGGCGAGCAAACATCGAGACGGTTGATGGTATAAATCCTGCATTACCCATAATAAGGAGTATACCATAACTCCCATAGTTTAGGGTCCTTAAGGTCATGCAGGATTTATATCATCAACCGGAGTACAACTGTCCCCCAATTGTTTGGCTCCACTTGACAAGACCGACTTCGAAGTGCGAGCCAGTGCTATTTCAAAACCCTACTATACAGGCCTTAATAATTACCTATACTATTTTGGGGGTTACTTATTATAGTTATGGTATAAAAAGCCTTGGTGTATTTCTGCAGCGCACATGGCCGATACTTACCGGGCAGGATGAAGCCTACACCCCGAGCTGTAGGCTGTTGTAGCGGTACCTCGTTTCGGGGTCCTTATGATAAAGACCACTATTTAGGATACTATATATATATATATGTATATATATATATATATATATATATATTAGGGTCCCCTATTTTCGGAAACCTCCAAATCCAGAACCCCGAAGCCAAGGCGTTCGCGTGCATGAGGAGGTGGAACGCTGCTCGCAGCGCGTGAAGTGCCTGGAAGTGGGCGATTGGCTCGAGGCACATTTCCTTGGGCCTGTGAAGGACTACTCCTTGAGCTCTCAGCTCTTTGAGCCTTACTATAGGGGGTTGAATACTTACCCATACTACTTTGGGGGTTCCTTATAAATATAATGGGCCCCAAAACCCTAATCTACTTATTAAGACCCCTATAGTAACCGGTTAGGGTTTAGGGTTCGATTAGATTGACCGGGGCCTAAGCTAGCCACAATGTGATCCGGGCTGCTGCTGCTGCTGCAGTTGCAGCATCGTCATGCGAGATGTCGCTGTGGGATATGGTGATGAGGATGCACTTTCAGGTGCTGGCTGTGCTTGCTTGATATGATGATACTTCGGGCTCAAAGCGATGTGGAACAGGAGCAAGCGAGCCCACTTCTCGATTATCAGACTGTCAGACTTCCATGATGCAGCTGGAAGGTCATCAGCGACTTGGACAACCAGACCGTCAGCTTCGTGGTCTGGCCGGAGGACAGTTCGTAAGAGTAGCAAGACGCATGGCAACCATGACGTGACAGCAGAATGCCAACAAAAGTTAGTACCACTTGTATGCAGTATCATTGCTGATAATGCGCAATGAAAACTTCCGGTCGCCGAAGACTAGTATAGGGGCCTGAACAATCAATAATACGTTAAACAGCATTCTATCCGTTTCAAGCCCCCTGCCATGTTAATTACGCCCATTGCCATTTCAATGATTGTGATCACTCCATTCCCAGCTTGTGGTACTGTAAGAGCCCTGTCATAAGGCTGCAGCTCCGTAAATAGTAGGCTCAGGTAGGATACTTACTGTAAGGACCCCCCCCAGAAGAAGGTAGTCTAGCTTTCTGGAACTCCCATCTATGTATCATGACATCGTACAGAGCCCTGCAGCTGGTAAGTACTATGTGGGTGGTTGTCAAAATTATGGTACCTTTCTGGGTACCCTATATACTAGGTGCAAAGTCCCTCCGAGAAGGACGGCTCGCGCCCATCCTGGGCCACCGTCTCCTTCGCAGAGATCCTCAGCAAGGCCTGGCATCGCGGATGGTTGAAATTGTAGAGTTCCCGTGTTTAGGACTCAGGGTTTGTGAGAGTGAGTTTGATGGAGTCACATTGAGGATATTTACTGTAATCCCAACTAAAGCAGAGTATCAGTTTACCGTCACCTGGGGTTATGTCTGGCTAACTACAGGAGCTGAGGGCCAAAGCACAGTGCTGCTGGTGATCCGCTGCCACTACGGCTACCATAACTATTGCCGCAACAATGTCTTTTGAACTACTACGTCTACTTGTAGGTGCTACTAAGACTACATCTACTACTGCCAAAACGAAGACTACAATGACTACTACTGCCTGATACCACCGCTGCTACTACCACCACCACTACTACCACCACGACGACGACTTCTACTCCTACTCCTACTCCTGCTCCTTACTGCTCCGTGCTACTGCTATTGCTACTGCTGCTGCTACTGCAACGCAACAACTACTATTAATACAGCCACGATGCGTGGAGGGATTAGATTGACGACGGGAAATAAGATTGCAGCGAGGGCAAAATTTATTTCGGACTGGTATCGCCACGGCACAGGCTTAAATGCGATTCGGTTATACTATATGGGCCTGAATGATTAGAACAGGGTTTGGAGGTATATTTTCCATAATTATCATAAGGAGCCCCCAAAATCCTATTCTAATTTTTAAGGCCCCTACATAACTCGCCTTAGGCTCGCGGAAGAATTTCTGGCCTGCCACGTGCCCCTTGCGGAAGCCCGGCTGCATTCAGTCAGGCCAGGGCTTAGGGTTTAGGGGTTTGGGGTTTGGGAGTTTAGGGGTTTGGGGTTGAGGGGTTTAGGGGTTGAGGAATTTAGGGTTTAGGGTTTAGGGTTTACCTTAACCCCGAAAAACCTACCTTTTTAGGGTTCCTTATTATGATTTCTTTATATAAGTCCTTAAAAGTGTAGGTTCCTCGGGGTTAAGGTATGGCTGTCCATACTACGGAATATGATTTTTGTGAGGGTTCTGAGGGGGGGGGTATATAGCATATCCCAGAGACTCGGAGCTGCTGAGACGTAATACAGTTTACAGATGCGGAAGCCTCGGATTTTCATTGCACTTCGGAAGCTCCTCCCAGAGAGCCCAATACCCCTTAATAAAGGAATGTAGCTTAAATCATAATATGAAGCCCTATATAATTTAAGCCACATTCATTAATAAAGGGGTATTGGGCTCTCTGGGCTTGTGCCTGGGCTCCTGTGTTGTTTGGTGATGCGACGATGGCGGTCAGCAGGCGGCCGCTTAGGCTTTGACGCATGGGTGTCGGTGTCATGGCTTCGAGTCATTTCAAACGCAAATAATTATACAGAATCATTTATAAATATAAATATGAATACATATATATATATATACATCATATATAGCTTGTTGAAACTCTACACCCGATACGCTCTTCGTGTTCACATCATGACTTACGCGAGGCTATTTGGCCGTCGTCATCAAGTGCCTGGGAGTGTCTGTGAAGCTGGGCTCTTGAGGCGCGGGGAGGGGGATCTGGATCCGAATCCTGAGAGAAAGCGCTAAACCCTAAACCCTGAGAGAAAGCCGCAAGCCGTAGGCCTCACAGCTTAAGGCCAGCTTTTCCTGAAAGACTCAGAAAGAACACCTACTTGGAGGTTCATGGGTAGTTATAACTGGGGTTCTAAGTCCCCTAATATGGGTTCGAACCATAGTTATCCTGGTCCTAGTTGCAGCCCTACTATATTACCACCCATAAACCTCCAAGTATGCCCGAACTCATGCTAAGCCAAGCTTCCGGGGCAGCAGACAAAGTCAGAAAACCCTGGGAGGCGCTGACGTGCGCTGCCGTGTGGGCATGAAATCTATGTCCGGTGGACTTTGGAACTTTGCGCCAACCCGAATCCTTAACAAAACTGCCCAAGACTTGGGGGGTTTCTATTGTGTGTGTGTGTGTGTGTGCATGCGTGGGCGCTGTGCAGAGTTTGGCTGTCGTGACCGTTACATAAAGTGGTAGCGAGGAACAACAGCACACTCCAGCACGGTAGCAACTGCAGTACACTAATTACGGTGGATCAACAGTAGGAAAGCCAAAATATCAGTGACATCAGGGTCGGCAGCAAGAACAGCTGGCTCTTAAGCGGGGCAAGGCGAGGGGAACGACGATTGTCAGCCTGCGAACGGCTACCATGGATACTTGGGGTTGGCGCTGGCGCGACGCCGGGACGGGCGTAGCGGACAGACAGAGTTTAGGAATTGGCGTCGAAGTTTGAGACAGAGTGTGCGGGTTTCATCGGGTATCTTCACCAAGCAACTATAGTACAATGCCGTAACATGATTATTGCCACCATCATACAGCGGCACCTTAGACTCTATAGACCTCGACAAACGGTGACTAGGACTACTACCCTTGCAGAAGGTATGCTTGTAAACGGCCAGAAGGCCCCAATTGAAGGGCGGTGCTGTGGCCAAAGTCATGGACGCTGTCGTGCTGTGTGTGCTCCCGTGTTCGGCACGCCTGTCTTTTTCAACTTGGGCTTGCCGAGCGCCATAGAGCTACTATGGAACAGGACACCACTGGTGAAAGATGCTGGCATGTACTTATTGAAGGAGCTGTCATACTGGGATCAGGCTGCGACACGTGGTCTTCAGGACGCTAAACTGCTAAACCGTCGGCTTCACGAGTATACAGAATCTGCAGGGGCCACGTCATTGCAAGCTGGACTCCAGTGTGAAGCTGCCAAGCATCAACTACAATTCTTTACACATGCAAAGAAGATGCGGGCTCGTGTGCGAATTTTCCGCTGAAGGGGAAAGAGCTTAATCTGTCGCCCCTTAGTAGACTTTGTGTTGCCTGCTTTACGGCTGGAAAGTCGGTTTCGGAAGCGACTCTCCATCTTCACCTTTCCGCATGCACTTGCCAAGCATCTTTTTCCGTTGCTGAAAGGTGGTTGATGAAAGCCCGTGTGTTCAGTGCTCAGGATTTGCAGCTTCGAGTTTTGAATTTCAGTCGGGTGCCTTCAGTGCCTTCATGTTCTGAAAGTTTGGGGATCCACCAGCAGCCACACTTTTCGATTCAGTCGAGCTGTGTATCGCTCGAGACTGACAGGACCAGGACAGTCTAGCGTCCTGTGTGACAGGGCCGGCAAGCGGCTCAGGACCAAGAGCGTCTGCAAGATCTTCATCTATCTGTCATCTTTGCAGGCAGTATACTCCGAACTTCCTATCACTAGCGCAGCTCTGGCAGTGGTCTGGAGCTTTGCTTTTGCAAGTTCTGCCTTCACGGATGTGCAGTGTGCCGGCAGGCAAACGAACTGCAAGTCGTCAGGGATAACCGTTGCCTTTGATGTGCTTGCAGCGGGTCGAGTTTGCTGCTTCCGTATGACCAAGACCGCACCCAGCATATGCTATTCAGGAGCCACGATCAACGTGCGATAGGTCATCGCTGCAGCCGAGCTTCAATCTCTGGCCATGTGGCCTCCCCGAACTCTTTATGTGCTGCTCCGCAAGACCCGTTGCAGCAGCGACTGGGCTTCCCTCTGTCATGTGGCTTGCCCGACATGGACGACGATTCTTCTTCTAGCAAGCGGGACATTGCCGAGATGATTCATCGAATGGTCTCGAAAGTTAGACTGATCACAATCAGAATTTGGCTCTTCTGCAGCCCCTGCATGCTACAGCACGATGTTGATGTGTAGCTTTCAATATTCCGGCATGCCCCAGCTGCAAAATTCTTTGCCTCGTTTTGTACCTCGAAGATGCGCCATTGGCATGGTCGTTCTCTAGACTCTAATCCAGGGGCTTGAATAATCACTTAGCACAATGGACCCCAAGACCCAATTCTAATCATGACTATATTATAGTACCCTTACAGTAGCCCTTATAGACCCCCTTAAAGGAGCCCTGTTCTAAATATTAAGGCCCTGTCGTCCCTACATTAGACTCTATCTAGACTCGTCCTCCGCAAAAACAACAACAGCGACACAAATTACGACTACCTATCTTCTTACCTACACCTGCGACTGTCGCTATCATTGTTTTTACTCTACTACTGCTGCTGCTGCTGCTGCTGCTGCTACTACTACTACTACTACTACTACTACTACTACTACTACTACTACTACTACTACTACTACTGGCCGTCACACTAGTACATCTAACACTGACACTGACAATAACTAGCAGTATCACGAATACTAGCACTACCACCAATCCTAGCACTAGTACTAACGCTAGCACTAGCTACTACGAGTGCCGCGCGACATTACATCGTAGGACAAATAGAGAAGCTCCACCGCGACAACAGAACTATTTCGTGATTCCAAGCGAAAGTAAGTCCACTTAAGACGGCTTCATTTCTGCCTCTGTTGTAGCCAAACGCTCAAGACCGATGCCTATTTGGAGCATTGCAGCAGCCTTTGGAAGCCTGTTGCCCCTTTCTGGCGGCTTTCTTTTTCTAGCCTTTGCCGGACTGTTTTCTCAGGCGGGATCGCAAGTATGACGCAATGCAATGTAGCCGTATGCAAGGCTGTAGTCCCTTTAGTAACATACACAGGCAGAAGTATGGCAGCCGCCCCCGGATTGGGGGCGCCTTTTCTTTTGCCACTCCATCGGTCGCACTCGGTCCCGAAACGTGAGAGCGCAGCCAGGTCCCCGTCAGCCGTTTTGAATTTAATTGAACCTCTCTTTTGAGCTCTGGGTTTCCAATGCCATAGAATGCATGTCGGTATTTCAATCAGAGTTTAGCAGGCTGACAGACCTTGCAGCAGCTCTGCGACGCTAAGCTCGTTATTCGGGTCAGAGAGCGCTTGCCGCTTGATTTGGAACCCGACAATTCACATCATAGTACATTGAGTCAGTGCTGCGAAGATCGCTTATCGGAACGAAACAACGAGCGTAGACGGCAGCGGCACGGTGAGGCTTCTAAGTCTAAGTTCAGGCTCTCAGGGCGGTCAGGAGCCGGGTGTTGATCTGGTTTGGTTTTGCTCAACCAGCAGAGACGGAGTGCTGCTGGAACTCAGCCTCTTGCTGCAGGCTTTGGCTGTGGTTCGCAGTATGGCTGCGCAGAACGGACAGTCCCAGGCACTGCAATCGCAGCGTCCAGATTGATTTTGTGCCATTGATGGAGTTTGAACTGAGGTTTTGAACGCAAAGCATCGCTTTCTGGTAGTTCGACGTTGGACCGTTTCCATGCCTAATTCCCCAATCCGCCACACCCTATCATAGAGACCTTACGGGGCCTTAATACCCATAATCAGGGCCTAATAAGGAAGTATAGTCCCCTACCCCCCTCCCCCTACCCCCCTTGAGCACCCTAGCACCCCGTGTGGGTCGCAGGCCGTTGCCCAGGTGGAGGCCGGTTCCATCGGCCTTGTCCAATGCCAGAGGGTCTAATACAGGGGCCTTAATAACTATAGTAGTTGTTAAAGTTCGGGTCCCTTTTGGAGTAGCTTAGGTGCCGTATGATATTAGGGACCCCAAAAGGGACCCTAATTTTGACAACCACCCACATAATTAGAGTAGGGTTCATCTAAAGGGGTCTAAAAGGGTTGCTAAAAGGGATCTTAGTTAGAGGGGCCTTAATAACTATATAATTAGAATAGGGTTTTGGGGCCCGTAATACCATGATTGTAATTAGGCGCCTCCAAATTAGTATTGTATTTATTTAGGCCCCTAAAGTAAGCCTGGGCGTTTTGTTTTTCCGAAGCGGCTCAGACAGTGCAGTGCAGTGGGTTTGGAAAGAAAGCACCCAGAGAGCCCAATACCCCTTGATTAAGGAATATGGCTTAAATTATGTAGGGCTTCATAATATGATTTAAGCTATATTCCTCAATTAAGGGGTATTTATTAGAATCCCCTAAACCCTAAGCCTATATAGATACCTTATAGATCCCTTAAAGGAACCCTAGGTATACCTTATTTAAGGGGTATTTGGCTCTCTGGGCACCGGGAAGTTGAAACCCGGAAGCTGCCCCAGGCTTCCGCGAGGATGGGCCTGGCTGGTGCGGAGGCACCCTTAATTAAGGAATATAGCTTAAATCATAATATGAAGCCCTATATATGATTTAAGGTATATTCCTTAATTAAGGGATATTGGGCTCTCTGGGCAGAGACTGCTTTTCTCGAGCGTTCCTCGCACTTGTAATTATAAGAAACCCAGATTTCCGGGAGGATGTAGAAAGTGGATCCCCTAATTTGGGGCGCTATACTACCAAGGGTACGTTGCAGGAACCCCCCATTAAGGGATCTACTTTTTGGATCCTCTCGGGGGTCTGGGAAGGGGCCTAAATCATTACCAAATGCTGTTTGGGGGGTATCTTTTTATGCGTATAGTATAACGGGCCCTGTAACGCCCTAGTATCTGCATGGGCCCTTACAAGTATCCGACCTATCCCATGAGTTGTCACTGCCATGTCGATGCACGGAGCTCAAAGACTCCGGAGCTCAAAGATTTGTTTGGGCTGGAGCCGACGGCACACCTTACCTTTGGTTAGTAGGGAATGGAGGAATGGGGTACAA